ATTTTAATATTATTAGTTAATTGCATCATTTGGTAATTTATATTAAATTAATAAATTTATTATTAATAATAATTAATACTTCTATTGGTACGTAAAGTCAAATTTTGAGAGAGAGAGTAATAAATAGTGAGAAAAGTTGTGATAGAAAATTGGACCCATTATTAAATTTTGCTCTTCTGTACAACAACTTCCAACTAACTCACTTCCCCGTAATCAATTTGTAAAAAAAGAATAACCAAACACGTTTTTAATAAGGCTGTTTCAAAATTCAGTATAGAAATACATCTAAGTATGGCAACGGGTGAGGTCATGGTGGATTTGGGCTGTCCGATTCGTACTTGTTTTTTATTTTATTTGAAGGTTAAAAATTGTTTTTGCTCAATTTTGAATTCTTAATCTGTTCGACTCTCGTTTATATTATTTTTTAAAAGATAATTATATATATAATAAATTAGTTTATTATATATTTTTATATATAAATAAATATTTATAATTTCATAATTATTATTAATTAAATATATTTTTTAATTTATTATATTTATATTAAAATATATATGTAAAAAAATTTAATTATTATATATATATATAAATTGAATATATATAATAATATTATTATTATTATTATTATACTGTATACAAATATTTGAATATTTATATTATTATTATTAAAATACTGTATTCAAATAATTCATTAGATATATAAGTTAATTAATTTTTAAGTTGTCATTTAAAAAAATAAAATATATAATTTATAAGAAAATATTTAATAAGTTAATTCTTATTTAATTAATAATAAAAATGTAAATTATCAATTCCTTTTAATCCTTTAAAATACAATTATTTTATTAAGATAAAATTTGATATATGATAAATAAGAATAATAAGATAAAAAAAGGATATAATAAAATATAATAAATATAAATTATAAATAAAATAATATTAGTTATTACTAAAATTTATGTAAAATATTTAGAAAAAGATAAAGAAAAAAATTAACTTTGTGTTCATCTAATTTGTTGAAAAGATTGAAAAAAAAAACAAATTGATTGGAGAGATAATGAAATGTGAAAAACTAAAAGGTGAGAGAAAAAATAATGTAATAAATTAATTGATATAAAAGATTAAAAAAGAAAAAAAATTAAAAAATAGGTAGAAGAAAAATAAAAATGGTGAAATATAAAAAATAATCTTATATATAATAGAAAAAAAAATAATTTTCCAGTTAAACTCGGGGTGGGGACGGGTTGGTCCCTACGAGTTTAATTGTCATCCCTAAATACATGATTGATTAAAGCGATTTTTTAGATTTTTTTTATTAGTAAAAAATAATTATTATAGACATTTTTCTTATACAAAAATAAAAACAGTTAGTTTTTATTATAAATGTGATATTTAACATTTTTTAATTTTATATATCTTTATGTTTTATTTTAAATATAGTTGAATAAATTAATTCAACAATAAGAATATGAAGTAAAATGTTAATTTTTTGTTGGCCTTATATTATGGTGTATAATTTTTTATTTGGCAAATTTTGAGTGGTTTGTTTTCCAAGGTGTTTATTAAAATATCTTGTTCAATAAAAAACAATATATTTTGGTAATATTTGTGACGTGATATTTTATTATTATATTATAATAATATTATTGTGCAAAAAAACTTCGTAATGAAGTTTTCTTCATGCACGATAAAATTTTCTTTATATATATATATATATATATATATATATATATATATATATATATATATATATATATATATATATATATGTGTGTGTGTGTGTGTACGAGAAAGTGGGGAGGAGGCGGGAAATTTCAGCAAGTAGTTCTCCCTCTCGTTCTTTTTCTTCTTTTGTCTAAATTTCAAGCACGAGACTCTACTCGTGCAGGATTTGGTGAAATAGAAAAAAACTTGGATTAAGTAGGAAATTTTCAGTAGAAATACAACATCAAGTAAGGGGAAATTTAATTCATTCAATATATGAAACTCGAATTGTTAGATACTCGTGAATAAGAAATAGGAGTAAAAATATGAATTATTTGAATGTATGATTTTGAAGAATTTCGATTTTGATGACTGTTATTAGTTTGAAAGTTTTGAAATTCTTGAAATTAAATATGAATTATATGATAAAATTGTTGTTTTTTACTTAAATTGAACATATTTCATTTTTTAATTTCGATTTTAAACTAGTTTGGTTGCCTAAAACTTGAAAATTAGAAATCTGGAAAAATCTGGCATGATTACTGGGCGGAGGAAGAAGAAAGGGATATGGTGGAGATTTTTAAAAAAGATTAAGGGTAAAATAGTCATTTTGCATCCTAGGGACATAAATGAAATTTCAAAAATGTTCAAGGGTAAAATAGTCATTTTTGGGACATGGAAAAAATTTTCGAAAATGTCCAAAGATAAAATAGTCATTTTCGGGACATGAAAGGAATTTTCGAAAATATCCAAGGGTAAAATAGTCATTTTTGGGACATGGAAGGAATTTTCCAAAATAGTCATTTTCAGGATATAGAAGGAATTTTAAAAAATGTTCAAAGGTAAAATAGTCAGATTGAGTCTAAGGACTGATGCCCAGAATCAGTAATGAGATGTTATGTATTGGATAGACTTAGCCAGATGGTTGGTGCCCAGAATTAGTCAAATACTATTATTTATTTACCCAAATGAGCTGTGAGGACAGATGGTCCAGAATCCGACAGATGTGAATGATTTTTGTTGTGTTTGAATGGTACTCGGGGTGGTACAGAGTACATTAGTGTAATAACTATGTAGAAGGATTCTGAATGAGGTCCCAAACTTCACTGATTGGTCGGGTCAGGTAGACTACGGGATAAAGTGGTGAGAAGTCAATGGGGGATGACTGGTGGGGCGCTCGGAGGGGTACTCCAATATGAGTGATGAAGGACGCCACTAATCCTACTCTATGTGAAGGGTGGTCAGAATGGTACTGTGGGTGTCAATCACAATGTGCCCACAAATGATAGCCTCTAAGTTCGGGCATAGTTAGGATAGACTTCCAGAAGACATCTTAGTGTATTGATAATTTGTAATTGATGATAATATGTAATTATTACTCTTATATTTGTTTTATTATATCGAATGATTTAATACTTATCCTTATTTTTCTATGTAGAAGGGACTGCGATGATCACTTTTACGTGGGAGCAGATCAGGAGTTGAGAGGTAGAGATGCGACTATTGGACAATAGGGATAACTCAGTGGGGTAGTTTTGTGGAAGCTACTTTTGTATGTATCTATATAAATAAATTATGTTACTATGTTTTGAGATTCCGCCAATGAACCGATATTTCAGTCTATATTACAATTACAGTAATATAATGTAATATAGATGTTATTTACTTATTTACTATTTTGCGAAGATATCATTATAGTAACGATTTCTAGGGTTGTTACAATAATGGTATCAGAGCCAAAACCTCTCCTAGTACGGTGTGGTTCGGGGACAAACCAAGCGGAAGCTGGTGGACATGTGACATCTCAGGCACTGACGAGGGTGGCGAGTGATCGCCGATGCAATGAAACACGGACAAGAAGCGGCTCCTGGCAGGCTTCCAGCGGAAGGGTCATATGAATGAACTGAAACACACCCGAAGTAGAGGGATCCAGAGGTTGTATAAGTATGAGACTATACAATTAAAGGATAACTTAAGAGAATTGATTGGTACTACCTATACTAACAAAATGTATTTTCTTTTCGGTGACCTATCACGTAAGAACTTTATAGTTAAGCGTATTTGACTTGGAGAAATTGTGGGATGTGTGACTTTCTTGGGAAGTTCTCAAAAAGTGTGTGAATGAGGACAAAACACACTGAAAAGTCTCGTGTTGGATTGTAGGAATAATCGGTAATTCTATACAAGCAGCTGAGATGTTATAATATTAGTGACATTAAAGTAAGAATAAGAAAAAAAAAAAAGATATTATTATTATAGAAAATTGAAAAGAAAAAATAGTCGAACAAATGTTAATCCAATACACATTTTAAAAGAAGTTAAGAACAATGTTAAAGATGGATCTGGGCAAGAAACTATAACGTAGTAAATGCAACCATCCTAACAAGTTTATCGTATGTATTGATCTTTTAACAAGATTGGGATAGCTCAACGTCAAATTTGGTTTCTCCATCATTAAGTTTCCCATCACTTTCTATACACTGTAAAACCACCCACCCAACTGCAATAATTTATTGTGTATGGGTATAGAAGAAACCTTCAGCTTCAACTATTGATGACTCCTTAATTGGATGGTGTAATGGAAGAGAGAGAAAAAAAAAAGATGTTAATTAGAATGCAAATAAAAACATGTGTAATTATTTTTTTAAATGCTATTTTGTGAAATAAAATAAAGTATTGCAAGTATTACTTTAGTTCCTATGATTTTTATAGGTTTTTAGTTCTGTTAGACATTAACAATATTGTTTCCTACTCAATTCATATTAACCCTTACATATGAATTGAATTGAAACCTTCTGTAAATACATTATGAACAGATCTTTGAGTAATGTCCATGGAGCCCACCTGTCTCTTGTACATAATCAAAGTTGGTGAAGTCATTTCCCTCGTGACTTCATTTGTGTCAATGTTTCATTCATAATAAATATGATTATTGCAATGGAAGATGATTTTCTTCATTATGAAGCTATAATAGAAACAAAACGAAATCCTTGAGACTACCACCTTCTATCATTAATAGATAAGATACCTAAACAGTACGTTAAAAATGATTAAGTAAAATGGAGATGTTTTATCCATTCAGATATTCTAACTATCAATTTTGTCCATAAATATAGACATTACTGAATCAGATTGTCGCCATAAATAACCTAAAACTGATACAAAATTGAATTCAAAGAATTGCTATATGTAAGATCCATCCGGCTTTCCTTTTGAATTTTATGATTTGCATACCAAACATGAAACATTGGTAGATAGGAGCCATTATTTAATCTTCTTCATGGTGGTATAGCTTTCTATAGGGGCATGAGTCTTCTGTACTTGAAGAACCATACGAATGCAGAAAATATAAACACTCCACAAATTCCTGTTATTATAAGGACCCACTGGAAAGCAGATGGGACATTAAATAATGCAATTTCAAAATTCATTCCAAATATTCCCGCTACCACTCCAAAGATGGCAACCACAAATGTTGCAGTTGTGAGTAAAAGTTCAAACTGGATAAGCTGGTTCCGCACATTATCCTGTTAGAAAAAAATTCAGTGGGTTTTTCTAAATTAAAATAGGTTAAATTACTCATTTGATCCCCATTATTGAACAAACTTTACCTTACACTTAAAAATCAACCATTAAATATAAATATATATACACTATTTTAAATCTTTTCTAGTCCATACAACTTTAGACGTTAGGGACTTGAAAAAAGATAAAATGTAATATGTATAGAGACTAAAAGAAATTTTTATTAGGAGCTAAACTGAATAATTTTTAAGTATTAGGACCAAAATAAAGTATATACAATAAAGATTAAATAAGTAATTAAATCGTTAAAATAATGTCTGTTTAGGTAAACTTTTCTAAATACTTATAGGAGATGAAAATAAAAAAATAAAAGTTAATATAAGAGAATTTTTACAACTAATTTTAACTTCGAGAAAAATTTATGGAGAAGTGTCTATGGTGAAGTTCATCAAAACAAACTCAGTGTGGGTAACCGATTTTATTATTTTAGAGCCCTATAACATAATAATAAGAAATACTAGGGGAGAGTTTGTTTCAAGGTATATATCTATATTTCCAGAGTAATCACGTTCCCCCCAGGAATATTATGCCTAAAATATGATTCCCATGAAAATGTTTGATTGGCCATTAGTAGTAAAATAAAATAATTTTATCTCACTAAAAAGTGACAGATAAAAATGAAAAAAATGTGATAGAATAAAGTGGAAATTGGTAGTTATTAGATAAACTGATTTCTCTTCCCGTGAAATGTAATACCCAATTTTCACCGAGGGAATAAAAGGCCATTGTCCTATACACCTACTATCTTAAGAGCAACAAAATTCAAAATACTCCTACCACTTCCCATTGTGAGTTGTTTGTGTGAACATGTGCAGTAATTTGCATTTGCATGTAGACATAAGAAACATGATCAATAGGGTAAATATAATTGCCATAAAACCCAGGAAAGAAAACAAACCAGTTGGATGTTTATGAAATCTTCTGTGTCATCAATGTATTCTTTCAACTGAAACAAAAAACGAGGAAACAGTGGTTGATAAACTGTCACGAAACCAGAAAGAAAAGGGTTAGGGTCTACAACACTATGTTTACCGAAGTCAACTTGTTTAGAGTGCTGTCAATGACAACAAAGTATGCTTCCAGCAACATCTCAAGTTCCTCTATACTTTCGGTCGTACTTTCAGAACTCCTCGTGCTCTCATGTCGACTCCTAGCAATGCTGAAGCTCTTTTCAAGTTTCCGAGAATCAGGAGGTGATGAAACAGGAGAAACAGGAGCAGAAATGGATGCACCATCAACTGATTTATATCCAGCCATAGACTGATCTCCATAAAATGACAGCTCCATCCGTCTTTTCTTCTCAGTAAGATACATTTCAGCCATATCACCATCATCGTCCATAAGCTGCTCTATTTCATCTCTAACCTGAATATATGCATTTGCAAAGCAAATAATATTAAGAATCAGAAAGTTCGCAAACTATCACTTCAAATAAAAAAAGGACAGAAAAAAATATAACCAAGTATCACCTTCTGAACCCTCCTCGTCAAGGCAACGAGTCTACTTTTCAATCGACGAACACGTTCCAAATTTAGAGTACTGATCTTTGACGTCAGTTCATCCAACAACGGATAAGCCTCAATTTCTAACTCTGCAGCCTTTTGTAAATGGCCAGAACAGAATTGCACATGTTACTAATCAATTTATCCAAACCAAATGAACAAGAATATCAAAGAAGAACAATACTCTACACAAGCGCATGGATTAATATCATTACAATGTAAAGAGAATGGAGGTCATACTGTTGCCTTAAATAACTTTCCATCATACCTATCAACAACCAGGTAGGCTCTATGGTTGACCTCCTTGGCATACAATAATACATAAATCTCCATCTTATTTACTGTCAACTACTGTTTCCCACTCTTCACCACATTCAATCTAACAATAACACATAGAAACTCCCGCAGCGGTGCACAGTTTCATATTTAATTCCTTTCTTCCTCTCTCATTAGTTATCATTTGTAAGTTTGAAACACCCAGAAAAATTTACCACCAACAAACCAAATAAGCTACATGATACATCAAATTGAAATCATCCAATTACAACAAGCGCACAATGGTACTAATTGTAATTACTGCAGAGCCAAGTGATCCTCCTATAGATTTCTCTACAATAGGATGAGGAAAAAAGTGTTTACACTCAGGGTCAAAAAATGGATTAATGCATTGGAGACGGGGAAATAGCAATAACCAAATCTTTTAAAGCCAACATGAAACAACTGCAATATTAATCCAATTTAGGTTGTATTGGTGGTACATATTGGCTTTCTCTAAAAAATATTGCAACAGAACATTCTAAAGACTTAGCATCCTGTTACCACATAAGGGCATTTTGGCTTTAATCAATAGGTGCACATCAAAACAACAATTACCAACAAGTTCACTTAACCTTAACGTGATCATACCTCCCCCACATGGCACAGGTTAATATTGACAGACACTCAATGCTATTATGTAGACTATCCTATGGAAATACAAGAGCTGTTCATAGTAACCAAAAAGAGAAATGAAGAACAATTTAAATTTAAAAAAAAAAAAAAACAGGATTGTTAGACATGAACTTAAATATGTACTTCTACAAACCTGAGCTGTTCATAGTAACCGAAAAAATAAATGAAGAACAATTTAAACTAAAAAAATAAACAGGATTGTTAGCCATGAACTTAAATATGTACTTCTACAAACCTGAGAATCAAGAAATGTGCATGCTGCCTCCAGGGCAACTTCAAGAGCCCTGAACTCGAAAGGTAAATAATCAGGGGAAGAGTTGCTAAATACATTTTCAAAATTCCTACTTCCTCTCCTTCGGTTCATGTCAGAACCATCTGGTTGCCAAACCTCCCCTACCCCAGTTGTTGTCAACCGTCTTTGCAGCTCCATTACATAGTGCAATACATAACTATCAAGGGAATTCAAGAGAAGAACCTCATCTGCTGTAATGATACACCGTATCTGCTCCAGATTTACAACAATAGCTTTTTCCCTACCAAGGATTGTTGATGGGTAGACAAACAAAGGATCAAGTAGGCGAAGATCACGTGCAGGTAGATCACAACGTCGCATCATGGTAAACTTGTCTACTTCAATGGCTTGAGAGTTTCCAGATGTGTCAACACGAATCCATGATCGGAGACCTTGACCTCGCTTCTTTAGCCCCAGAACATCCACCCCTTGGAAAGCTTGCCTTCCAGAGGCAGATGGTCGATTGGCAGTCTCTCTTACATTAAGAGCCGAAGCAGGTTTTGGTGGTAGCAGCCTCTCTTTGAGATCTGCCATTGTGACTAATAACTGAAAGCACACATGAGGTAAAAGCTTTAACCACCCATTGATTCCAACAACATTTTACAAACATATTATCACTCATCATTCACAATATTGATCTATCTAGACACACATCAATTTGTCAACATACTTGTGGCCCCAACAGACGAAGCCAGCATCAATTAGGAATGTTCCACTAATTGGCTTTGACCACGTCATAACTGCGCAACGGTCTTTACCAACTATCTCCCAGAAGCATTATATGCATCTTATAATGAAGTAATCAATTAAGTTAATACAAATACTAGCATTAGACTATGATTCTTAACTTATTCTGTCAAAAGGAAGGTTTCAGAAAAATAACGTGCCCAGGTACCTGATACTGTGGGACATGCATGACATACCCAAGAAAAGCATCTATGCTAATATATTTCATCCAATAATAAAAGCCAAACCAAAAAACAAAAATCAAACGTTTTTAAAGAACAAGACAAATCTTCACCCTACAAAGCATTCATAGACTTTATACAAACATTCATACCTGCGGGTTTACTTCAACAGAAATCGGATAATTGCCGAGATTTGCAACAAATCCGACTAGGGATTATATGCTAAGTTATACGATACAGCCGACAGGGAATGGTTTTTCACCGAGGAAACTCGAAACAGAGGAAGGGGGAAAAGTAAGAAGATTAAAACCCTTGTATTAGAGTTGGGCAAACTACATGAAATCGAGAGAAACTGTGATTAATTGGCGCCGAATTGTGAAGGAAAAAAAAATACTTCAGAGCGAAGTCCGTACTGTTTCTGTGTGTGGGTGTGTGAAGTTCATCACACACTGCGCAGAAGATAAAAAACAAACCACAGAAACAGAGAACACAAGTAATCTCTTGATATAAATAATAATCACTCAATTACAAATTAATTATCTCAAAATAATTAGTTTTATCTTTCACGACGTGAAAAAAATGTTAAATGCGATTTTCACGGCACCCTCTCGTACTCAACGAAATTACGATGAATTTGAAGATAAACCTTAATAGAATTAGGTTTTTAATACGTAGTAATACTATGTTTAATATACTGTGATTATCAATATAAATTTGTAATCGAATTTTTTAAATAAAATTTCAACAATATATAAACAACATCAAAATAGTTTTACAGCAAGTGTCACCTAAAATTTAAATAAATAGTATATACGTTAATAAAGTAAAAAGAAAATTACATATTACTCCATCAGTAATTATTATATATAAAATTTCTTATTTTTAACAGTAATAACTTCAAAAAGTATATTTATTATTATAATTTCTAATTGATATACGTAATAATTTTTTGGTTAACGAGAAAATAAACTTTAATATCTACTTTCATTTTAGAAAAGTAGTTCCTCAATAATTGCTTTAAATATCAAACTCAATACATCAATGGCATCATCTTATATTATTAAGATGTTATTTTTATAAACTTGTTTTTATGATATTAAATAATTGCTTAAAATTTTGAAGCGGCCCAACAGAAGGAAATCTGATGGTAGCACAGGATAGGAGGTAAAGGTTGAGACTTGAAGTCCCAATGGCTGCACCTCTCCAGTTACGCTGCTACTCTTTTTACGTTTCGAGAGGGTTGCATGGCGTCGCAAAACGAAATTCCCAACTCATTGTTCCTGTAATTCGAATTGCAAGAAGTAGTAAATTTTCCTCTGAGACATTGCATCAAACAGTTTCATTACACTCTCGGTCTCAGAGCTGGGACTATGCGCCTTTCAACTTCAACTTCAACTTGGATGACCCGTCTCTACCACAGTTCCTGGAATTCCTCAAAAAGATAGCTCATTCGTCACCGCAAGCCGAGGGTCTCCACTTATCAAGTTTCCAAGCAAACAGGGATTTGATATGTTCCGCTATTTGGGCATTGAGGGAGGAATGGAAACCTGCATTGCTTGCTTTTAAATGGAATTGCCATCATAACGATGATAAAGTTTGCAACTTGATGATATGGGTCTTGGCAACTCATGGAAAGTTTTCCACTGCTTGGTGCATCATTCGAGATATGCATCGTTCCTCTCTCCCCACGCGTCAGGCTTTGTTTATTATGATTGATAGGTAAGCTACTTCAACATTCAAACTACAACTTATTATTACTCTAAATGGCCTTAGTCTTACAATATTATTTTATACATTTCGAACAACTCAACGTCTGGAATGCCTAGCTGATAGCAAATAAAGTTTATAGCCTTTTTTCCTTCAATCTATTGTGGACATGACATTGAACTTGTGGCCATCTTAAGAAACACTTCTGTGTCATGGCTGTAGGATTTTCTTACTTGCTTATGGTTGATGATAATGCCTACTGTAACGATTTAGTAACGTTGCTGCCAGTCTTGCATTGATTTTTTCCTATTCGTGACATGATATGCTAAAAGAAAAGCTAGAAGAAGAAAGAATAGAAGGAATCGAACAGTGGGTTCTCGTAATAACGAGAGAGGTAAGAATATCAAATTACGATTACAATTTTTTACAAAAGCTATGATAAAACTCTTTCTAACGCATCGCTTAAACCGTATCGTTCCTAGAAGCGGTTACTCGGTTACTTTATTTATATCAATATCCTGTCTTAGTAAGAATCCTTGTCCTCAAGGATTAAAATTGGGAAATTTTTTCTTTAAATCATAGAAAAATTCTCATGTTGCATCTTTTGGTAGCTGGGGTTTCCATTCTACAAGAACTTTGATGACTATCATCCCCTTCTCTTCACTGTCATTCTGTCTTAAATAGCTTCTGGTTGGTTCCTTTTGTTGCAGTCTTCTTTCTGTTTGATAAGGTAACTCCGTGGAAACTATTGCCTTCCCACCTACTTCTTCAATTGCGATATATGAAATACATTGTGAATATTTGAAATTCACAGGAGATTACTGAAATTTGTATATAGACCTGTAGCTTCACGTAAATCAGGTCCCCGATTTCATACGCTCTATCAGATTTGTTTCTGTCAGCTACTTGCTTCATTGGTTTACACTACATTCCCCAAGTAGATAACCTAGGTGAATAGGAGGAACTTGACTGTAAATAATTTCATAAGGTGTAGCCTTAATAGCCGTGTGGTATGTTGTTATACCACCATTCTGCTAAGGGAATCCATTTCACCCATTTGTGGGGTGAATCATTACTCATACATCTCAGGTAGATTTCCAAACACCTATTTACAACATCCGTTTGCGCGTCTGTTTGAGGGTGATAACTTGTGGACAGTTGGGCTTGCACCCCATGTACTGTCATAAATTCCTGCCAAAATTGGCTAACAAAGACCGAATCCATGTAATTTGAACACATGGTCTAGAAACTATAACTAGTGACAGAGATTTGGTCTTTGTTAGCCAATTTTGGCAGGAATTTATGGCAGTACATGGGGTGCAAGTCCAGCTGTCCACAAGTTATCACCCTCAAACAGACCGACAAACAGAGGTTGTAAATAGTTGTTTGGAAACCTACATGAGATGTATGAATAATGATTCACCCCACAAATGGGTGAAGTGACTTCCCTTAGCGGAATGGTGGTATAATACAACATACCACACGGCTATTAAGGCTATACCTTATGAAATTGTTTACGGTCAGGTTACTCCTATTCACCTACCTTATCTACTTGTACAAGATACGAGAGGTAGCTTCCTATGAATTCAAAGATCCACAATGTATTTTATATATCGTAATTGAAGAAGCATGTGGGGGAGGCAATAGTTTCTACGAAGTTGCCTTATCAAGCAGAAGTAAGACTGCAACAGAACAAAATGACAATGAATAGAAGGGATGGTAGTCACCAAAGTTTTTGGAAAATGGAAACACCAGCTGCCAGAAGACGCGACATGAGGATTTTTCTATGATTTAAAGAAAAAATTTCCCAATTTTAATCTTTGAGGACAAGGATTCTTTCTAGGGTAGGGTATTAATATAAATAAAATAACCGTTTCTAGAAACAGTGCGTTGTAAAGAGTTTTACCATAGTATATAATTGATTTTGGCTTTTTTTAAAAAAATTGTAATTGTGATTCAATATTCTTACCTCTCTCAATGTTATTATGAGAACCCACTGTTGAGTTCCTTCTATTCTTTTGTCTTCTCTTTCTTCCTTCTAGCTTTTCTTTTATCAATTGTTATCAGGGTCCTACTCACATGGCAGACGTTACCCATTCGATTCAGGCAATAAAAGACATGGAAGAACGTATATCTCAAAAGATGGATGCTCGTTTTATGGAGTTAGTTACTTCTTTGAAACAAACAATGCAAGAATTGGTTACGCAAAAAATGGCCGAGAGTAATACCAATTATTCTAGTGATAATATGTTGCAGAGTGCACGTTCAACTCCAAATTATGTGTGCAGAACTCGGATGACACGTATTGATTTTCCCAGATTCAATGGAGAAAACTTGAATCAATGGATACATCAATGTGAAAATTACTTTCTCATTAATAATACCCCAGAAGATTTCAAGACGAAGTTAGTAATTATGCATTTGAAAGGCAAAGCGTTGCAGTGACATACTGCTTTGGCAAAATCTTGAAGAATTTGATTCAATTATTACCAGATTGAATCTATCGGAGAAGTATATACTAAGTTTTTTTTGAGTGGGTTAAAGAAAGAAATTCAAATGATGATAAGGATGTTCCAACCCAGATCCGTACAACGTGCCTTTACATTAGCACAAATGTATGAATCGGCCAATTCAATCAACGCTTCTGCAAGGTTTCAAAGGGGAGTTTTGGGTCCTGCTCCATCACCTATACAAGTCACGGCAACAAATTTTCAACTCCCACGGGTAAAGTTACCTGATTCGCATGTGTAGACAATGAACACATTAAATCATCCTTGGAGGCATCAAGATGCATCATAGACAAATGCACCCCTTCTGCAAAAGCTTCGCACAACTACTATTTGGTTGCAGTTTTAACTTTGGTATTAGTGGATCCTGTTAGCACCTGTCGTCTTCCTTGCACTTGAAACTCCATTGTGAGTTTGTTAAAGTTCCACAAAATATCACCCAATTTCAATTCCCAGCACCAGATCACAGCATCCCAGAGGTAAAAGAAGCATATCAGCTTTAAAAGTAGTGTGCTGAATATTCCAAATGTAATTCTTGACCATTGTCGAAATCTTGATTTTGGAGTCATCCGTTACAACCACATTCAAGGGATTAATATTTTCTATTGCTACTTGAGTGTCTAGAAAATTGTGAGTGCTCCCAGTGTCGATCAAAATGTGTAATGGTTTCTTTTGGTAATAATCGATAATCATCATAGTTCTAAATCCTGATACTCCTATCAATTTATTGACTGAAATTTGTGGTTCTTGAGTAAGTAATTAGGTTCCTCCATCATCCGTAGACACCTCACTAGTATCCACCTCATCCTCCGCCTCTATTACATGAATTTGTAATTTCTTGTGGGCCAAACCATGTTCTGGGGAATAAGGCTCATCACAAAAATAACATAGCCCTTTAGCTCTTTTTTTGACATGTACGTTATTGTTAAGGTCCTTTGTGGTTTAGGTTTCGAGATTACAGTAAACATTGTCATCGTGACTTATGTAGGTGATGGAGCAGGACCCAAACCTCCTTTTTGAAATGTTGCAGAAGCGTTAATTGAATTGGCCGATTCATACATTTGTGCCAATGTAAAGGTACGTTGTACAGATCTGGGTTGGAGCATCTTACCATCATTTAGATTTCTTTCTTTAGCCCACCCAAAAGACAACTTAGTACATACTCCTCCGATAGATTCAATCTAGTAATAATTCTGGTAATAATTGAATCAAATTCTTCATGATAATCATCAACTCTGCCATAGGATCGTCACATACATCGCCAAATTGATCACATAAGTGTTTCTTGAATTCAGTCCAAGAAAATATAAAGGAATTCAAACAAGATTTTGTCAAAGCACTATGTTACTGCAACGCTTTGCCTTCCAAATGCACAATTGCTAACTTCGTCTTGAAATCTTCTGGGGTATTATCAATGAGAAAGTAATTTTCACACTGATATATCCATTTATTCATATTTTCGCCATTGAATATGTGAAAATCAATACGTGTCATCCGAGTTCCGCATACATAATTTGGAGTTGAACGTGCACCTGCAACATATTATTACTAGAAGAATTGGTATTACTCTTGGCCATTTTTTGCGTAACCAATTATTGTATTGTTTGTTTCAAAGAAACAGTTAACTCCATAAAACGGACATTCATCTTTTGAGATATACGTTCCTCCATGTCTTTTATTGCCTAAATCAAACGGGTAGCGTCTGCCATGTGAGTTTCCTAGGAAGGACTGACTGATACCAATTGATAAAAGAAATGCTAGATGGAAGAAAGAGAAAACGAAAGAATAGAAGGAATCCAACAGTGGGTTCTCAAAATAGCATTGAGAGAGGTAAGAATATCGAATCACAATTACAATTTTTTTTGTAAAAGCCAAAACCCAATTATATACTATGGTAAAACTCTTTCCAACGCACCACTTAAACCGCACAGTTTATAGAAACGGTTACTTTATTTATATCATGATCACCCTAAACTGTTTTCTTGTGGATCATAAATTTTGTCAATCCTCGTTAGTGTCATGTCACTTCTGTTGAACACATATAATTTCTTGCCTTTTAACTAGTGGTATTTTGTTTCAATCAGATATGCATCTGCAAACAACTCAGCCAAGGCTATTCAAACATTCAACTTTATGGACACGTTCAGATTGACTCCTGATCAGGAAGCATTTCATGCACTTTTGGCTGCTCTTTGTAAATATGGAAGCGTTGAAGAGGCTGAAGAGTTTATGCTGGTAAATAAGAAGCTCTTCCCACTTGAGACTGAGAGCTTTAACATTATTCTTAATGGATGGTGTAACATAACAAAGGACGTATATGAAGCAAAAAGAGTTTGGAGAGAAATGTCAAAATACTGTATAACACCCAATGGTACTTCATATAGCTACATGATTTCCTGCTTCTCAAAGGAAGGGAACCTTTTTGATTCTCTTAGACTCTATGATCAGATGAAGAAAATGGGATGGGTCCCTGGGATACAGATATACAATTCATTGGTATATGTTTTAACTCGTGCCAATTGCTTGAAGGAAGCTCTCAGGACCATAGATAAGTTGAAAGAACAAGGTTTGCAGCCTGATTCTTCTACCTTCAACTCCATGATACTCCCACTTTGTGAAGCTGGAAAACTAGCTGAGGCAAGGATAGTATTTAACTCAATGGCAGAGGAAAATGTTAGTCCAACCACTGAGACCTACCATGCATTTTTTGAGGGGACAGATTATCAAGGATCGTTGGAATTTCTGAGTAGGATGAAGGAATCTGGTTTAGGTCCAAATAAGGATTCCTTCCTCATAATTCTGACAAAATTCTTAAAGTTGAAGCAACCTGTAAATGCCCTGAAAATTTGGACAGAAATGAAGGCATATGATGTGGTCCCTAGTTGTGTGCATTACAGAATAATGGTTGAAGGGCTTGTAACGTGTAGGTGGTTCATAAAGGCCAGATATTTTTATGAGGAAATGATTTCAAATGGATGTTCAGCGGATCCAAAGCTTAATAAGCTCATTCAGAAAGAAGTACAAGTACTTGATCGTGGTGATAAAGGACAACAGAATGTAAAAAATGGTAATAGTAGTAAAGGTGTGGAATATTCTGTAAAATGATTAGATGAAGTAGAAAAATGATTAAGAACAGTGAAGAAAGAGGACATTCTCTAACTTGTAACAGAGAAGCTGATGCTCCCCATATTTGCCATTCCACATTCTACCACGGAGCATACCATATTAGCACTTACTGCTAATATTGGTAACTATGGCAGGATATCTTGAGAATTTCACTTTGGCATGTCATAGTCCTTACGGTTGATGCAGTCTGGCGTGGCCCCTGACCTTCTACCTAAATTTTGAACTTTGTCACAGGAGCAGCAGATGTACGGAGAGCACTGGAAAATATTGAGTGAACCAATTATTAACTGATCATTAAGCAAATGCTTGATGTTTTGGTTGCTGCTGCATGTTCCAAACCTCACACATCTTTGTTTTGATTGTTATGGTTCATGATACAAAGCCATACAAAGCTCATATTTTAATTGTCATGTTCTCCATTGATTGTGAAAATGAGTCTAATAACATTTCGGGCCAACCAAATATTGATATGAAAAACAGCACCTTATGCCACAAACGATAACTAGTATGTTTTCTTCCTCTAGTTTTCAAGGGAAGACCATTGAATCGGTTCTTTCTACTTCAATCATCTAAAGTTAGCTTTGGTGAAGTTAGCATATCAAGTGCCATATATTTTTAAGCCTATTATGTTTGTGGCTGTGAGAATGCTATGTTCATTAATGCTTCAAAATATGAATCTGTAACGTTGATTTCACTTGCAGCGTGTACATGCTGATTTCCCCAAGCATTGTTGGGAGTTCAGTTCTTTAGCTTGCCATTCTACATTCTACAATTATGAATACCATAGCATCCAGTTCTAATTTGGTAATATGTTTGGATATCACAAGAAGTTATCATGGTGTCCTCACAACTGAGACTCTAGCTCCTTGAGAACCTGCATAAGTTTTGAATTTCCGTACAGTAGCAGATGTGGGGATATTGAAGAATATTTTGAGTGAAATCATTGTTATCTGATCTTTAAATCTTGGGGGCTTTTGATTGTTGCATTATGCTCCATAGCTCACTCCCTTGTTTTGTTATATGTGCATATGCCTAAACATCATTTGTTATACATTTTGCAGATATTACATACTATTATCGTCTTTGTTACTTCCAGGGATTTGTCCATTGATGGTTAGTTAGCTATATCATACAAGATTGCGAAAAAATGTGTATGAACATTCCAGTCCAATCTAGGTGCTTGGTCTTTTTTTACCCTATATGCCACAAAAAACGAGCTACTATATTTAGCCCCACCAGTTTTGGGGAGAAGATAGATTTAGACGAAGATGCAGAAGACTGGACTTGGACTTGTAAATCTGCTCTTCCTACCATGCATGTAGCATGTCTCTGTATTTATACTTCATTTCAAAAAATATTAATCTGAAGGTACAACACTCAACATTGAAATGCCAATTTCCCAAGTATCGAGTATTTGCAAGTCTTCATTCTAACTGTCTTTTTCCTTAATGCTGAATTTTGTAGATATGTACTTTATGAATTGCACTTGTCTAGAAACCTGTTACATCCTTTCATTCATATAGTTGGAAACAAAATTAAGTGCAGATACATCATTACAAAAACATGAGTTGTTAAACCTTTATATCATTGAAGTAAATCTATACATGATATACTTAAATTTAACGTGTTATTACATGAATCACTTAAATTGTTTTAAACAAGATAAGATATCAATAATAAATATCTTAAATTGATAACATTAGAAATGGATGTCATACCTGCAATGAAAGAGAAAGAAAGTGCAGTGTGGTGTAAGAAGGCAAGTTCAACTTTTTGAAACATTCACGCCCGTTTCCCTGTTTATTCTTTTCAGAAAAAAAAAAAAAAAAAGCAAGAAAGAAAGTGCTGATTCCTGTGGCTTTGGGCTACGAAGCAGTGATAATCGTATCTTATTATATCTTAAATATTATAAAAGAAAGAATGTCGGAATAAAAATATTCCTCCTAAAATTACTATTTTTTAAGATATATAAATAATAATATAGTTAATAAAAAATGCGAAATTTGAACGCCAAGTATGTGAAATAAAAATGTTAATATCAGATGATAAATGATAAATATATAATGTAATGTTAAAAAATATTTACATTTTTTCATAAAAAATGTAATATAATAAAAAACATATTTAATCTATTATATATAAACTTACTATTATCAAATATTTTTATTGAAAAAAATTAATTATATTTCACTTATATTTTCATTCTGATGTTCTCATAAATATCTACATCGTGCACGAGTCTCATAAAAAATCATGCGACATTGGAGGGTTAGTGTATGCTTTTTCCAGTGCTGTAGCACACACCAGAATAATATGATTACTGTTACGTATTCAAGTATCAAAAACAATCTCTCTATGACTTGGTTTTGTCCTCACCCGAATTTTTGGGATTGCGTGGCGTTTGATATGGCTTTGTCCTCTTTAATAAACGTTGAGAATCAAGACAAGATGATTGTATGTCGTGCAAAATCATGGAGAAGAAAATAATGTCAACGACATTATGACACATTCTTACTTTTACTGAAGGAATCGAACATATCAAACGAGGCTGGTTAATGATGCTGTTTTAATAGTGACTCACTTTAGTCTCTGATTATGACTTCTGTGGTCCATCCTTAAACCACGAATAAATTATGAACATGCTGTAAAATTAACATCAGCCAATTTCAAACCATTTAAGTGTGAAAATCTTTTGCTGTTAACCAAAAACCAGATTAGTTGCTGGATCTCCTCCATCAGACCGACCAATGCAGCAATGAATCTTTGTTCTAGTTGCTTTATGGTTGTCAAATTCAAAGTGATTGTTTTTTCCTCTTGCCACAAATAACGTTTCACTCCCATCACAACGCCAAATTTAAAAGAAAAAAGACTAAAAGAAAGGTGACAGAAAGTATGCTTGACCTTAAGCCCCATTGATATTCCAGTTTCTTCATCAAGATGAATTGTTAAAGCTTTGGTGGTTCACGGACAACATTCAGAAGCTTGAATAGGGTGAACTACTGTTTCTAATATGTAACAAATAGGACATACCTATTTTGGCAAGAGTAAAAATCGCAACAAATAGGAAAGTGCTTTCTGAAGACGGAAAACAAATAAATAAATCAGTCTAACTTAGAAAAGCTATAGTGAGTGACCAAGAATGCGTTTCTGTTAAGAAGTCAAGGCAAGCGTAGCAAACAACTAGTGTCTCAAAAGCAGTTGCATCTAACAGATACCCTTTTGCCCTTATCTATTACGATGAAGAGTTAAGCTAATCAGTGACCATCATGTACACAGTTCACCTGCAATCATGTGCCATCAAGGGAGACACTCAACACAATACTGTAACGTAGCCACACTGAGAACAATCAGTGGAAATTGAGTTCATCAAAGTGAACAAATGACTTAGCTGATATGCATTCAACATAAATCTCACAAGAGGAGTGTATTCAGGCTCCAAATGCCAACATATCCAGTGATTCATCCCGTAGAGCACTCAGCATACCTGATCTAACATGGTGAGCAGATAACTAATGAATCACAAAACCTATTCTGCAGTGCTCTTCTGTTTTCTTCTTGATTTTCCGTATGGTTTGGAAGGTGGAGAAGGGGAGAACTCAAATGGAAGTGGTGGAAGATCCATCTCACCCTTCAAAATCTTAACAATATCCCCAATATCTGGCCTCAACTCAGGAATTTTCTGTAAGCAGGTGAGGGCCAAATTGATACACAGGCTTGCTTGGTCCTTGTTGTAGTCTTCTTTCAATCTCTCATCCACTAGTTCTAAAATGTTACCAGTTTGAGCCAAGTGTCTACACCAGCTTATTAGGTTAGCTTTCTCTAGCTTCATGGGTGATGCAAGAACATGTAAGGGCCTCCTACCTGACACAATTACAAGAATCAAAACTCCAAAACTATAAATATCAGCTTTCTCCATCAAGAATCCACACCCTCCATATTCTGGTGCCACATAACAGAGTGTCCCTCGCATGCTAGTTGTGCTGCTGAGCTCGCGGCTGAAAAGATCTCCACTCCACATGTCACTTCCAATGGAACGAGTACTTTTCTTCTTCCAGCCTCTTCTGAAGCTAAACTCCCCATTTTGATCACATTCATCCTCACCTTCCTCTCCATACTTACTACGCCTGCAAAGATAAAACCTTCTACCCAAACCAAAATGGGGCACTTTCATGCCTTTCTTCCATTTCGTATGAAGATTTTTCAGTTTATTGGTCTTCTTGCTTAATTCAGCGAGATGCTCTTCTCTCCACCACTCTTGCATCTTCCGGTGTTTCTTTTTGTGATTTTTCTTTCCCCTTGAGTCTTTTTTCTCAACACCATTATCTGTAGTATTGTGTCCTATTCCTAACACCTGGGATTGGGGTGCAATTGCATCATGGTCTTTATCCTTTGGACCTGAATTTTCCAACTCCACTTTCTCATGAACATTGTTTTTACCATGATCCCAATCAGGGTTTGATGGACAAATCTGACTCCCTATCCACTCCATAACGTAGTCTTTACTACATAACTCTCCGCTTCCATCCTGTCTCCACCACCAGTCCTTTCCCCATTGTGTCCCATTTGCCTTCTCATCATCCACCAGAGGAGAAGCATTCACTGTTAACTCCTTACTATAATCAATGCTAGAAAGCTCATCATCATAAGGAAAGAACTTACCATTCCAATCATCCCTATCCAAAGCTGAAATTTCCTTACCCTTTGCATTTACACTCCTGATTTCACTTTCACTGGCAATATTGGCATTATAATTCAAAGAATTCAAGTTCAAAGCTTTAACATTAAAGCAAGTCCTACTATTTTTAGATGAAGAAGAAGCTTGCAAAGCTAGAGCAAAATCTACTTCACTAACACTCTCAACTGGAGTACCAATAGCAGGAGTTTCTGCAGTCAAATTAGTCAAATTACCTGAAAGCTCTTGGCTTTTCCATAGATCCTGGCTCCTCCCCAGGTCTTGGCTAAACAAGTCAACACCAAACTCACCCTCCACCTTTATCCTTGACAAGCCAAAGTCAGAGATCTTCCCACGCCAGTCGGCATCAAGCAGAACATTGCTTGGCTTGATATCACCATGGATCACTGGAGGATCACATCCAAGGTGCAAGAACTCCAAAGCTCTAGCAACATCCAATATTATACAAAACCTGCTCTCCCAACTCAAACTCAAACCCCCATCTCCGAAGAGGGACTCCTGCAAGCTTCTGTTGGTAATATACTCATACACCAGCACTCTTTTGTTCTTTTCCACACAGTAACCCAACAGGGTCACCAAGAATGGTGACCTTAACCCTCCAAGAATCTGCAGCTCGTTTTGAAACTCTCTCTCTGACTGCAAAGACAATGCGTCCAGGCGCTTGATGGCAATTAACTTGCCGTCTTTAAGTACTCCTCTGAAAACAGTGCCAGAGCCGCCTTTGCCAATTACATTGACAGTGGCAAAGTCATTGGTGGCTTGTTTTAAATCTTTGTAGGAGAACCTTTGGAGCTTCAAGGGAGCACTTGCATCAAAGGGGATAGTCTTAGCTCTGTGAACAAGAGAAAGCCACAGATGGTAGAGGAAGTAGAGGATTGAGCAGAGAATCACAACACAAGCTGAAATGGTGAGTGCTAGGAAGAGGGTCTTGGTTTTGCTGGGACTAGTGGGAGGGAAGGGTCTTGACGGCATGGCGTGGTGTGTGGATGAATGAATGCTGATCACAGAAACCGGTGACGAAGAAAAAGTGAGTGAAGAATAATAGGGAGATGGGCATTCTGATTTTTCATTTATTTCTCTATGTTTTATCAAAGGGTATCCAAAGTGGATTGCTTTACGATTAGATAATCATCGGAGGAGGAGCTGTCTTCTACTATTCTTAACTCTCTTTTGTTTTTCTCATTTTCCTTGATTTATGGTATCTTTTCTATGCACTCATCTATTCAAATGATATGAGATTAGCGATAGGGAAATGAGGATTAGAAAAAAGGGAAGGGACCCAAGGTGCTTTTGACTAAAGAGAAAGTTTTGCGGCAAAGTCTTGGGATCACTTACGTGAATACGAGGGAGAGATAAGGAAAGAGATGCAAGCAAAAACTACTCAGAATGTGATAATGTTCGGGGAAATGTACATTATTGTTATTATTATGCCTTACAGATGTTAATTGGTTTGAAAAATGAAGATTATTTTGTCTCATATGTCATCACTAGGCCACGTGCAGTGCTTAGAATCTAGAGATACTACTCTTTTTAATTCTTGTTCGGTAATTTTCAGCAGAAGACGTTCGCACTTCATACTCACACATCCTTGGATTGGATAACCATGATATCTTGTCTTCCATCATTCCTTGTATTGCAGCTCCGGTCCCATGTCGCACTAAAATACGGCATCATATGTCTGCAACTTTCATTAAATTATCCTTTTTATTTGGTTCCTGTTTGAAGATAGACATTACGCTAGATAGATAACGTTATTTTCTACAATAAATTATTTCAAGTGTAATTTTACTGTAGACAAAATTCAAAACTATATTTTCTAACACACTCTTTTGTATAGTTTTCTACTGTTGACTGAAACATATATATATATATATATATATATATATATATATATATATATATATATACTGTTGAAATTCCCTGTGACAGTACTGCGACAACTCGAACAGAGAAAATTATGTGAGGGGTGAAACAATAAGGGGAACTCGTTGTTAAGTATGTAGTTTGGTGAAAAGTGATGCGAGAGGTGGTGAAACTGTTTTAAGCAATTGTGATAGTTATAGTTAACGTAAATTTGGATGAGTTGAAACAATATATCGTCAAACAAATAAAGGTAAAGTAAATTCAGTAGCTTTACTTTTTCTCAATTTACTTTAACATAGTTATGAAATCTTTGGTAGAGTTGATCCTAGTCCATATCAGACCAAGTTGTGGCAGAAAAGGGGTGAAATAAATCAGAAGTTGGAATATCTCAGAATAAAGAAACTCAAGTTCTTCCTTCTCTTTGCATGCTAGGAGACCTATAATTGACCTTTAATCGTCTACGCTTTGCTTTCTGCTTTCTACTTTCTACTTTTTGGATATCAATATCATTACGTTTTCATATTGATCCAAAGCACTTAAGAATGTAACAAATCGAAGGTAAAACCATATGAATGTTAGAGTGGTGTCCACATCATGGAGGCCCAAAGGGTCATCTGCAATTGCACTAAGCAATAAACATGGCATTGTGATATGAGTCTTTTGTTACTTTAGTTCCCCTCAGTCCCACTTCCAATCCCAGAAAAGGGAAGTGCATATCGACATAGTTAGCTGTCTTTAAGAGAATAACAGGTGGAATGTTGCTATTGCCAATGCACTACACAAGACATGGTTAACTTTTTTTGTGCTTCAGCAGTTAGTGAACAAAAGAACATGGGCGCTGGTACGACGCGTGGGACCTCTTTCAACTCCATTCCACCAACTCTATATTTGTTGTTTGCTTCAATTTCTCTCTTTACCTCACTCTTTTATTTGGCATACATTCATATGTCACCCTCATATTCCTTTGCAGTTCAAGCACGTTAATTGTTGTTAAAGAGGACCAAACAGCGCTTAGAGCTGTTTTCTTTCTTTTCCTAAACTTAACCTGTTTTGCGTGGAGGATTTTTTTCTTTTTCATTTTTTCAGTAGTTTCCACAGAAAAATAGCAAAAACAACTTTTTATAGTTTTATGTGTTTTGCTGTTTCTTTTATAATCTTCAAACAACATTATATATTCATATAATGATTCTGTTACTTCAACATTAACCTAGCTCGTTGCTTGATGCTTTTAACTGCTGCTTTCATTATTAGTTAGTTTTTCCCTTTCGTCTACACTATTTCCTAAAAAGGATTTTAAATTTTCGAAGTACCCAATTTTGAACAAGTTCATGCTTATTTTATCCACCAGAAGAAAATGACCTGCAACCATAAGTTATTTTATATGGAAAGATATACCTCAAACCGAATGTGAGCTTTAAGTGCGAATATTTTTGAGGGAATTTCCAACAGAAAAGTAAGAAATAAATTAAAATTTATGACGAGTATGGATCGGAATTTCTGGTCACTACTTACACTTTCTGGTTAAGATACTTTATTTATGCAATTAATGATGATATTGAATAATGGTTTCATTAAAGAGGAATATTGTACTTGATGGTGGTGTAGACAAATATATTTTTAAAATATAATGTCTCAGAATTCATCGCGAGAACCATAAAATGTAATCATTAAGAATGAAGTTGAATATATTCAATCAAATGTTGTTAGACCATTGGCGTTCTTGATTGATTGATTGATTGATTGATTAGTATAGGTCATGTATATTTATCTAATAAAACGACGTTTTAAGTGCACATACTTCTGTCTGAGTTCATTCCTTTAAATAATTTGTTAGATGTCACGCCTGAATCCATCCAAAAACTGGAGAATTGGCCTTCCAAGAAGAAAAGATGTAATAACAAATACGTTTAATATGGGTCACAACATTGCAAATCCCATAGCTCTTTCCCCAAGGTCATGTCCCATAACTCTTCCCTAAGGGCACTTTCTGAAGTCGCTTCTTTTAAGATTACCCCTTTTTACATTTGATGGATTATAAAGGAAAAAAAATAATAATAATAACGAAAAGATCCCATCCCAAAAATTAGTCTTTTGAGAGGAGACCTAGCTATGAACAGAGGTTGGCATTGGTAAAAACTTGTACATTTATTTATAAATGAGAACACAAGTAAATAAGCGAAGAATCAGATTCCGCCAAAATAGTCCAGACATCATGTCAACTTGTTAAACCAGAAACTCAATAACACATGCAAATTGCTAATCCAACAAGATAGCTATGTAAAGAGCAATCCCTGATTAAATATTAATCACAAAATGCATCAGATAATGGAAAATATCACCAAAAATATTTGCTATCAAGCCGATAAATTGTAATTGAATATTAAATAGAACTCATGGCCATGAAACAGATTTCATGCCTGAAGCTAACTTATCATTTAAAGAAACTGGGTACATGATATCTTTTAACTGGTGTCTCCACATAAGATCCAAAGCCGGAAGACAATAGGAAGAATGAAAATGTTTCCTAGGAAAGGACAAAACTGTTGGAATCAAGGGATACATCACCTAAACAACGATGGTATAACTGCTAAGATTGCTTCCATAAAAATCTTCTCCTAATTTGTGTTTTTTAAAAGCTTAGTTAATCGAGGTATTCGATCCTGTAATCATAAATTTTATAAAAGACAAAACAAAACAAGAACCTGATTACAATATGGCACCAATTAAAAACTAATCATCATCATCGCTCTTCTTGGGCTTGCGGTATTTTTCCTCCACAACTTTTGCCATGAACAAGGCAGTGTCAGCTAACTTCGTGATATTAGGAACTTGATAATTCTGAGCCAAGTAAACCCCACATACAGTCCCTGCTATGAAAGAGAAGCAACCCCTGATTATACCCATAGTTGCTCAAGTCTTGAGAAATCTGCTTTAGCAAGAATCACTATCAGAACAGAAATACGAAAATAGCTTTTAGTTAAAATCATATGAGAAGTAATTTTAGAAGTTGTGGGGTTGGTCAATGGTTGCTAAAGGACATCGCTAACATCAGTAGTGAACTATTTGCAAAATCAGTGGTGTATGAACGCAAAAATATGTCTCTAACTTCTAGTCTTAGGGTTGTGTCTCTAGTTTAAAGAAACTTATTCCCAGATTCTTTTGAATTAACCTTTTATTTCAGATATTAATTCAAATATTAATCATTTGATATTTTGTCATGAACTAAGGTTGTGAATGGAACTATTAATCATATAAAAAATAAAATGTGTTGCATTTGAACAACAAAAAAGATTTATAGATTGATAGAAAAATATATGAAATTTATAGCATCCATAAGATAAAAATCATTAAAAACTTCAAGTCCATACAAGTGTTAAACATAATTTAGAAAACATTATGATAAATTCCAAATTAGCTCTTCCAATCTATGATTCACAAAACCAAAGTAGCTAATTGTGAATAGTTCACTTGCCTAAAGGTTGCTGGATTAATATGTAACATAATATGCCACATAGCATATCAAATTGAAGCTATTCTAAAATATAGCTCATACTAATATATAATATTCAAAATAAAGCATACCTAAAATGAGAACCATATAAAACAGAAGTGCAAATATATATGACAATCTATGGCCACGTTTAAATACATCCAGTCTCCCTCAATGAGTATGTTTTGGATATAAAAAAGTGAGAATGACAAATCTATCCATGTTCTGGAAGCATATAGGCAGATATCCAACCTGACAAGCAACACATTAATTGAGAAACCACAATATAGCCGAGGAGAAAATACATACAAAAACAAAGCAGATAAGCAATCACATAGAAACACAGCCAAGGCAAATACAAAGTGAAACTCAAATAAACAAAGCAAGAAGAGAAGATAAACCAAAAGAGAGACGGAGGAAGCAAGAGAAAAGCAGAGAGGAGGTAGCAAGGGGCAGTAGTTGAGGCTACTCACAAGTGGCAATGTCTACTAATGCAACATTTTCCTATTCTATTGAACTCAACACGCAGCTTTGCACACAAATTCCTAAAAGGAGATTATTTCATTAAAATTGAATTAGGAAAAGGCTCTAAAGGGAGCACGAACATTCTGAGGCATAGTTATGTATTATTACATTGGAGCTAGGTAAATCTTGCATTATTGAGGACCAAATCAACGAACAAAACATCAGAGAAATAAGAAAAGAGAGAGAGAGAGAGAGAGAGAGAGAGCTATTAGACATGAAATCAATCTTATTATTAACTAGTAATGACGAGGTAACTGGAATTGACATAGAATAACAGAAATTGTGGTGCGTGCGGTAGATTTAACAGGAAAAGAAGGGGGTAAAGGTGAAGGATACCTAAAGATGGGTACCGAGGATATGCCGATCCGATGCCGGTCGACTCACAAATGTCTGTAATCTTGACTCTGATAGAAAGTTGCAGGGTTTTGTGTACGAGTAATTTTGATATATTATGCAGTTATATATTTTTTTTTTACTCTATTTATATATATAATTAAAAATATTATAAAATATTAAATATTAATAATATTTCACTTATTTAAATTAAAATAATAATTTAATATTTTTTATCTTTTTTTTAAATAATAAAATCTTTTAATATTTAATTTAAATAAAATATAATAAAATCTTTTAATATTTAATTTAAATAAAAAATAATAAAATAATATTCCTAATACACACTTTATCCCCTTCGTTGATCCTTTAACTTTTGCTTCCCTTTTAATCATCTAATTCATAAATATTTTATTATTTAAAGAATTTAAAATATTCAAATGATAGAAAATAATTTATATTTTATTGTCAAATTGAAAATAAATACTTAGTTCTTAATTAACTAACCACATTAGATATTCTTGGAATATTGATCAGTTTATGCACAAAAACATATAGGAAAAGTAAAATGTATAATAATAATAGTTTATTTTTTCTATTATAACTTTTTGCAATCATTTTAAAAATATTTATGAGAGTAATATTTATTTTTACGAGGACCATTTATGAATATATTTAACTGATAATGAATAAATTTATTTATAAATCGATATCATTATCCTCTTTTATATCAATGACTAAACATCTTACTATTGTTTATTATATAGTAAAGTCGACGTCAGAATCATTATCAATCCTTGACATTTAAGAAGTAATCTCAAAACACAAAATTAAATAAAATAGTATAATTTAGTATTAATTATCGTAAATTTTTAGTTTTTATTGCCATAAGAAATATGATGTTTGGGAGCGGCGCTCTTTTTTTCGTAAGGGGTGTGAACAGAGAAAGGGGAGTCTTCTATTATTAAATTTTTTTCAAGATTTTAATAATAATAGTAGTGAAAGGTCATCGCTGTATATAGTCCATTTTTTTTTAAATAATTTTTTTGTGACAACTTTTAGCTATCAATATTTTTAAATTATTAATAAAATCATTTTTAAAATTACACTTCAGGACTATTTTGACTATTTTTTCAGCAAAAAAAAAATATAGAATGAACTTTTCAAAGATAAAATATTAAATTGAATATAGCTCAAAAATAAAATATTGCTTAAATAAAATTTAAGTCCTCAATATATTACTTATTTTTATTTTGAGTATTCAATAATTTTTACTATAAACAGAATATCTAATAAATAAATAAATAATTGGTTTCTCTCCTAAAAAAAAGTTGATATTTTATTCTTATTATGTTAATTCTTTTAACTAATTTAAAAAAAAATTGATTCCTCAACATATGTTTTATCATAACAAAATATTATAATAATACGGTGACATTTTTAATTCGTACAAGTAATAGAAAAAAAATCATATATATTATTCTTCAACATTCTAGATCTTGCGACTCATGTTTCATCTTAACAAACACTATTTAAATAATAAAAAAGAACTAATAAGATATCTAATTTGAAGGAAAAATTTATTAGACACTCTAAATCAAATTTCCATGTATTGGGGACATGAAACTTATTTAATTCATAAATATTACATTGATAATTTAGTCTAAGAAATTGTGATTAGCAAATTATCTAGTTTATGCTTGGGAGGAATTTGTGATTAGCAACTTATTTAGTTGATGCTTGCGAGGAAATTGTTATGGGCAAACTTAGAAGTCTATCATTTGTGATATATATTTTTTATCCTCAAAAATGATAGTTTTAAAAACTGATCATCATTTTCTACTCTTTTTGTCTATGATTTCCATGCTTCCTTTCCTCTACCATGTGAAACTAGGTAAATGGGTGCTTTTTTTATTATGAGAGGTTAAAGGAATAATTCCATTCATTTTCAGTGTTTCATTGACATTCTACTTGAAATGTTATTTTCTAACTGAGTTCTATGTTTATTCTAGTCTTTGCGAGTGTAATTCTTCTAAATTTTATTCAATTCGTTTAGACTTTTAATCATGATGCGAGAAAAGCTTAATAATGTGTCCATTAGTGTGAGTGATAAAAAGGTCAACTTAACAATGATTTGTCAAGTTGATTATGACACTTGTACACATGAATATAGTATAAAAAGTAAAAAAAAGCTTAGCTGATAATCTCTAGGGAACACACCCATTTTAAGTATGTACACACGTATCAGTACATTTTGATGCCCTAATTCAGTAACAGTGATTGTGTAATTTCATAATTTAGTAATATTTTTAATCACTCACTCAAGAACTCGAGTCCAAAACATATTTAAACGGTATGCATGAATCTATGTAATAATAAAGGGCTGAGTAAACGAACAATATAATTTCCTAAAACATGGTAAAGCATTGCCCTTGAAGATTTATCTGTCGAATATGGTCCAAGCCACCAAGGAATAATAGTAACCTCTCAGATAACATAGTGAGACTAAAGAACTGAGAACTGGCAAGAGTCTAAAGTAAATGCATGATAAAAAGATGCGTAGGAAAAAAACTGTACTTTGGGGAAGGGAAACCAATATTTTTAGAACTCCAAACGATCAAGATAACATGTTCTCAAGAAGAGAATAAATCTCAGATTTTCTAGGAAAGAAGTGAGCCTTGTGGAATGGTCAAAACTAGAGCCATGGAAGATAAGAATCCCACGTTTTCAAGAAGTGAGATATCCTCAACGGTAACATTAAAAAAAAACAGCCATATGCACAAAGGGGGGGGAATCAACAGATTTTGAACTACGTTGAGCCCAGGTGGCTCAATCTCATCTCAAGTTAATGCGTGCAAACACACACCTCTTGCTAGCCACTTGGTAAGTTTTAGGAACAAATTTATATATTAATACTTGAAAAATGATGTTTAGACAATGTGAGACTTTTACCCTTCTTTAGAATAAAAACACAACAATGTAAACATACAGAAGACAAATTGAGAACTCGAGGAAGTTTCATTTTCAGTTTTTTACGACATGCATCATGACCAGTATGCATATACCAGATCAAATGACCACCACATTTTCAGATTTCCCACGAGAAATGTTAATGCAGTAAGAAAGACAATTGAAAAATATCACATGAAAGTTAAAGTATATAAAATGCAAGCCTAAAGCTTTCTTTTAAAATTTCATGACATGTCCTACGTCGATCAAGGAGATACGGAAACTGGTAGTATACAAGCAGATCATGTTCATTCTTCTCACAAGGCATCACGAGCAGCTATCCGGCAAGCTATTGCATCAGCAAGTGATGATACTCCAAGTTCAGATGCAGATATCTTGTAATGCTGAATGGATAACAAATTATTGAATATGCTATTCATGGACAAAAAGATACAGAGTCATTTGGATTAAAGTTCTTTCAAACCTTTTGTATTTGGGATTGATTTGCTCTCCCTTCTAGCTCCTCCAGGTCAATCTCTTTGCCATTAATGAGCTTCTCTATAGCTTTTATCTAGCAATGATACAGACATCACTTTAGTTATGTGGGCGAAAGAAATAAAAGTGTGCCATATTTTACTGTAGAATTGTCTCACCTCATCAGGAGTAGCATCAAATCGAGCAGCAAGGATATAAGTTGTGCTGTCGGAGATGCCACATCTTTTCAAAGACTCAGTAATCTAGTCACAACAAATGCCAAAATTAGTAACTCTAATTGAAATTACGAATCATACAGGTTAAATAGCAATACATAATTACATGCTTCGACCCTGAGTAGTTGTAGACGAGCTCTGAATGAGGAGTGCGTGTGGTTAAAGAGTCTCGTGACTTGGCTACAAGAGTCTTGTGTGCAGCGGCTAGAACAGGGAAAATATTTGGAATCTGATTCAGTTGACAACAGTGACAACATCAGAAAGAAGCAAAAGTGGTAACTGTCATTGCTGAAAATTTAAGCACCAGCATCTTTAGGATCTTCTCATGTTACATACTAACATGAGATGGCGATCCCATAATGAGAAAGAAAGAAACAAGGAGTAAAATTATTAAATCCTCTTTAGAAATTGGTGGAACCCCGATAATTATTCCTGCTTACTTTTCTCTAACAGCATGACTTTTTGTGTTAGTAAATGACAAAATGAATTTGATCCTCTTGTTAAATGTTGCTGATCATGACATAACACACAAATTAAGAAATCATACAAGTAAAGCATTGAGGAACGCAACTTCTGGCTCCAGTGTCCCGGTTTGCATACTTTCCAAGAGTTCTCTGTGAGAATAACAATTGCATAGCATACTTTAGCTAAGAGCACGTCACAATCTTTTGAATCAATTACGGATACATAGATAGCGTCTTTTACAATGTGTTCATTATATTTACTTTTACAGATTGACGTATGACCATAAATAGCAAAAATTTTGCTATCATTCAAACACCATCTCGAAACAATTATTTCGGAGCACCTGGTTTGTCAAATATCACAGATTAACTACCGTAACTGCGCTACTAGCGCCTAATGTTCTTACTGGTTATAACAAGCGAAAGAAGCAAATGCAAATCAAACTCTAAATGCGTTTAAACTGAATTTTGAGACGAATAGATCCCTTCTGTTGTGTTGTGTAAAGATAGCAATATTTGAAAGTTACCCAAAAACAATCATTCATATTATATCCATTTAGCCTAACGACACAATAAAGAAATTTGCCTTTAACATAACTCAGTTAATAGCAAACTACTTCTGGACAGCTGGCATGATAAAAGAAAATATTAAATTTGATTCTAAATGACAAACAAGCTGATCATACGATCTTGTTTTATACTTAACGGTAGCATCCCATGAGAAAGAGAGAAACACTAACTTTGAATTGGATACATCAGTGTAGAGTGCAAGGGAAAGAGTGGTTCCATTTATATTGAACAACTTCATAGCTTCTTCTGGTTCGAATCTGTAACGAAAGCATTAGCCGTTAAACAAAATAAGGAAAGTAAAACGAAAATGAGATTTCCCGAGCCTACCAACTTTCTTCTCCACTTTAATTTCAATTTGTCTTATTTTCTCAACAAAGAAAATTATTTTCACTGCCCCCTTTATTTGTTTCCCTTCATATTTCTTTCTTCCCCATTTTTTCTTCCCAATCCTCATTATTCATTTTTTTTAATATAATAATCTCACATAATATCTCATATTAACCATTGAATGCATTAAATGGTGATGATAAGGAATAACTCCCTTGCATTGCACTTCCTGTTAGAGTAAGTATATATAGTGAGACAGAAAGATGAGAAATTGAAAGAGAATAGGTGTTATCGCATAAGTTATGCGCTTTAAGAAAAAAATGTGAAAAATCAATCTATGAACTATTAAGAGAAGAGAACGAGAGGCTTCGACGCCCAAATCAACAACCAAAAAATGTTCATAGACCCTCGTGAGAAAAATAATGGCCAAACCTCAACCAAAAAGAAGAAAAAAAAAATCCAACCAATCTCAATTCTCGTAAAAGGAAATCACAGTAAGAAACACGTAATTCCTCCCCCAACTAAACCTAAATTGTTCCCAAACAAGGTGAATTTCAGAATTATTCACAGATTTCCACAATCCTATTTCAAAAAACAACACAATCCATTTTCAACATCCGGATTCTGAAATTCGCAGGTAATGAAGCGAAGAAACGACGTCGCAAGGCTGAGGAAAGAGGTGCAGAGAGAGATCAAGGAAGTAAGATTGAGAGAAGTAAAGGCGCATTACCGTGGAGAGATGAGAGACGGTACAGGTGAAGCAAAACCCTAGAAAGGTCTATGAAAGAAAAAACAAAACGAGCGCCGGAAGATGGTTTGCAAGTTAGCTGTGGTCGACAACAGAGACCAAGGAAGGGTAAAAGAGGAAAGAAACAGAAAGAAATTTAACTGAAATAATTAATTTTATTAATCTATATGATTATGCTAAAATTTCTTAAAATTAAATTTCGAGAAAATTTTATTTTAACTATGGATAATATTTTTTTTAGGTAATTATAAATTATAATAAATTAATATTTCACTGATATTCACCAATAAGATGTAAAGGTGGATTATATAGGAGAACATAATTCTTAATTTAAGATTTAAGAATGTTTATTTTCATTCTTCCTTTCACACAAAATTATCAATATTTTTCAAATATTATAATATATATATATATATATATATATATATATATATATATATATATATATATAACTTTTATGTATGATTTTCAAAAGAAATCTACTCAATAAAATATCCAACTAGCCAATCACTATACTTTTTGATATTTTTTTATATTTGTTAAGTTCTTTTATATTAATGATTTAATGTCTTTATACCTTTTTCATGAGCTTATTACACTTCGTCATTTTTTTATAAAGGTTCTTCATTTGAATGTGCACAATCATTTCATTTATAATCTCCATGATTTGTTGCAACTTAGTATGATAACCATCATTATTTGTGATTTTGCATTTTTAGATCCCTCATCTTAAATTTTTTCCTACATAACCTTTTAAAGGATCACAACAAAAGTTCTAAAATGATTTCTAAGATCTAAGCTAGAACATTTAATATTCCTTATATGTTATCTTTGCATGATATGTATTTACAACCTAGTTATGTATTTGCTTACTATTCTTCTTACTTATATGCTAAGACAATGCATGTTAATTGTTTCTCTATATAATTGGATTTACAAATTTACATAATTTCAAAAAATAAAAGATTAAATTTGATTGGTGTTTCTTGGATTTTGTATTGATAATTTTCCTTGAGTAAAAATTAATCTTTGTATGATTCATATTAGCGAAAAGGGATATAAAAATAAGTATTGAGAGAATATCATAAGAAAAATATATATTTAATTATATAATTGCACACATTATTTATAATGGTCATTGAGGTTTATTAGGCTAACTAACTTAATTGAAATCATCATTATAACATAATTGTTGAATTATTATCTAACATAATCTCTAATTCAACATTCGATTTAATATTGAATTTCTTTCTCAATCTTTAAACCTTCGATTATTCAAAGGTTTTGTCGTAATTACGTTAGTTGCTCCTTATTTTAGCCCAGCAGAATCAAAATATTCAACCAACTCTTTTCCATTCTTATGTGTAGCATTTGGTAACAGAATACCAAAATCCGTTGTCCATTTAATATACTTCAAAACTCTCTTAGTTGTTGCAATATGAGATGTTTTGAATTTCTCAATAAATTTACTCAGCAACCCAACACCAAAACAAATATTTAATCTATTACCGCATAAGTATCTTAAGTAGTTAACCATTTCTCATTTTCATATTTGTCAAGTTTCACATTTATCTCGACTGGTGTAATTGTCGCAATATACTCATTCATTCTAAACTTTTTGAGCATTTCTTTAGCATATTTACTTTGATGAATCAAAATACATTTTTTGTCTTCGATGAATTCCATTCTAATAAAATATGACAGTTTCCCTATATCATTCATCTCAAACTGATCTTGCATTCTCCTTTTAAAATTATCGATCAAATAATTTTAATGTCTATAATAAACAAATCATCGACATATAAGCAAACAATTAATACATAATCTCCTTTGATTTTCATGTAAATCGCATACTCAATTTCATACTTTAAGAATCCTTGTTGTGACAGACAACCATCTATTTTAATGTTTTAGGCTTTTGGGACCTCTTTCAAGTCATACAACGTTTTATTCAATATAAGAACCTTTTGTTTTCTTTCCTCCCATTCACCATTCAAAAATGCAGATTTTACATTCATTTGATGTATTTTGTCACCCTTTATACATGACGAGAGCTACAACTGTTTTTATTATTTTCATTCTGGCAACGGGTGCATAAACACTTTTTGTAGGCTAAACCTTCTCGCTGTAGAAAGTCTTTCGCCACAAGTCTGACTTCATGTCATCAAAGCTAACATTTTGATTTTCCACCATCAAATATCATTTCCAACAATTTTTCTCATAAATAACATCTCTACTAATGATAATTTTATTTTTGATAGGATCATATAACTTATACGCATTAGTTGAATGATATCTTACAAGAATTAACTTTTAGCTTCTATCATCGAGTTTCTTCCTCCTTTTATTTAGAACATATCTCAAAGAAATTGAACCAAATATTCTCAAATGTTTTATATTTGACTTTCTCACAAACCATACTTCCTCTAGTGTTTTCTCCTTTACTCTCATCGTTATACATCGATTCAAGATATATATGATTGTCGATATTGCTTCTACCAAAAATGAATGTGGTAAGCCTTTGGTCTTTAATATACTTCTGACCATATTTAAAATTATTCGATTTCTTCTTTCTGTAACTCTATTGTGTATGAGTTCGATCTCAATACTTTAATTGCTCGACCACATCGTTTCTCAACCATCAATTTAAAATTGGTAAAATGCCTAAACTCCTATGAATTTTTCTAGAACAAGTAAACTCACATCTTCTTACTATAGTCATCGATGGATGTCACAAAATACCTGTTACCACCTAGTGAAGAACATTGAATGGTCTACACACATCACTATAGATAACTTCTAACACATCCTTGCTTCTGATCTCGATGTACACCTAAAAGCGATTTCTGACTTGTTTTCATGTCATGCAACCTTCACATATGTCTTTATATTTTTGGACTCGAGACAATTCAATCACCATCTCTTTTCCTGCAAGTTGGCTTAAACTATAAAAGTCAAGATGACCATACCTTAAATGTCATAACCAATTGACATAAGAGACTGCTACTGCAAAACACAAGTTATTCAATACTGAAATATTAACTCAAATTACTCAGAGGTATCTCTAAAATGGGTGTTTAATTCTTATTGAGGATTCTCAAGATTTGATCCCTCGATCTCCAATCGCTCAAATGTTCTCTCTGAAGAAGTTGATTGATACTCAATAAATTGTGTTTTATGACTAGAACATAGAGCACATCCAAAATTATTGTAGATTTGTAGTATCTTCTTTTAATTATTATTCTTTCTTTCCCTTCACAATTCACTATCAAATTATTTGCAAATTTTACCTTTGATTTAACACTCTCATCGAGATCAATGAACAAATTCTTTTGAAATGACATGTGATTCAAACAAATAGTATCTAAATACCAAGATTTACCAAAAGTCTCCATTGATTTCGTCGTGGTCACCACTAATAACACTTCATCCTCCGAGTCTTCTTTTTGTGCAACATTTACTTCTTCTTCTTTGCTCCAACAATCAACAACATAATGACTATACTTGTAACAGTTATAACACTACATTCTTCTTACTCGCACCAGAGTCTAATTGATCACCTCTCCATTATAAGTTTCTGCCTCTACCACCTCTCGATTGTGAAGAGCTCTTTTGTTTCCTTTCTGAGCCTCTTCCACCATTATTTCTACCTCTTCCTTTTTCTCAAACTCTCTTGTCCGATTTTCCACGATTTCCTTCATTTTGGTTTTGTTTCGTCAACAACACTGTTCTGTGTTGAACCTTTCTTTCGCTCTCTCACGTAATCATTGTTCGTGAGCCTCCAATGATCACTATAATTCATCAAGTTTCAACAAATCGAAATCTTCAGACTTTTCGATAGTTACAAAAATTATGTTGAACCTAACATCGAGGGTTCTTAGCACCTTCTCCATAGAAAACAATATTGCAAAGTATTCTTGGATGATTTTTTGTGTCTCCATCTGCAACAACTCATACTAACGACTCAAGGTTTAAAGTAGCACCACCTTCAACCTTTATCTGCCTGCGTAATTGTGTGCCAGTATATCATGCTTCTTTCACTGGGTTTGTCAACGAAATCTTTTCAAAGTTTTTTTCATCAACACATTGATGAATGCAAAATTTATTTTTGCAATCACATTTCTTTTTCCCTCGAAACGTCGCATGTTATGCCTTAATGGGGTTCTCCGGTAGCCCCTCATATCCATTTAAAATTACATCTAAGACTTCTTGAAAACCAAAAAATGGTATTCACACACCAACTATCATACTCATTCAGGTTCTTGTTATGAAGCACCATTTTTTTCTTCTTCCCATATCTTGAAGTTTTTTATACCACCTTAACTGAAAGGGATCTAAAAACAAGTATTGAGATAATATCAAGAAAAAGAGGTATGTTTAATTATAAAATTGCATACTATATTTATAATCGTCGCTCAGGTTTGTTAGATTAACTCACCTAACTCAAACAATCATTACAACATAATTACTGAATTTTTATCTCACTTGGCAAAAATATATATATATTTTTTTTCAAAAAAGTATCAATCTTTTATATTCCGAATTCATCTGCTCTGCATCCTGTCATCTCCATTTCCAAGTCATGGAGTAAAGATTTTATCTTGAATAAGATAGGTTAATGTTTATGGTACTTGTCATCAAGTTATTTATGCATATAAAAACTAAAATTTATTGTTTAAATTCAACAAAAATCCCAAATTTACTGTAAGATGTAGAATAAATAACAGAACAAGGGAGTAATGGAGTTGTTGGCAATCGCCAAAATAATCATTACATGCCTTGAGATAGTTGAGCAGCAAAATTGGCAGAGTCAAAATTCCTGGAATAAGTTTGCCGTAGCGATGTTGAATACTGCATATATCCTGTGTCGGTTTCCGTTGACAAACCATCCTTCCTAGGTTGAATTATTTCTACAATGGCCTTTCTCAGAATGGAGAACCGACACCATCACATCCCTTCTGTAAAAAATAAATCCATAAATAATAGCCTTTATGTTGTCATTGGTGATATATTAGAATTTCATCTCCAATACCACTCATTCAATACGGTGGAACCGGTTCCAAAACAACCTTCCGCAGGACAAGGCTACATTGTGGAGAACAGCAACCAAATCAGTTGCAGTTCATGTGGTATAACTGGAAATTGGTCTATGGTCTACATTACAAATCATTAGGTATATATATATATATATATATATATATATATATATATATATATATATATATATATATATATATATTAGTACTGGGACTAGCAGAGAATTTTAGTCACGTGATGCACAACACCACAATTACATATATGCTCATCTTTAATTCGTCTTGCAAATAATGACAACACAGAAAATAACTCCAGTTGTACCTGCGATAGCATGTGAGTTTTTTCCATGATAAAATCTTTAGCCTCTATCTTAGAGATTTAAAAATAGGAGGGGATCCCTGAGTGGCTGGAAATAGTGAAAAGTTTGAAGGAAATCACAAAATCAAGGGCTCTGTCTATCTGTTATTAACAAGTTACCTAGTGATTACCATTAACCAGCGTCAGTCCACTAGATACATCTTCACAATGCTTCATATCTTGAAAAAGGGAAGTAAAATCAACTGTGCCATTGACCCTACAGTCATATTTGGGAGGATAATGGAAACAAGGCTCCATGGACTTGGCTCGTCGACAAGGTGGATCTGGGATGGTTTCATCGTATGCCCGCTGCAAAATCCATGGTTTCAAACCTCCAAGACTGTGAGCAACATACCCAAAAGTAGACTTAGGGCTTGTAACCAATGCATCACACAAACTCAGCAAATATATTTCAGTCCATGCCTTAATGTTGTGCATGTCATCATTTGACTTTTGACGCTCTTCATGGCTGGGCTGATAGACTCTTATTACTTCTGTGGTCACAGTTCTATTTGCCTGATACATAGTCTTCAGCCTCTCACCGTATTCTGAGTATAAAGATGCTACTAAAACAGCTTTTGAGGTTTTCTTCTTCGAAGGAGAAGTTACTGACTTTTGTGTGTTGAGATCAGGCAGCAACTTATGCTGAAGGGCGCAGGCTATAATTTCATTAATAACAGTTTGATGTGGCGCTCGATGAGTATTAAAAACTCTAATCTGCAGGCCAATCCTCTCATTTGCCTTGGCTAGGTGTGCCTCATAGAATTTTCTAATTATTTCCCATGCCTCATTTGATGGGTGAAGAAGGTAACGTCCAAGATGGTGGAAAACAGTGTCTTTCTCAGGGAACATTTTACTTAGATCTTGTCTAAATGATGGAATCATAAAAAGAGAAGGGACAAAATATTGGTCCGAACTTAAAATCAGCACAGGAATGTTCCGAAGAAGATCTTGACTTCCATCACAGTGAAAAAAATTATTGTGACCATCGTGGGTGTGCTGTAGATTAAGAATAAGAAATGGTGGCAAAAGTTCCTGTGAACTGTTTGCATTTGTATTCTTTAACATGCTTTCATATGTTTCAATATGTTTCTGATCTTTCCAATAAGGAAAACTCCTAGGCAATAACCATGAGGAATCAGGAAATGGTTCACAAAAGAGACCAAACATATCGGCCCCAAATTTAACAAGCAGAACACGATCTGTAAGAATAGCATAAAGAAATGCTGCAACCAAGGTTACTATTCTGTTCCCTAAGCCATTGGCAGCTGTCCAGACAAGATATTTACACTTTGTACTAACATCAATTTTGCTAAAGTTTGTTCCCATTGTCATGATTTTGTTGTATGATTTGGTAGAAGGTCCACAATTTCTATGAAGATGTTCATAGTTTCGTAGCTTGGATATCAGATATTTAGAAGGTTTGTGAGGGGAAGTTTTGCGGTACAAATAAGATCGATATCTGCTAAAGCATGATGCTTCATCAAATGAGGAAACCAGAAGCCCATCAAGGAGTTTGTCATTAGAAATGGTGGTAGTAGATAGAGACAGAACATTCTTCCCATCTTCAAATGAATTATTCTTTGGACCTGTAGATGCAGAAATAAACAAAAAAATTATACAACATTTATATCCAGATACAATGTGTTGAAACTTTAGTCGAGTTATGTTATAGCTTTAATCCATGAAAGTGAATGAATCGGATGAAATCATCCTATAGCTCATTTTAATATATCGTCTTGCCTGATAGAAAAACCTGAGCTTTTTAACCAATGGTAAGTGGTGACCTACCAAGGCGAGTATTAATTTTTTTTTTTCTCAACTATGCGATAGTTCTGAGTACAAGAAGTCATAAATGTTTGTTAAAACCAGACCCTTATAGTGATCTTCAAACTAATCCGTGTATATTATGCATCACAAAAATATTCAAATTAATAACAAAGAAAATGTAAGGAAAAAAAAAAGGTGAAATTAAGGTAGAAGCAAGAGTATATGTTACCAATACCTGAGAGAGATTGTGTCTGAGTTCGTTCTTCTAAGATCCCAGGCGTAACCCCTTGTCTTAAGAAATTTTGAGCTCCTTGTTGTAAGAAATTAGTAGTGGTAGCATTTTGAGTTCCTTGTTTTAAGGCAATATTAGTAGCATTGTGTGCTTTTGCAGCCAAAGCGTTAAAAGCTTGGACGAGATCAAAAACTGAGATTTGGTGTATGAGAGTAAATGTGACTAAAATAGGGAAGGTTACAGAAGCCACAACCAATAATGTTCTGAAACTCTTGAAACTCCATCCTACTTTATCCATCGTAACTTGGTGACATGAAGCAGCTTCAGATATCAAGTAATTAATTAACTGCCTACGCTACAAAAACATTCAGATTGAAAAACTATGGAAAACAAACCAACATAAATTGTTAGTAGCAGGCGGCGATTCATCCGAGAACAGCGACAGAAGCCAGATCCTCGAGTTTACCTACTCGTTTGTATCAAAATCGAATTTGATCGATAGAAAGAAATAAAGAAATGCGAGAAAGAAGCTGGGAAAAGAGGAATCACGGGCTCATCGACAAATAATTTGTGATCTCCGGAACCAACTTCGCTCTCCGACAACATAACTGCCTCCTGTAACAATTACTGCCACATATGTTTCGATGTCTGTCGGTGACACAAAATTCAGAAAATGCTTTCGGACAACACTGGTCTCACTCATCTCTTTTTTTTATTGACCAAATATTCCTTTAAAACGATTTTTATTTTTTACTTGATAAAAAATTGTAGTTTTTGTAAAAATAAACATTTTAGATGAAATAAATTAACTAACGTTTTTTACGTAAAATAAAATAAAATAAAACATAAAATTAGTTTATATATTAAATTATAAATAAATTTTAATTTACTTAAAAATTATTAAATAATGATGAGATGTACATTTTTAAATCTCCCTTAACGAATTAATCTTATAAATAATATATTTCAAAAAAAATACTTAATTAAAATTTATATTAATTTATTTACTCAATTACATCCCTCATCTTTTAATTTTCTATCCAATTTATTCTTTTAATTAAAAATATTATATTAAGATTTAATAAAATTATGTTAATATAAAATTTTTAAAATCTGTAACTAAAAAGATATCAATTAATTATTTAAAATTAATATGACACTAAATAATTAATTTTAAATCATTTTATCATAATAAATTAATTATTCATCGAATTAAAAATATTAAATATTTATAAATTAAATATATATTTTATTTAGTAATTTAATTTAATTATAATTAGGTTGAGATATGAAGATTAGTATATTAGGTTTAGTTATGACAAAAATTTATTTTTTTTAAAACTCGATTCATCCATTCTAGATTTTAATGATCATTTGAATAAAATAGGGATTATTGGCATTACTTTGGCAAAGCAAACAAGGTTGGTATCTAGCTTGTTTGTTGCCTAGTCATAGGTATTAACCACCTTCAGTCCACCAGACACATCTTCACAATGCTCAATATGATTGAAAAGGGAAGTAAAATCGACTGTGCTATTGGCCCTACAATCATACTTGGGAGGAAAATGGAAACAAGGTTCCATGTACTTGGCTCGTTGACAAGGTGGATCTGGGACGGTTTTCCCATATAAAGTCTGCAAAATCCATGGTTTCAAACCTCCAAGACTGTGAGCAACATACCCAAAAGTGGACATGGGGCTTGTAACCAATGCATCACACAAACTCAGTAAATATATTTCAGTCCATGCCTTAATGTTGTGCATGCTATCACTTGAATTTTGACGCTCCTCATGACTTGGCTGATAAACTTTTATTACTTGCCTGCTCGAACTTGTATTTGTCTGATACATAGTCTTCAACTTCTCTCCATATTTTGAGTATAAAGATACTACTAGAACAGCTTTTGAGGTCTGCTTTTCTAAAGGAAAAGTCGCTGAGTTTTGCAGCTCGAATTCTGGCAACAACTTATTTTGATGCGCGCAAGCTACAATTTCATTGAGAATGATTTGATGTGGTGTTTGTTGGGTATTAAATACTCTAATCTGCAGGCCAATCCTCTCATCTGCCTTAGTTAGGTGTGCCTCGTAGAAATTCCGAATTAGTTCCCATGCCTCATTTGATGGGTGAAAAAGGTAACGTCCCAGATGATAAAATATAGTGTCTTTGTTAGGGAACATTTTGCTCAGCTCTTGTTCAAACGAGGATATCATAAAAAGAGAAGGGACAAAATATTGATTCGACCATATAATCAGCACGGGGATTTTGTGGAGAAGATCCTGACTTTGATCACAATGAAAAAGATCAGTATGACCAACATGGGTATGCATTAAATTAAGAAAAATAACTGGTGGCAAAAGCTCATGTGATCTGTTTTCCTTGTTATTCATAAACAAGCTTTCACGTGTTTCAAATTGTTGCAGATCTTTCCAATAAGGAGAATTCTTGGGCAACAACCATGAGGAGTCAGGAAATGGCTCACAAAAGAGATCAAACATATCAACGTCAAATCTAACAAGTAGAACACGGTCTGTGAGGATAGCATAAAGAAATGCTGCAACCAAGGTTATCATCCTGTTCCCTAACCCATCGGTAGCTGTCCAGACAAGATATTTGCACTCTTTACCAACATCATTTTTGCTCAATTTTGCACCCTTTCTCATGGTTTCGTTGTAGGATTTGGTATAAGGTCCACAACTTTGATGAAGACGTTCATAGTTTCGTAGCTTGGATATCAGATATTTAGAAGGTTTGTGAGGAGAAGCTTTGCGATACAAATAAGATTGATACCTGCTTGTGCATGATGCTTCATCAAATGAGGAAACTAAAAGTCCATCAAGGAGTTTGTCATTAGCAATGGTAGTAGATAGGGATGGATCATTCTTCTCATCTTCAAATACATTATTCTTTGGACCTTCAAATGTGGAAATAATAAAATAAAATCACACACAATTTTCTACAATAATTATATCTGGATAACAATGATACTGGGAAATAGTTTCAAACAGTGGACTTACCTACAACTGGCTGTGTAATATTGAGATTCTTTTCTACCCCAGCTTGAACTGCTGCAGTATTTTGAGTCCCTTGTTTTGAGATATTAGCAGTAGTATTCTGGGTTCCTTCAATGAATACGTTAAATTCTTGGAGGATATCAAAGATTGAGTTTTGATGTGTGAAAGAAAATGTGATTAAAATAGGGATGATTATGGAAGCTAGAATTAACAATGTTCTGAAGCTCTTGAAACTCCTCCCTACTCCACCCATCCTGATTTGATGGCATGCATGCAACTTCAGATATCAATGACAGTAACATGTACTTGTAAATAGCAACATATATACAAATACGATGAAACAACTTACACTTTCGTGTCGAAATTGTATTTGATCGAGAAGCATAGCCAATGCGAAAAGCTGAAGAGAATCGAGGAGTGAGTAGTTTGTTTCCTCCAAATCCTCGCTCCCTAGTACTTCCTTAAATCATTTGGTCTTGTAACCACTTTCGTTGACTACTATTACCTCCAACAATTTGGTCAACTTTGAATTCTTGTTCTGAAGTCAACTTTTTCTATAAACTGCAAATTATATAAACATTGTATAAAGAGGACAGAAATTACATATACTACTAAATTAAATAATATTAATTAATATTATATAAACTGATAATATTAATAACATATAATTGAATATTTATATTAATTTATTAAGAAGACTATCAAAGTTAGATAGTAATAATTATAATAATAATAATAATAAATATTTAATGTAAAATAAATGTCAAAACTCTCCAATTAATAATTAATAATAAAAAATGATATTTTATAAAATAGTATATGTGAAATAACGATGATATTATCTATTGAAATAATCCTTTTCACTGGAAGAAGAATAATTCTTTGTAAAAAGTAAATATTGGTATGGAATTCAGATAAAGTTTTTTTTTCATAATTTAAGAGCAGATTTCTTGAATTTGATATTTAATAAATCTTTTGTGAATTAATTTTCGAATGAAAGGGTGTAAAAAAACGTTGGAATTAATTCTACATTTTACCATTCAATTATTATTATTTTGCAAATTTTATCTTTTAAGTTTTTTTTTCACATTTTAGTATGGAGTTTTCAATTTTTGATCAATTACTACCCAAGTTTTTGTCCATATATTTTGTAGTCGTGTGTTTACAATTTTTACAATTTACTTACATTATCACAATGGTAAAATACGTAAAAATTGAAAAATATTATAATAAAATATGCGGAAAAAAAATGAATGAAAAAAAATTGTATAATATGCCATTAAATCAATAAGTTTAATTAATAAAATGTGCTTGGTTTGTTTAGTTTGAGGTATGAATTGAATTCGGGCATTAATGTGTTAAAAATATATGTAATCGTTTCAATTGAATTTGAAGTTTTTATTGATTTGAACCAGATTGACCCATGATAGGATGAATGAACTGTCGGTTTGATTTTTTTTATTTAATTAATAAAATATTAAATGATGATTTTAAAAAAATAAAATATTAAATACTAAATTTATTATTACATCTTATGTTGATGTTTATTTGAATTTTGCTTTTATTTCTTAACAGTTATGTTATAATTAATGAAGTCAATTTTATTGATATAATAATTAAGAAAATGATTATTTCACAACTCAAATTCATATAACTTTTATAAATAATTTTTTTTTAATATTATATAATAATTTTACTTTATTTTTATTTTTATTAAATCAGTCTATATATTATTATTATATTAATAAAAATAAGTTGTTTAAAGGATGGTTTAGTTGTTAACACTCGTTGATATAAAGTATATTTTGATGACGTTAAGAGCGCTGTATTGGTAATTTTAACTATGAAATTATCATTGTCAGAGAAAATGGTAGGAGTTAAGAAATTTTTTTCAGAAGAAGAAAAATGATTTGGGTAACAGTTTAACTTCTCAACACTGTTTCTTAAAGAATAAACCATTTTACTAAAAAGGGGTGTAAAAAGTTTGAAAATTTGAAGGAATCATTTTGGTGTGAAGAATATGTGTAATATTTGATGTTCTGAGATGGGGATAAGTTTGTTGTTGATATTTGTGGATATATAGTGAGGGACCGCTTTTATCTGCTCCAACACACCATGCTACTCTGCTTCACACACATCTTAATTCTCCACCAAACATGTCGCTGTATTTGTTCTTGTCCAAATGTATAAAGAAACCATTTTTATGCTCTTCCTCTCCCATTTCATTTCTTCTCTCTCTTTCTCAATCCCTGCCCCACTTTTTCTTTCATCAAAATGGCTGTGGCCATGGCTGCTTGCAGTATTGGACTTCACTTAACTGCTGATAACACCTTCAGAGCTTTTGAAAAAACCACCGTCTTCAAGGCCTCCTCTATCTCTGATGCCACCAAACTATGTTGCATTACTCACAAAACAACAAGGTATATATGCTAACAGTAATTTTCGGTTGTTGGTCTTGGATTATATCCAAATATGGTGCTGTCTTTTTGTTTTTTTCTCGTAATGCTTCAGTTCATTTTATAATTCAATTAATAGTTTCGGCTTGAACTGTGATCTCATGGTTAAGTTAATAGCTAGGAATGTTTAGGATGAGCACTGAAAAATATTGGTTCATTAATATCTTCAATTTGTGGAAGAATTATAAAACTTGGGAAGTGAAGTGAGTGTAAAGCTGCTAGGAGTGCACCCCAATGATTTGTGTTAATTGTACGTATCATTTTGTCAGATTATCATCTTCAGGAATAACAATCATCCCACGAGCATCAACAGTTACTGGTACTGTGGAGGTATATATTTAGCAAAATCAATCAATATGGTTGTCATTCATTTATTGCATGTGAATATATATATATATATATATATATATATATATATATATATATATATATATATATATATATATATATTGGTAGTATAACTAGTTCAGTTTTGTGATGCTTGTTGACTCTCATCACTGAAACATTTGGGTTCAACTTTGTGTATGGAGAACAGGATGGGAATCAAGGAGAGACTGACACCATTCCAACTCCGATAGTTATAATTGATCAAGACTCTGATCCCGATGCAACGGTGGTGGAGATCACCTTTGGTGATCGCCTTGGGGCTCTTCTTGACACTGTAATTTAAGCCACCCCATTATCTTTTACTTAAGTTTTGGATAATGAGTACTAATAAAACTGACTTTGCAGATGAATGCTTTGAAAAACTTGGGACTCAATGTTGTTAAGGCAAATGTGTTTCTGGATTCTTCTGGCAAGCACAACAGGTTTTCCATCACAAAAGCGTAAGGACCGTGTCAGTAATAATACATCGTCTTATTCTACATTCTAGAACCAATTATCTGTTTAAGACGCATAATAGGAAAGAAAGAGGATAGATTTCAAATCAATGCGCTACGTTTACCATTCATCTTGCGTATCCTTGTTTCTCAATATTCCATTGCTGTGATTGGTAGTAAAATAAGATTCACCTTCTGTCAATGGGAATAAAATCTTCAAGTACTAAGCTGAGTTGGCTCTTCTGTAATGTCTAAAGAAAGATGGGATAATGAATGGCCAAAATTTGATGTTATCCTACCATATCTTCTATTCTACTCACGGAGACAGAATATCTATTTCTAATTATATTATTTGTACTTTGAGGTGCCAAAATCCGAAGTAAAAAATGATTGATTATGTTAGTGGAGTTTTGACTGCAGTGACTCTGGTAGAAAAGTGGAAGATCCAGAGTTGTTAGAGGCAATCCGTTTGACAATTTTAAATAATATGATTCAGTATCACCCGGTATGTGATCTCATAATAAACTCTCAGTCTTGTCTTATATATATATCTTGAAGCATGCATTCATGCATGATTTGGTTAGAAAGCAAGAGGGAATAGAGTTAATTTGATTCAAAATGGTGGTGAAGGAATCAAGTGCTCAATTAGCTCTAGGAGCAGCTTTCGGACTTGTGCCTCCAAGGGAACAGGTTGATGTAGAGATAGCAACCCACATAACCATCTCTGATGACGGCCCAGATCGAAGGTGATGCAGATTAACATGTTGATTCAAAAAGGGCATTGCATAGTTGATGATAATTGCAAACTCACAATATTAATATATAATAATATTGGAGATTAATGAATTGTGTTTTGTTGATGTTGTTGTTGGCAGTTTGCTGTATGTGGAGACAGCTGATCGACCTGGATTACTGGTGGATCTTGTAAAGATTATTACTGACATTAACATTGCTGTTGAATCCGGGGAATTTGACACTGAGGTAAGCAGTTAACTACATATATCATATATTAACTATTTTTTCACTCTTCAAACATTCAAATATGAATCAAACGTAGGGGCTCTTGGCTAAGGCAAAGTTTCATGTCAACTACAAGGACAAAGCCCTCATCAAGCCTCTCCAGCAGGTAAACACTTTTTTTATTTGTTCAATCAACCATCCAGTCATGACAAATCAACCCTTGCCATGGTTACTTTTTTGTAGGTTCTTGTTAACAGCTTGAGATATTTCTTGAGGCGACCTACAACTGAGGAATCCAGTTTTTGAGTGGCAATTATCACAAGTTTCAACCACTCCAATATAATTGCATTGCACCATGCATGTATTCTTCTCCATTTAGAGTGCAGTTACTAATAAATTTGATAAACCTGTGTATCGTTGTAAAGGAACATTGCCAATTTATTATTTTAACGTTTTCTTTTCTTTTTACATGGTAGATTGATTGGATTGGTTACTAAGTTTTAAGCATAGAGGAGATTAGGGTTGACTTGGCTCAACTAAAACTCTACCTACAATTATGGGATTGGGTTGAGTTCATAAGACTAATTAATAATTAATTTCAAAGCCAACCAATCCAAAACAATGTTTGGATTTCAGAGTTGAAGATTTTGAATCTGACTCAATCTAATTTTGACCACACTAAAATATAAAACACATGTAATAGTAATAGTAATCTTCAATTTTATTTCATAACTTTTATATTTTAAATTTTAACCATATGATCTAGTAATTCAATTTGAACTAAGCCACCTCGTCTAAAATCGGCTCAAACATTTTTAATTAACTCGAGGTTCAAAATTTCTCCAAACATAAACCATACAATACTCCTTTCTTATTTCAACTATTCTATTTTCTATATCAAATTGAAAAACACCATCTTGTGAGTGACTATAACCTTACATCAGTCACTCAATCTGCAACATATTTTCTAAGAAAATTTTGCAGTAGAAATGAATTATCACACTTTATACCATATTTTGCAGAACACAAACTATATATATATATATATATATATATATATATATATATATATATATATATATATATATATATATATATATGTGTGTGTGTGTGTGTGTGTGTATTCTCCAATAAATACAAAAAAAAAAAACTGTCTAAACATACCAATGATCATTTCAAGTTTATAATATGCCACAAATCACCAATAAAAAATTGCATAATAGTATACTTATATGACTCAAATATCATACATGAACAGAGAGTAATTCAAGTAGATAGAGAGTGAGTGGGATATGCTATAGTTTCTTCAAAATTTATAACTTCTTTTAGAATGCCAACATATATCTGACAAGCTGCTTTGTCTTATTCCTAAATTGGGATCACTTTTTATCACTTTATTTATACAAAAAGCTTCTGCTGCTCCAAATGTACTACACTCTTTCCTGTTTTCTTTTTACGGATAATTTTTCCTTTTTGGGAAAGGAATATATTATAATATCATAATTTATCTTGTGAAAAAACGACTTTGAAGTTTGTGACTTAGCTCTGGATTAAAATTTCTCAGGTCAGGGATATCTTCCTGGATTTTAACTGAAGTAATGTTTGTCCAATGAACGAGGCAAAGATAGTGTAAGTTCAATTCTACCAAATTTAAGATTGCGAGATAGAATTGAAAGTGCAGTTCACATGTCATGTGAATCATTAAAAAATTGAGGTTGAGTGAGGGACAGCCTTAAACAATTGAATTTTTTTTTTCAAACTTCTCCGCTACCTACCAGTGAGAAATTATTATGAAATGTGAAAGGAAGCTGATTCTTAAGACCCAGTGAGGAGTATTGAAAGAAAAGGTAGTTGAGAAAATCAGCATGTGTTAGGGTGAGAGACAAGACAAGTGAGGATTTCTTAATTAGTTGATAAAATAACTATCTGCAATTTTTACCATTGCTGTGTGTGTATAGTCTGTTAGATTGTCGAGTTTGGTCCTTGACACATTTATGTGGATGTCAATTCTGCTAAAGCACGCAAGCAGAGGACTTGACACACTCGTGCAAGTGGCTTGGCCAACAAATGACCACGTCATCAGTTGCTTCAGATAGAAGGAGTGTATAGCTTCCTCAACCTCAACTCTAAAATCAATGCAAAGAAATTGAGGTCTATTCTGCTGTGACTAACTGAGTGGTGAAGCATGGGCATCACTGTTTCGAATAGCATCACAAAATCACATCGACATTAAAATCATATCAACAGGTTCAATTCATGCACAAGTTACTTCTTAATGCTTCTGCTAAACTTGAGGGGCAACTATCCATGTTACAAATTTGGTTCCAAACTCGTACTCCATCAATACTTTTTGTTTCTTTCTATCTTTTTACTCATCACTAATGTATATCATATTCACACTTTTTTCTAGTCTTTCTCTTTTTCTTCCAAAGGTATCGAATAGCACGAATGCAGTAGTCAAAGTAACATTTTTCCTATGAGGTGGGTTGTGGAATGTACATCTAGATGTGGCCAAAGTTAGTCGGTCTGCTTCTGTCACCTCACCTAATTATTTACTTTCTTGATGCGGTCATGAAGAGTTTCCTTTTACTCTAGAGGTGTACTATTCCCTCTGCACTCTGTTTTATATTTTATGGGTAATTAAGAATCCCGAATCGCGTCCTGGGGTCAATTTAGTACAGCACAATAGCTACATTACCTACCTGGTCAGTAGTCATCAATGTAACAATTCTGGATTCTTTTTTGCAGTATTGGTTGAACGCCTCAGGTTTGTGCTGCTTTTTATACTTTCTACCTACTACCTACTTTCAGGAAACCAGACTTGAAATATTGCAGTTAGAAGCTCTAGCTAAGCATTCTGACCGATCTGGTTTATGAATATAGCCATAGGGTTTGAACCTGAAAATGTTGGATGAAGTGCAAGGAGTTACCTCCAATTGAGTTTAAGAGGATGTAAAAGAACTAAAACCCTGGGATCAAGGACGAATACAGCTAAGTTGAGCAAAGACGTGAAAGACCAAACTTGCTCCTTTTCTAAGAAGGCTCAACATTACTTTGGCTATATATCATTCCCACTAAAGCAATCAGTTTATAACTTAAAGAATGCTTCCATATTTTATATTGGGCTTTTGTTAAAACTTTGCCCAACACAATGTAGGTGTTGTAAGAACACTACTACATTTAGTTTGTCAGACGGGAAGATTGATATAGTCATTAATAAACCGTCTTCTTCATCTGTCTGACATCCATTTATTCTGAAATTGGATTCGACGTGGTTTGTTTAAATACTTCTTCAACTTGTTTTATAAAAAATCTCACAATACCATCGGGAACAATTGGTTTAAACAAAAAAATCAATTCTATGACTTTCAAATTAACTTTGGTAGGATCGAGTAGCTGAACTGTTTAAGAAGTGAAATCATCGTGTAATAACAGGTCATTTTTCCACCTAGTTTGATTTACAGATAATTCCTATCGCTTACGATACTTATGATTAATGTGGAATATAGTTTGCGAAGAGAAAAAACTCAGACTAGGAGTCCGAATCTGTGTAATGTATTAAGTAGTTTGAGAACCGGGTATCGTTGCCTCCCTTTTTATTAGTCTTTCGTATATAGCAGCAGTGTTCCAAATAGATGGTGGGAAAATGAAAAGGAGATATTGTATCATGAATACATTGCTCTTTTTGAAGCAATGATTTTCTTTGCCTTTATATATGCTACAGAAAATTCGCAAGAAACTTAATCGAAACCTGATTTTAACTGTCCTAGTTTACCTCGATGCAGAAGAATAGAAAAGTTTGAGCTGAGCCTGATTAGCAAATGCACAATCAGCTACACTTGCTATCCTGAATGGAGCTCGTTTCCCACTGAAAGGATTGATCAAATTGAGGAATATGTCGCCATGTCCTACGTTGTATTTACATAGAGATCCTTCCTATGCTCTAACACGATTCACATATAGAAAACTTGACACCGAGTTAAATACAGTTCACTCATTTTGTACTCGATTATTGTGCAACATTTTTCCTGAGATTGCAGCAACTAGTGCTGCTCTGAAATTAGGATCCTTGGTCAAGGAAGTAGCCATCTGTTCTACCAAAACCTTAGGGACTTCTGGTGTATCGATTTTGGGAGAAATATTCTTTGAATCGCTGCGGGACTTTGATTTGGTCCAGTCAAGGGTAACCATTGGTGTGGAAGAGCTAAGAGACGCTGAACATGGTACCGAACCTAGGGTCATACCACGGTTGGAGCCTGTGGTTACCTCCATATGAGAAGGGTGGGGATGATTGTGCTCTCCTTCATAAGTTGCAACCAGAACAGATTGATCATCCACACTTCTTTGCACCTGAATATGAATTACAAAAACAATTTAGCTAGAGATTCAGTTCCATAGTGGAGTATGAATGCTTTGTTGTTCTTAATTAGCTCTTGGATTTACCTTCTTTTTGACCGGGCAGCTTGGAGCGAAAGAGCACTTGAAATAAGCTCTTGGAGAAGGGTTATCCCTGGTCACCTTTTGACCGTATTTCCTCCACTGATATCCATCTTTAACAATCTGGAAACACGGAAAAATGAAAACCCCGTCAAACTAATGCACAAGAGTCTTAATGGCTATGACTGCTCAGTTACTGTTAAGAATCTTACAAGGCTCGAGTCAGATGCTTCTGTCCTCACGTAAACTCTTGAAACCGTTGTCTTTATGTCTTCCTTTGGTTTCTTGCATGATTCTTCATCGGTTGAGCTGCTTTCAGAGTTTCCGTTGATTCCCACTGGAACACTATTGTTGTGGCTGCTTTCTGACTTTCTTTTCTTCGATGGACTGAGCTCCTTATCAGGGTTCTTCCTCATATATTCCATCAAATTGCTTCGCAAAGCATTGTAGTTCTCACACATCTCTGTGAGCATTTCGGTCAACTTCTTGTTCTCTGCACTCACCCGCTTCAGCTCCTCCACCAAGGCACCAGAAGACTGAAATGGCAGCACATACATGATCATTCATGCAGCTTTAAAGAGGGGAAACAGAACTTATATCTAGTATCCACCACAATGAACGTAATTATTAACTAAACCGAATGGTGCCACAGGGGGAGCAAAATCGAAGCTAGAATAATCCGTTGGTTTTGGATTAAAAAATATATATTTCAAGTCTTACTGAACCATATCTCCTTTAAATCAATTTAGATTGTTGACAGAAGAACACGATTTAAAGATAAAAGCTTGAAGAAGTAGAATTGGCAGAACTAACCTCTTCTTTTACGGAAGATTTCTTCAGCCCCAGAGAGAAAAAATTGGTTTCCACCTCCTTTTTCTGAAATGAACACACAAAGAAGAAAGAATTATTTCCCGTGTCAAACATTATTCCGAGGGGAACAATTGACAGAAGATCTTCCACGCAATACGATACACCATTGGAATGGATTGTTTATACTTACGGGAAATTCTTCATGAATCCTGCGGGGAATAATATTGAGATCCAAGGAGGTGTTAATCCATGATGAATAATCCATGACTGCCAAATAAAGTGAAGGAAGAAGCAGTTTCCCGGTAATAAGCACTCTGGTTGTGTAAAGCTTCAATTATGAAAAGCTCTTGTTGGAGACAAAAGTCAAATTGTAGTAGCTAGATTTTTACGTCAAGCAATACCCAGATGAAGAGAATGTAGAGGAAGGCGAAAGGTTGAAACTTTGTGAAGTTCGTGGTAGACGAAGTGGGAGAGGCTTATATAAGGGAAAAGAAAGGGAGCGCGCAAGTTGAAACGAAAGGAGCACAAGTTGAAGGAGGAAACCGAGAGGAAAGAGAGTGAAGAAAAGGACACATGCGAATATATCCCGCTACTTGGTTTTTTCAGAGCTGGCATTTTAATTACATTTTCATTTTTTATTTATTATATTTTCCATTTCAATTTCAATTTCAACACGTCGCTGTCAGAGCTAGTATTGGACTAGACTACTAAACAAGATAAGAAGAACGTGTCACCCATTTATTAATCATTGTATATGTGACCACCTTCGAACCAAGTTTATTCTAAATTTTAATTTTAACATATGAATCCTACCTGTGAAAAAAATATTTAATCTATTAAATAATTATTATTATTTTTACACCTTGATATTCAAATTTTTAGTTAATTAATATAAATATTATTTTTTTTCCTTCTTTAACTCTACCTCTGTATAAATTATCATTGGTTCATGGATATAGTTGACGTGAGAAATGCATGTCGGTGAAATTGTATATAGATGGAATGAAATTCAAATTTCAAAGTCAAGCCCGCCTTGAAAATTCTGCATTAAAATATTCTAAATAATTGATTACACGTATAGTATCATACTACATTGTACTACTTCAAAACTTGTGGATTCGGTTCTTTTCCTTTTCTATTTTCAACACCACAACTATTTCCCTCACTGTGTTAAATAGTTAAATTTCGTGGAAAATTAATTTAGAATGTTTGCGTATTAAATAATGGGATGCTATAAAAATGAGGAGTATTGACCCCAAGTCGTCTTAATTTGTCCTGGTCATACTTTGTTTCTTAGTGGGGTCCTTTCTATTATTTTTTTTTCTCGGTTACTATTTAAAACATTTTCCACGTTCTATCATCTTTCATTTTTATTATATTATCACACTTCTTCTCTCAGAATAAACAAAGTAAGCTTTTGTTTTTTTATGATTTTTTTTTTCTTGTATTCTAAAATAGTTTGATATGAAAAACGTTTTGTAGTGAAACGGCAGAGAGAAGGTTTGCAACTTACAAGGTAAGAAGACAAATCAGAGTTCCACATCGATCATTTCGGTGATGCTTTCGGTGCAAATGTCTCAAAACAATGATGGTTTTTCTTCAGTGTTGGATGGATGAGTCCATGTAAATCTATTTTTTTTTTATTAATTTAAAAAGTGGAAAAGAAAAAGGTTTGATTTTGTAAAAAAAGTAATTAATTAGAGGAATAAAAAAATATTGAGGGAGTAAAATGGAAGAACAATGTTAGAGGGGAAAGGGAGAAAGTACAAGAAGTGAGACCCACCAATTGACCATGACCAAAATTAATGAAGACCAGTGGTGTTGCACAAATTAGTCAATCCATTGAATTGAACCCTTGATTTTTCTACAAGTTCACACATTCATGAACGGGTTTAAATTTTCTCCCATGTCCACATCCAATTAATTACGGGACCTAATCATGGACAATTAATGACCTTTTCCATTTGAGTAAAGTTGGTTGGATTAATAATCCACCCATGAAACACACAACACAAACTTGTTAATGGAAGAAGATAGAGAGGTTCTTTTCATTTCATGGCTTAAAAGTCAAATTCAAACGTCGAAACAAAAACACAAGGCAAAGTTATTATTATTGCAAGGTGATGACATGCATGATGTAAGCAACGGCAACGGCAACGGCACTATGTGATGTGATGTGATGTGATGTGATGCTTCCCTACTTTCTGCATTTTCATTATTCACTTCCGTGTCTCATGTTCTACCTTGTATGTTTGTTTACGTGCGCTCACCACCACCACCACTTTCAGTCTCAATACTCTGTCTTGTGTTTCTCAAACCCTAAACCCTAACCAAGTCGAAAAATTGGTCTCTCACATTCCATTGACGACTGGTAATTAACCAAGGAAGAAGAAAGAGAAAGCGTGGAATTCAAATTCTGGGTATTATTTCTCAGCACGTGTTTGGGATCGGTGATAGCGATGAAAAGCATTAGTTGATTCAACTTATGCTGGGCCCTGTTTGTGAGACCTCCAAATCGGAAGAAGTTTCTTCTTTTGTTTAATTTTAACAACCCTGGAAAAAGGAATTAATTAAATAAAAAGCATGCCAAACAAACAAACAAGGAATGCGCACGAGGATTGACTTCTGAATTACTCTCCCGACCTCATTATTCCTGTCCCTTTCTCTTCTCGCTCCATCTTTTTAACATGCTCTTTTTTTTGTTCTTTTTATCTTTTCAAATATATCTATTTTTTCTAATTATCTTTTCATATTAATAAATAAATTATATAAAAAATAACCATTTTTTTAATTTCTAAATAGGCATCATCAACTTAATTCAACTTTTTTAAACCATTTATTAATTGGAACTAATTGATATGTTATACAATGATATCTGAATTTATTTAATGAATCATAAAAAAATTAAATAAATTAAATAAATAAGAATATTGCTATTTTTATATAAAAATTTATGTAACCAAAATGAAAAGAAGGGGTGAGTGTTGACTAACCTTTGATGAATTGAAAAATATAAAACTTATTTTTTAATTTTATTCATATATTTTTTTATACAAATATCATGTATTTATAATATTTTATTTCTATAAATCAGGACTAAATAAAATAAGATCTAATTATACACTATTTTATACAGTTATACAAATTTATAATTTAATTAATCAAATATTTTCATCTCAACAGAATTTATGTGAGGACAATGAAATCAACTTACGTTTTGGTTCCTATATTTCATAATTTCTCATTGAAACTCCTTGCTTCAAATCAAATATCTAAAATATTATTTTCATAATTTTGTTTTTATACTCTAACTTCAACTTCTTTTATTTATGTATAATTTCTATACCTCCATTCTCCATCCCTCCATTTTTTGCTATTTGATTTTTTCATGCTATCATCTCTATTGAAGACTTTTTCTAATAATAAAAAATAAGTAATTGTTAATATTATATATGAATTACATACCTAAATTGTCTAATCTGAAACAATGTGGCAAAAATGAAATTGAATTCTGGAACACCTAATCCGGAATACATTTTCATATTATATTTTTTAAAATGTATTTTCAAAAAAAGACAATCCGAAAAGACATTTTGGATTGAGTATTCTAGAATGTATTTTTGAAAATACTATGAAAATGAATTCTAAATTGGATGTCCTGTAATATATTTTCAAAAAGACCAATGTACAAAATACTTCGAAGATAAAGATAAATATAAAAATAAAATAAGATTTAATTTAACTATAGGGTGCAGAAAGTAATTATGGTGACGCTGGAAACAAGAACACTCAAATTGTCCAACGATTAAACGGTCTCTCTCTCTCTTCTAAGCCCACGCCAGTGATCTTGCATAATGTTTTTTTTTTTTGTAATTAGAATGTCATCCTGTCAAGCCCATTACAAACTGGGCCAAGATGAATTGTGGGCCCACATTCAAACCGAACTCAATATCCAACCCATTCCTTGATAAAAGTTTACGATTCACAATTGATTGTAGAAATTACGACACGTTAAAACAAAGAAGACATGAAAGTTAATAAATGGAGTGAAATTTGTATATTTTTACTTTATTTTATTTTTAATAGTAAAAAACATTTGATATTAGAAAAAAATCATTTATATTCAATCATTATATTTCTAATTATTTTAAAAAATGGATTTTTCTTTTATTTTTGGGAATTTTTTTCTTTCATTGATTAAAATATTCAACTTATGAATTAACCAACTAGCTTAGTTTTGGCTCTGCTTCATGCATAATGTTAACTGGAAGGAACTTCAAATTTCGGCAAGAGATTGACTAAAAATAATAAATTATGAAAGTAGTGAAAATTGTGTAATCTATTATATTATATATTTGTAATTTAAGAAGAGTACCAATTAAAGTTTGATCTTGTATTATTAATAAATACAAATTTCATAAAGAAAAAAAAAGGTGGGCCAGATTGGAACGTGACGGTGTGAAAGGACAGATTCGTGTTTTCTGCAAATCCTGTGGATTTTTCTCCATTGCAACTTGCACGGCGCATATCATAATTTTTTTTGTTTTTTTGATAAAAATAGCTTTTTAAAAAATTTAAATAAGTTTACTCATAAACAAATAATTACTAACGAATATTAAAAAAAAAAAAAGTTAAAAAGCATGATAGTAGCATTATGAGGGTTGTTGTCATTTATTTGCAATAAATGAAAAGGTTGTTTCTGTTAGGTTTGGGTTTGGTTATTTGGTCAAAACCATAGAAAGCTAGCTGTATTCGACTCACATCCACGTCACCACCTCATCATTCTCCTGCAAGGGTTAATCTTATCTCTCCCAACCCTAATTTCTAATTTCTATTCCTTCAATTTATCACACGTATTTTCAAAAACATTTGAAATTATTTATTTATCAAAGCATTTAATTTAGGAGAAAGCAACCAATAAAACCAATAAAGTTGACCTCATTTATCTTAATTTAGGTTTTTCCAGATATTTTCTGCTGTTCTTTTTTATCTCTTTTCACACCAACTCTTCATAAAACCGCCATCTCTTCTCCTCCCAACACCACACAAACCTCTCTTTCGTCTCAGCGTTATACACGCCTTCTTCTTCTTCTTCTTCTTCTTCTTCTTCTTCTTCGTCCTCCATCCATACAATACCTTTTTTTTTTCATTTTGTTATAATTCTCGGGCTTGTTTCCCAATTGGGGCTTCCTACTCAAATATAAATCTAAATCAACGTCCTTTTTCTTGTTCCTCACCTTCCTTCATCCCCTGCATGCAACCATGAAGATTTTCAAACCCTCCAAGTCTTTTCTCCAGAACGTGGTGTGTCCGTTTGACACCCTTTTCATTAAAAGGGTGAAGCCCTTCGATCAGGGTCTCTCCCATCTCCACCAATCCCAATTCAAAGCCTACAATTGAATACCCCATAGATAAGGTAGAAACTCAAACCACTAGCAACGTTAGGGCAGACACTGGTTCGGTCAACACCCCCTGCCGCCCACATGGATCCCGGATCCAATGGCACGGCCACGGGTAGCAGCAGGAACATCCTGTTCAACAAGTACGAGATAGGGAAGATTCTGGGACAGGGGAACTTCGCTAAAGTTTACCACGGGAGAAACCTCAGCACAAACGACAGCGTGGCCATCAAGGTCATAAAAAAGGAGAGGCTCCAGAAGGAGAAGCTGGTCAAACAGATAAAACGCGAGGTTTCCGTCATGCGCTTGGTGCGTCACCCCCACATCGTGGAGCTCAAGGAGGTGATGGCAAACAAAGCCAAAATTTTCATGGTCGTCGAATACGTCAAGGGAGGGGAACTCTTCGCCAAGGTGGCCAAGGGAAAGATGAAGGAAGACGTTGCCCGAAAGTATTTTCAACAGCTCATCAGCGCCGTCGACTTCTGCCACAGCCGCGGCGTCACTCACCGTGATCTGAAGCCGGAGAATCTGCTCCTCGACGAGAACGAAGACCTTAAAGTCACCGACTTCGGCTTGTCGGCGCTGCCGGACCAGCGTAGATCCGACGGGATGCTCGTGACGCCGTGCGGCACGCCGGCCTACGTGGCGCCGGAGGTTCTGAAAAAGAAGGGCTACGATGGGTCGAAGGCTGATATTTGGTCGTGTGGGGTGATTCTCTTCGCTCTTCTTTCTGGGTATTTACCCTTTCAGGGTGAGAATGTTATGAGGATTTACAGCAAGTCTTTCAAAGCTGATTATGCATTCCCGGAGTGGATTTCCCCTGGGGCCAAACGCTTGATCTCTAATTTGTTGGTTGTCGACCCACTGAAGAGGTATTCCATCCCTGACATCATGAAGGATCCTTGGTTCCAAATTGGGTTCATGCGGCCCATTGCCTTTTCAATGAAGGAGACGGCTCTGGAGGATAACATTGACTTCAACGGGGACGATGCTGTTAGCAGTGGAAATGTTAGTGGTAACGACGATGGTAACAGCAGTAACAACGATGATGGGGAGCTGGTCGGGGCCAAGCCGGCTCGTCCGTCTTACAATGCTTTTGAGATAATATCGTCGTTATCGCACGGGTTTGATCTGAGGAATTTGTTTGAGACGAGGAAGCGGTCGCCGTCGATGTTCATATCGAAACACTCGGCATCGGCGGTGATGGCGAAGCTGGAGGCGGTGGCGAAGAAGCTGAACTTTAAGGTGACAGGGAAGAAGGAGTCCATGGTGAGGATGCAGGGGGCGACGGAAGGGAGGAAGGGGAAGCTGGGAATGACTGTGGAGGTGTTCGAGGTGGCGCCGGATGTGGCGGTGGTGGAGTTCTCTAAGTCGGCCGGAGACACGCTTGAATACATAAAGCTGTGCGAGGAACAAGTGAGGCCTTCGCTCAAAGACATCGTCTGGACATGGCAAGGGGACTCCCACTCCCGCCAGTGACTCGCAATGGGATTACTAGTACTACTATTATGTCCATTCGGATCATAAATAAAAACCAAAATAGCTAGTTAGTCAATTACCAGTACCATTACCAGTACTGTGTAATAAATAAACAACTATTTGGAGTTTGGCATGGATGTCGATTGAACATGTTAATTAAGAATAATGAACGAGAAAAAACTAGTTTAGCAAATTACTTATTTCCTTTATTTGTTGGTGTGTGTGTTTTTGTATGGATTCCATGTCATAATACTTACTGTAATGTAACTTTTGGCAGGGGCTTTAGTTTTCCAGACACAACACGAGAGGGTGTTATCCGGTTAACCTGGCTGGTGCTAGAATTTGTCATACATTATGAGTACTAATATTATAGCATGTTCCTGCAAAACAGATTGCTTTCACAGGTTGAATGGGCAGTTTGGTGAAGAGAAGAGAAATAAAATACGTGTTGTCTGATCATAATAAATTTGGACATGACGACTTTTTTCTTTAGTGGACAAGATCCAATTGGCTACTTATCCATCTCAACTCGCTCATTTTGTCTTAACCAACGTGGAAGCACAGCTTTTTCATAAATCTTACTCGTAATGTGCAGTCGCATAATCAGAAATATCAGTGCAAATACTGCATAAAAGAGTCGAGATATCAATCATGTTTATCTCAAGCTTCTTATGTTTTCTAAGTGGGAAGATGAATCTCCATGTGATGGTTAATCATTGAGGTGGAGTGAGTGGAGTTGCTTCCGTGGTATCATGCCCGTGAGTTACTTTTTAGCCAGCTTTTGGCTTTTTTAGTTCGGTGGGAGATGCGTGTACTTGGATTGGATCCTAGTAAAAAATCAAATGGTTTTCACACTTTGAATATGCGAAACAAAAATTGAAGGGTGGAGATTGTGTGCAGAAAAAGGCAATCCCCATTGACGAGAAGGGAAGCAACAAATAATGAAGTGGGGTCTGGTGAAAGGTAAGTTGCGAAGGTAGCAACAGAAGCTGACTCAGATCATACTCTTCAATGCTATCTCTCATTTTTACAACTTGTCATCTGTATATCTCTATCTATCTGATGAATGTATCTATCTATCTATCTATCTGATGAACGAACAAAACTTTACCTTTTACATATAACATTCCGGGGTAAAAACAAAAATCGTTTTCTGCTGTTTCTATCAAACCTAAACATATGCTCCATACAAATTTAATTTAATGAAAACAGATATAGATAAAAGGACAAGGTAGTGAGTGAGGAGGCAATTCCTTGCCTCAGATATGTTGGTGGGTTTGGCAAGTCCTTCCAAATGATTGGTGATGAGTGTTGCTTGCCCACTTGGATGTGTCTTTTCATTCTTGAAGATAAAGGTCCTGCACAGCACAACCAGGTTATCTGGGGATTAAAAATGGATAATTTCAAGATGAAGGAAAATAAATAGTGTGGCTGATTGATGGCAAAGAGACTGCTCATCTATTTCAAAAGCCAATGACCACCTTTTGGATGCAGAATTTAACCCTAGCTTTTGGTTCATAATTCCTTATAGTTCTTATTATTATTATTTATCATTTTATAAAATAAAAATATTATTATTTAAAAAATATCAATTATAACAATTTCAAGAGATGAATGAACACAATGGTTTTCTAAAAAGCAGAGAAGATAGTTTGGTCTGTACCAATGACGAAAACCCAGATATTTTTCTAAAAGAACCTCAACTTCTTGCACAATATCAATGCCTTTTACTTTTTCATTTTAAAATTTCACAAACCACCCCAAATTTCAGATTAATGAACTAATATAATTGAGATACAGTTATTATAAAAGTTAAAAAAAATGATCATATAACAATATATATGAATATTAAACGGAAATTGTATTCTTCATCTGATAATATAATAATTTTGATATTTAGAAATAATTTTGAAACTATGAAATTAATTATAAGAGGCTTGTATTGAGAATCCCATAAGAATAGCTATGAACTATTTATGGGAATTGGGAATAAAAGAATGTATTCAATTAAATTTTAGTATTGAATTTGGTTAACATTCTATTCTCCTTTATTCTCTATTCACAGCTGTATGGATAGGTTTTCATCTCGAAAGGTTTTTTAATGTTTATAGGGAACCTCTTTTAATGTGAGAATATTGAAAAATTCAAACTATGACTCACTGCAACATTTGAAAAGAATAAAAGATATTCTTGTATTGGTGGTGGAAATTAAAAACTCTTGTGATAGCCGCATTTTTCTGTTTTGGGCTGTGTACTGTAGAAGATGATGAAAAAAAAAAAGGTGTGTTTTTGATGGCTCTTGAAAATGTTCTTATTTTTGGGGTCATAAACGCAGATTGGGTTGAAAAGAAAGAATGTTGTGGGAATGGATCGGTCTTTAGCCCACAACCATCAACAATGTGTCATGGGCCCACTTCCATTATAATCTAATTGCAAATATTATTAATTAGAAAATAGGGTTTGCGTTGTGGTGGAGTTGTCCCTTTTTGACACAATCCAAACGGGGCCTAGTAGTGAAGAGAGTACAACACACTGTGATTTTCCATGTTTTCATTCTCTCCTAAATAACAACCTTTTTCTTCACACTTCACAATCCAAACGGGGCCTCCGTGGGTCCCATCTTCAAACTTTTGATCTTACGTGGCAACATGGCTTTCGCGTGCTTTTTCTATGCTGTGAATTGAAGAATGCTGAGAAAATGAAAAAAATGATTTGAAAAAAAATAATACTAATAATTTGATTAATATAAATGATAAAAAAACATTTTAATAAATTTGTTTTAAAAATAATTAAATTATCTTTTAATTTTTTCGATTTTCAGTATTAAAGAATTATTATCTAACATGATTATATAAAATGAATCTTTTTCGTTTTATTTATATTAAAATAAATACAAAATTACTCTTTTTTTATTATAATATGTTATTAATATATAATAAATAAATATAAAAATATGAAAAATTAATATTATAAATATTATTTAGACATAAAATCACCAAACAAAAATAAAAAAAATGTTCCTATATATAATATACATATTATTTTATAATAGCATATATATTAATAAATTAACAATAGCTCAAATACGTATATATATTTGTAGGGATTATTAAAAAAAAAACGTCAAATGTCATTATTGCGAACTTCAAAAAAAGACTCCATTCATTAAATCCTAAGATCTATAGTAGAGATTTCTTAAAATAAAAAAATATAAGTTCATACGAAAATTTTGGTTTAAACTAAAATATTTTACTTTACGTAATTATGTAAAAGTTTAATTTTTTACTTATTTGACTTATTTTCTCTGTCATCGTTAAAATAAAAACAAAAAAATTGATAATGTATGATAGTGATGGTAATTAGATAGATGAAATGGGAGTGGAAGTGCGAGCAGAAAAATAAGATGATCCTATAAAGAGTGGAAGGACATCCATAGTCAAAGTTGGAGTTTGCTCAGTTCCAAACACAACAAGACAATACAGAGTGGTGTGGTGTGGTGTATCGTATTGGGTTGGGCAGCGATTGTTTTTGCACCTCATTCGTATGCAATTTTTCTGTTCTCTTGCGTTGAAAAATGAAAATTTTAAATCTTTCAATTCTCTTCGACTGCACTCATGCAACTAAGACTTCACTTCTGCACCTTCTTCATCTCAATTAGTTATTCTTCACAAAGATTAGTTTTTTACCTGAATCTACATCTGGGGTGGTTTTCACTACGTCTTGCCCAAACTAAAGGACCACGAGATTAAAGATTCCTTTTGATTGGATCCCGTTTGTGTGACTTTGCTTTACTGAAATATTTGCCTTCGTTTTTTTTTTTTTTTTTTTTGTGTGTCCAGAAACGAATAAAAAAGAGAACATGGCTGTCATAGGTTCTGGTTCCGGGCAGCCACAATTCATTTCTAGCACTGGCAACCGAAACTTTTCCAATGCGCCACTCATTGAGAACTCGGATACTAATCAAATTGTTGTGCCTGATGTGAGTTTCGGCTCTTACTGAATCCCTTCATTATTTTTTACTGTCTATCCGAGCTTTTAGTTAGCGTTGCTGAAATAAAAATGATGATACGAACATGACTTTACCTTGCCACCTATGTTTAAGATTGAAGATAAGTTATATGAATGTCATTTTTGTTTTTGTGCTAAATCAAGATGCCGTGCCTGGAAAAATGTGGTCGAAAACTGAAAGAGCTATCAAGGGATGGAAATTGTTTAGTCTGTTGGCAGGTGTTTGAGATGACTGAGGAATATTCCAGGGTTTTTGTTTGCTGTATTCTCATGTCACGTATGAGTTTATGCTACTGTTGGCTATTGAGTAGCTAGAGTGTATGATAGATAAAACGTGTTACAGTTTTCAACTTGTGAGAAAAACCTATTATTTTTTCTGGGTAGAGAAATCAATTAGCAGGTCATGGCACTATGTTAATACCTGCTTTGTATGCAACTTGTGTAGCATTTTGTTTGTGTCTTTGCAAACCTGCAATTAAATTGAATTGGCTTTTGAAACGGAAAACAAAATAAAGGAGTGAGACTGATATGAATTGAAGAGCACCCCCATCCAACCACCTGCCTTGGGACAATATCATTTTTCTTTTGACACTTAGTGAAATGAAAAGAATATCAGGATTATGGATTCTAACAACAGTCTTTGGGGACGATTTTAAGCAACTTAAAATCTAAGGTTTTCTGTTGATAAAGAAAACACGTATTTTACATTAGTATTTCTAAGGTGATAAATGTTTTAGTTCCTATAATAAAACTTACACCTTTAGTCGGTTAAAAACAACCCTTAACAAGTCTGGTTTTTATAACATTTTGTTTATTTGAAGAGTTAAATAATGGTGCAGCCTAAGTCCTTTGGTTCTGGAGTACACTACATTAATACATATACATATACTTCATCTGATAAGTGTTGTTTACTTGATAATCACCTTTCATGCATGCTTCTATTTTGCAGAAGAGAAGCTGGAAAAATTTATTTGCCTACATGGGGCCTGGGTTTCTTGTATCCATTGCATACATAGACCCAGGGAACTGTAAGATCTCACTATTCTTAATTTTCTTCTATAATGAAGGGAAAACAACTTCTGGCATGGTATACTTATGGTATTCTTATAATAACTTGCAGTTGAGACCGATCTTCAGGCTGGGGCACAGTATAAATATGAGGTGCTTTGATACATTCTTGTGATGGTCAATCCTTCTTCATCTCTTTTTCACATTTGCTTTCTTTTTTTTCCAGTTACTTTGGATCATATTGGTGGCATCATGTGCTGCTCTTGCAATTCAATCAATGGCAGCCAATCTTGGGGTGGTCACTGGTACTTGATTTGATAATCAATTTTATTTATATTGAATAAATTTTGCATGTATGTGAGTTGTAAATTTTATTTCTTAGTTCTGGATTCCTTCGATTTATTTTTGGTGTTTGCAGGAAAACACTTAGCAGAGCATTGTAGAAATGAATATGCCCGGGTACCCAACTTCATCCTTTGGATTATTGCTGAAATTGCTATAGTGGCCTGTGACATTCCTGAAGGTAGTGGGATGAATTATGCATTTGAAATTACTTCATTAGTTTGTTTATACATGTAAATTATACGGGGATTTTTTGGATTTATTTGTATTCATAGGATGGTAAATGGAGTTAAGTGATTAAATCATATTCAATAAGTTCATTAAACTGACTCACTAAATCAAGATCAGTGATGGAATTTCACATTCCTTTTGTTTCCTCCACTCATTTGAGCTACAAACAGTACAATATAAAGAAAATGCTGGTCAGGATAACTAGAAATCCTACTCGAGGAAAAAGTGATAGGTCAAATTGGCAAATTGTCTATTTTTTAAAGCAAAATTTAAATTTCATTTTTTTCTGCCTTTTCTTTATCTTATTTATCCATATTTTGAATTCTTTATTGTACAATGCAGTAATAGGAACAGCCTTTGCATTGAACATGCTCTTCAACATTCCTGTTTGGATTGGTGTTCTTCTGACAGGACTCAGCACATTGATCCTCTTAGCATTACAGCAATATGGGGTAGTTTACTATATTCTGTTTTTATCCTGGAAAAAATTATGGTTGTCCTTCCATGTTATATTAGGTGCTATCTATATAAAAACAAAACGAGCCGCTTTTGTATTGTTGCTGGACAGGTTAGGAAACTTGAATTCTTGATTGCATTTCTTGTGTTTACAATTGCTGCATGTTTTATGGCTGAGCTTGGATATGCAAAGCCTGATGCTAAAGAAGTTATAAAGGGTCTTTTTGTGCCACAACTAAAAGGAAGTGGTGCTACCGGTCTGGCAATTTCACTCCTTGGAGCTATGGTTATGCCGTGGGTTCTTCATGTCTTATTCAACTATTTAATTTTTCTTTTCTTTTAAACTATAATTTCATGCCATGCTTCTTTATGAATTTTCCTCAGGCACAATCTCTTCCTGCACTCAGCACTGGTGCTTTCTCGGAAAATACCACGATCTGTTCGGGGAATCAAGGTAACAGCTTTATTTTTGCATGCATGCTTGAATTTTTTTACCTTTAAAAGATTTATCTTTGATCCAAGTAATTCTAAATGTTGTTTTCTTTGGATACTGCCTTGCACACCAGTTTCTTCAACGATGTGGTTGATGTTTAAGATGTAGTAAATTTCAAAGTTTTTTTTTTTCATTAATACTAAATATTCCCCATTTCATCTTCTTTGATAAGAATAATAAAAACCAGTGAAGTTTATTGGAATTTGAATGAATGTCGGAAGTCCTGCCATGTTTTTGAACTTGTAAACATTCAAACCTAGCATTAAGTGTAATTATGGTAAAGCAGTATCTTGTGTTTCATTTAACAATTTTCTTCAACAGGAGGCTTGCAGGTTTTACATGATAGAAAGTGCCTTCGCTCTCATGGTGGCCTTCCTCATAAATATTTCTGTTATTTCTGTAAGTGGTGCTGTTTGCAATTCCTCGAATCTGAATGCAGAAGATCAGATGAGCTGTCATGATTTGGATCTGAACAAAGCCTCCTTCCTACTTAGAGTATGTGAAAACTGTAGATATCATTCTTACCTTTTGCATACTGTTGTGCTAAGTTGAGTTATTGACTCTTCCACAGTTCACTCAATACTTAAGCTTCATATATAATGGTTATTGGTAAGGTGCTAATAAATCATTGCTGATAGATCTGATATGTGCCATGCTCAGAATGTCTTGGGGAACTGGAGTTCAAAACTGTTTGGAATTGCTTTGCTTGCATCAGGTCAAAGTTCTACTATAACAGGAACATATGCAGGGCAGTATGTCATGCAGGTAGTTTGTTTTATGGATTCTTTTACATATTGCATAAAAATAATAGAACATGTTTACATCTAAACTAGAAAGAAACCACTGTTGATCTTAACAAATGACAATAATAATTGCTCTTAGTTTTTTTAACATATCTTTTTGTAATTTACTTCTCTATTAAAGATAAAAGTTCGGAACGTCAATCACAGTTCATTAATTCATTAGATTTAAGTATAGGTGGAGTCATGTATTATTTATTTGTGGTATTTTTATGTTCAATAAATTTCCCATGTCCTTTAATAGCAGTAACATGTGTCCTAATGGTCCTTGGGGTAAAAAATTATCTAGTTTTGCTGTTGTTAACTTACACAATGGCTATATTGAAGCATTAGTGATTTTTGTTTTTTTCTTGATTTTGTATTTCCCTATGAATCTTTCTTCATTCAGGGATTTCTTGATTTACGACTGGAGCCATGGATTCGGAATATGTTAACTCGTTGCTTAGCCATAGTTCCAAGTTTGATTGTTGCAGTCATTGGTGGCTCTGCTGGTGCTGGGAAGCTCATAATAATTGCATCCGTAAGATATCTTTTCCATCGATTTTTCTTTGATTTTGTCACTTGGGAATCTGCTGATTCAAGTCAATATTTTGTTTAAATTATCATACTAAAATCATGGAAATTTCTTGTTTGTTTTTAACTCAACTGCATAATATTCACTGGTCATTGGTATACATAACTGCACTATTAGTTTCAGCTTAGTTCAAAAGGGATTAAGTAGAGCAATGAATCTGGTAACATACATTTACTTATGCACCACTTGTTCTGTATGAAAAAAATCGTTTTATTTTATATTTTCTGTTGTTTGTGCATGCATATATATTTGCTTACGACAGGGTTGGTGTCTGGCTCTCTGTCATAGCTTGTGCTGAAGCTCTTCCTTGTCTTCATATCAGATGATCTTATCATTTGAACTTCCTTTTGCTTTGGTTCCACTCCTCAAATTTACAAGCTGCAAAACTAAGATGGGGGCACATGTCAACTCGACCATGGTAAATTGTTTTAGTAACATGATATTTGCAGTTGTAGATTGCAACCAAATAGTACATTGATTACATATCTTACAAAAATCAGCAGTGACATGGTGTTAAAAACTGTAAACATGTATATTTTTTTAAATAATATAAATGGAGAATAAAAAATATTTGTACATTATTATGAAAAGATCTATAATAAAAGAAACTGACAAATTCACAACACACATCTGTAATAAAAGTAATAATTGCCTTACGTTCTTAATTGCAGATTTCAGCTGTTACATGGATAATCGGCACCCTAATTATGGTCATTAACATATACTACTTGATAACTGGCTTCATCAAGCTGCTTCTTCACAGTGACATAAAAACTGTGGCTAAGGTGTTTCTTGGGATACTAGGATTTTCTGGCATTGCAATATATTTGGCTGGTATAGCGTATCTAGTACTCCGCAAAAATAAAGAGGCTACACACCTTTTGGCTCTAACAGCACCAGAAAATCAACAAATGACAAATGAACAAGGCAATGAATCAATCTATTCTCTTCGAAGAGAAGACATAGTGAGCATGCAATTGCCTCATAGAAGTACTCCCGCTGATCTTGACTGACAAATATGTCTCAATGAAGTAGAATAGCAATATAGACTTAGATAAATAAATAGCATTATGTTAACTTGTAGAATCAGTAATATTGGACTAGTATCAGATTGACTTCAGGTATCACTTGATTGGAATTGCTAGGCTTTTTTATTTTCATACCTATTGCTTGTGGTTTCAAACTTGTGTGGAAGGAGGTGCTTCTATCCTTTCTCCACATTCTTCTCATTAACCAAGTAAGGATAATGCGTCATGAAAAGAGTTAATAACCAAATGTGTAAGAGAGAATCAAGTTGTTTTTGGAGTAGTTTGTTCTTAAATTATTAAATTTTTCATTAATTCTGTACATATTAGTTTTTTTATAAATCCAGTTGTTGAATAAAAAATTATTCAATAGATTAATTTTTTTTTTTTTCAAAATTATCGAAGTTCTAAAGTCTGATTTTTCAACTCTGCTCAGTATAAGCAAATTTCAAAGCTGAGCACTGCACTAACACTCACATCAAAGCAGTCAACATCATCCTCAATGACAAATCAATCATCTCTTTGTTTCTTCTCTATTGGTCAATCAATACGAGTAAAGCCCACTCATGTTGAAGGTCACCAAATTTATCATATCATACTCCATTAAAATCCCTATTTCGTTCAAAGGGTATGTTAGGTAAAATAAAGAGAAAGAGAAAATTACGGCAAATGAAAATATATAAATAAATACGACAATGAAAAAAAGTGTTTGATAAAAAAAAAAAAAAAGTAAAATGAGTTTCTCAATATGAAATTCTTTTTATTTATTTTTTTCATTCCTTCCCTTTTCACTCTATTTTCTTCTAATAAAGGGTTCCTCTTTCTTCCAAGTTCGGAGGTTGAATAATATCCGTGTAGCTCCCTTTTCTTCTGCCCTATCTTGGGAGGTTGGGGATTGTTGCAGGGACAAAGGTATTTGGAAAAATATGGAAGAATACATTTTTTAAAAGAGATAAAACAACTCAAGGAACAGAAGAAGAATTCAAGTAAACGGGTATGAGTTCCATTCATATTATTAAGTCCATAAATGGCAACAATTTGGCTGATGTCTTCTTTACAAAAATCCAAATATCCAAATACAGTCTTCTGTTGTAGAATTGTCTAGAATATAACATGAGCTAGCCCAGATTGCAGAAGCTGCAGCTTCTTGTGTTGAATTAAACTTGTGTTGACAAATTAAATAAGAGGAGCTAGCTAGCTTGTTTAGGATTTCACTGTAGTTGAATCTTCCTGCTTTGCAGGAACAGGAAGGTGGCCTTTCTCCTGCAGGCTCTTAACCGTTTCATATAGACACTGACTAACTGGAGTAAATTCCAATCCCAAATCTTTCAGCTTCTGATTCGAAAAGGTGTAGGGTTTTGCTCTGGGATTCTTTTCATCAGAACACCTGCACATATTCAAATATTTACATTACTTTCCAAATCAACAAAGCAGATTATGTTGACCATTCTTCGATAAAAATATACAATATTAATAAAATGTTAATAATAAAACCTTTTAGCAGACCAATATGATTAAAGGTAGGTGAAATATGGGGTCACACTCAAACACTCAAACAAGTGACAACGACACTGGGTTTGGTAAGGACACATACGTTTCATTTGTTTTTTATAAATAAAATAATGAAAAATTTTCAGGCATGTGTAAATGGATGATTACATAAACAAGTCAAAGTTGGTATACCTACCCCAAATATCTTATCATTCACAATCAGTAATCTCCGTCTCCAAAGTGCATATAATATTCGCATATTTTTTGTACTCAACATCTCAAATCAACAAAATGTAACCTTTCATCAATTATTTTTATCATTTGTCAGAAGAAAAAACCTCAAGGGAGTGTGATCACCACCACCAGGGGTGTTGCTGGTGTTGACATATCATTGGATTTTGAAGTTTACCAAAGATTATATCAGAATTGTGACATATTTTAATAACCAAAATTGTTATTACTCCAGTAAAATACTGAAGAGTCAGATTTTCCAATATACATATTTTGGAAGAAAAGTATGGGGCTGCAATGGGAATTTAAGTATTACCTAACTGACCATACGAGAGCCTGAGATCATCCAGACCTCAACCTCAGCTAGTCGCAAACATAAATTTAAATGTCATTTTCCAACACTCTTGCGGGACCCGAAAATGGCAAAATGGAAAAGCTGTAAGTCATACATAACGTCAGTGTCTAGTCTAGTCTCTATGGATTAAGATGCACTCAACTGATTTGAAGAGAAAATTAAACAAAAATTCCAACATATTTTGGATAGGATGTGAACAAGACAACCGACTAATTCAATGTATTAGTAAAAGAAATTAAAATCGTAGATAATAATTAGCAATAATCATGTCTATGCACATTGGCAACCATCTCTGACCCAAAATATTCTTCCACTCAATTCTGATATCGTGGTCCATCACCACCCATTCCCCAACGATGTGTGTGTAACGCTAATTGTTAACCACTCGTAAAAAAGTATGATTGGAGAGTGACTTACTTGGTGGGAACTGGGTACTCGGGGAAATACTTGGCCAGAATTTCAACTAGTTCTCCACGGTGCAGGGAGCTTTCAGCACATAAATATCGACCAGAAGCAGAAGGCTTCTCGTAAACAAGTATATGGGCCAATGCCACATCCCTCACATGCACATAAGCCTGGGTGGCATTTGCATAGGTCTTAGCAGAGCCAGTGAGGTACTTGAGGATGTGAATTGTGCTAGCATTGATGGTTGGTTGCAGTAATGGTCCAAGAACCAATACTGGATTCACTACAACCAAGTCCACCCCCTGCTCTTTTGCCGTGTCCCATGCTGCTTGTTCAGCCACGGCCTTCCCATAGCAATACCAATTCTGCAATATTATTTCAAAATACCTTTTGTCACCAAACACTATATATTCCCCTTCAACTTCCTCAAACTTTGTTCCAAAGCCTGCCCCATGGCCACTTCTTCAAACTCATCATTCATTAATTTAATTTTCCTACTTTTAAAAATACATCATTTTAATCATCTTGTACATTTAAATATAATATTAACTAATGATTTTCAGCATAAAAAATTGCTAAAAATATTAATATTTGATTTCAGCCTCTTTTATAGCTACATTTAATATTTAGTGACTACTTTTTACTGTCAGATATAAGACCAAATTTATATATTTATAAAAGTTTGAAAACTAATTAATCAAATTTTAAAATTCAAAAAATCAGAACCTAATTTGACAGAAAAAAGTACAGAACAAAAACATGTTTAACTTCTACATACAATTATCATTATACTGTATCATTCATTATAGGTTAGGTAAATGAAACCTTGGTGTTCTTGCAATATTCTAAATCACTCCAACAAGACTCGTCAACAACCAAATCGATGCTTCTTTTGGGGTCCATATAGACGGCACCAATTGATGAGGTGAACACCACACGTCGCACTTTAGCCTCTGCTGCTGCTATGATCACATTCTTCGCTCCATTCACCGCTGGCTCCACCATTTCTTCCTGCATGATTCAAGGATCCATCTCTCACTAATCCTTTTCATCACCAAATCAAATTTGCAAAGAAACCATTTACAGCAACAAATAGATGAACAAACAGAAAAGTCACAATCATGCAGCAGTGGTCCTCATCCACTAGCATCCATTTGTATACACATACAGAAACATATATAAATACAGCTTGCCACCTTGGTATCAATAGTATTTAGTTGTTCAAATCTTATTTAAATTTGAGTTCTACTATACTTTTATAACATTTTTACATAAAAATCATAAACCAGCAATAATAAGACAATCGGAAAAACGGTACAAACAAAAGCCATATCAACCAAAAAACAACACGGATATAAAATAATGTATAACACAGTTGATCAGTACTTCCGGCTTTGTAGCAGTTTTTGGGGGGTTTGGGTAAAGACAAGATGTGAATAAACAAAGATGCAAAGCAAAGAAGAAAGAGAAACTGACGGGATTGTCGGTGACGGGAGAAGCCGTGTGAAAGACGCCATCACAGCCGTGAATGACTGATCTGACGGAGTGAAGGTCAAGGAGGTCAACCTTATGCAGAGTTAGTCTTTCGGAGGCTCCTTCAAACTCTTTCAAGTGTCCGTTTTTGGGATCATCTGAAAAGTGAAATCCAAAATTCATGCATGCCCCTCACCGTCACAAAACTTTAACTTGAGCCATAAATCAAAGTTACAATTAACTGTTTACACAGTATATGCAATTGATCTCAGTATCATTTTTCTTACTAGAGTGATATATGTGTGTGTGTGTTGATGTGCAAGTGTGATGTATAGAGGGAAGCATAGGATAGGATGAGATGCCTGGGTTTCTGAGGGTTCCTCTCACACTGTAGCCTTTCTCCAAGAGAAGTTTGACCATCCAAGAAGCGATGAAGCCACCAGCGCCGGTGACGCAAATGGTTTCGGAGGAAGGTGACGATGATTCAGCAGAAGGCATGATTTTGTTGTTGCTGTTTTCTCAGTGAGGAATGGAAGGAAAAGTAGAGGAAAACTAGGCAACGTTGGTGAGATGGATTGTGTCGAAGCTACGTGGAGAATGCCTTTTATAGGGAAAGTGGATGCCCACCCCACTCACCTACCCACACCCACGAACCATTACAATTTCTCATTTTTATTCAAACACATAAACCCTTTTAACTTTCAACTATACCTTGAATTGATACTCTCAATAAAAAAATATCCTTTTATTTTTAACAAAAAAAATATTTGAATCCCTTTAATCATGCTCAAACTTAAGAAGAGAGTGGTGCCCTGATGAATTGAAAGGGAAAAAGGTTGTGAAGGTTGATGAAAGAAAAAATATTATTATCTAAGCAAGTTTATCGCCGATTTATTTATGGTGGTAGAGTGGGCCATTTCCATTTTTATAATTAACATTTGTGACTTCATTTTTGGGCAAACATCTAAGTAGGGTTCCCAAACTATCTCTTGTGGGACAGTTGGGTGTGGTGGTGGTGGTGATAGGGCAAAACCTACTCCTTGTGATATGGATGGTGTGTTGTCCTTGAATTGGGTTGGGTTGGTAAAGGAAGAGATTTGATCAGAAGCTGCCCAAAAAGTACAGGCCACAAATTATCAGTTACTGCCCCACACGTTGGGAAACTGCACTTTTCATCAACAAGAAAGGTTGGTGAGTTAAATATTTTGTTTTCTTTCTTTCTTTCTTTCTTAGGCCATGAAAGTTTGACTCTCGTAAGTGATCACCAACCATCGCGTAATGCCGGTCTTATTAACTCTTCCCTCAAATACTCATTTCTATCTTCTAATTTTCATGCTTTAAATAAACAAAAATAGTTTTAGCAGAGTATCAAAATACTACAAAAAAGCCACATATTGAACACGACACACTATCTCCCCAACTTTTTAAACAACTATTCCCTGTTCCTGGTACGACATCATCACTGTGCATTAATTGTATTTGTAGTTGAGTGTATTACATAACAACAGTAATGAACTAAACTCATCTTATCTTGTAATGACCCTTCAGTGGCCGAACCCAGGGTCATGTCCCCTAAAAGTCTTGAATTTTTTATTTTTTTTCTCTCCTGATTTGGAGCTTTGGGGTTTAGTATCTCCAGATTCTCTCATATACAACGACGGATACCTATTCAAAAGTCCTTACAACACACTCACAGATTATTATCCAAAATTTAAGATTAACTTCAGTTTGTGTTAATCTCATCATCGCACTCTTCTTACACAATATCAATTTTTATTTTCTGCATCTACTTATTCCTTCTATGATAATATATTTCCTTTCGAAAAAGAAAGTAATGATATTAGAAATACTCCTCTATTAATCCTACCTTGAAGTTCTTCTTGAGGATTTTTTTAATCTAACGTACACTATGCGACTCAATAAAGGATTTATTTATTACGATTCTAAATTTACATTGAGGTAAATGTTATTATTGTTTTTGGTGAAAAGTTGATTGATTTCGATTTATCGGGAGTTAATTTCTAATCAAATCTCAATTATGTAGATTCTTTTTACTTAAGCTAGCAACTAGTTTTCAATCGATGCATGAGAATCGAGAATCTTATAATGTAAAACGGCATGACCTAGAGCACAGAAAGTACTATTTTTGATGTTTTTTATTAAGAAATGCGAAGTAAAGAAAACGTTGAATCGAAAAGCAGTGCAGAATATTAAATTACAGGGAAATGTAAAAAATGGAAACCTCAACTTTGCATTAAGTGTAAATGGCAAGAAATCGAAATTGCAGAAATGTAAATAACATGGAATCGAAATTGCAGAAATGTAAATAACAGGAAATCGAAATTGCAGAAATGTAAATAACAGGAAATCGAAATTGCAGAAGTGTAAATAGCGAAGAACTTAAACGCAGAATCTCAACTTATATAAAAGTAAAATGACAAAGAATTGAAAGTGCAGAAACTTAAAGTTGCTAAACGTAAACTTGCATCAAAGTAAATTGCATGAACATAAATTACCAAGGAAAGTAAAGAAAGCGATACAGACAATCAATGAAAATGGAAACCCAGATCGCCAAAAACTTCATGATTTGTCGTCCGGTAGACTTTTTCACTTGTGTTTCTGTTGTCTCTGCCAATTTCCCCTCTTTTTCAAGTCTTCGCTCTATTTATAGAGCATCCTTCAAGTAACTTCTTAAGAGTAGTTAATAAAACTGTCACCACGATCCTACGTGCACGTCCCTTAGTCTTACGGTTTAAAAACTGCATTCCACGTTCTCACGCATAAGAGAACTGCTCCCTTGATCTTCGATCTCAGCCACGGTTTAGGAACCGTTTCCCATGTTCCATGTGTGTTAACCGCTCCCTCGATCTTGATTTCAGATATCGAGTATTTTGAATTGCTTTTTATTCCCTTTAATTCTTAACTTTGCACTATTCTAATTTCTCGATTCTCTTCAACAATAGACATCGAAATTTGTTTCTTCGATTCTCGATTTTGATTTTCGATATGTTTTTATCTTTGTGGTCACCAGGTGTCTTTTACCAGTCTTATCAATTTTTTAACAAACTATATGATTTTCGATTTTCTCTCTCTGGTTCTTTCGATCCTGGTATCGATTTTTCTTTTACTAACAATTATGTTTTTCCTACGTAATTCACATATGATTAAACTATGAATATTTTTATTTGGTTTGGTCCTATGTTTCATATTCATATTTTCAATATTCTAGATTTTTGTTTTAGTTTTAACAATCTATATAGTCTTAGTTGAGTCTAATTTTCCTTGTTTTTGTTTATTTCTGGTCGATAAGAAAAATGAAATGTATGGAAAAGGTGAGTGAGAGTGGAGATGTGGCATTCTTTTCTTAATTTGTTTCGACAAAATATATATACCATTCATCATTTGTTTGACTCTTTTAGTCACACTTTTTTACGCCATTACGGTTTCGAGTTGCAGATAAATCAAGAGAATTGCATCATGGCAAATGAACTTTTTCTTCCTACTTGGATGACTGGATTGATTATTAATCGTTTACATGGTTGAATGATTACTGGGTTGAATTTTTGGGGCGAGGCGATGCCCCAGAAAAATGCTTTTCAGATTGTAAATGGCCAAAAATTTAATTCTTCTCGCAAAACTGATTAATTTGTTTGTTCACGATAACAAATTTTGCAAAATGAACAAAATTTAAAAACAAATGTGTTACTCACCACAATAACACAGGAAATCCATTATGGTGGATAATTAAATTCAACCTGAAAATCCAGTGACCTACTGGCCTAAAGTGAGCGGCATTTCCGAAGCACTTACAGGCAGAAACAGATTAAGAGTAGGTTATAAAGTAAACTTATTCGAGCGTGCGAGTTGTTTTGGGAAAGGCATTAACAAGTATCTATTCTTCTAACATAATTTATCAAGTCTAGGGTCGCACATTTCGGTGAAGAATTCAGGGAAGAATTTGGGGTGTTTGGAAGTATAAATTCTTCTGCTATCTTGGAATATTGGCTACTACATAATTGGAACAGACACCAAATGTGGTTGTCGATACGGATTAAAAGTCGATCCTAATCCATTATGGAGGTTCCAATGCTTACTAACACAACTTGATTCATTTAAGTTTAAGCAATTAACTCAACAAGTCAATTTTAAAATAACAGAAAAACAATATTAGTTAAAAAAAAATATCAATAGTTGTAAAAAAAACCATTTACTGAAAAATCAACATCAGTAGTAATTAAAAAAACCACTCACACAGCAACAATGAGAATGGGTATAATTGTACTAAATCGATAAAATCCCTTTGCAGATACTCCACAGGCAAAAATATTCCTCAATGACTCGTACAATAACTTCAAACTGAAACCCACAAATCTAAGCATTTTAACTCAGTTAGCTTTCACATGCTGCAGACCAACATTACCCACAGATCTAAGCATTTTAACTCAGTTAGCTTTCACATGCTGCAGAACAACATTATAGGCTTCATGTTCCTCCCCAAAATCCTGCAAAATGCAAATACATAAGAATGCATTGATAATGGCAAGACACTCCAACATTACCATTTGAAATTCAGTCAATGAAGTAATACCTTAACAACAACACATGAGCATCCAGTTACCTTCCTAGCCTTTCCCTCTGAATCAATCTTACACAACTGAGAAAAATATTTCACAAAAATTATTACAAGAACACCATGCAACAATAACCGTGTTGTATATAAAGAATAAAATCCTTGTGAACATTCACCAACTGAATTTGACGAAGTAAACGGATAGTACAAGGAATTGAAGTGCAATGGTTTAGTACTTACACCAGCCCATTCTCCAAGCGTCTTTGCACTTGGAACTGTCAAAAGGCTAACATTATGCTCTGCACAAAGGGCCTTCACCAGTTTCACATAATCGGGTTGGTCACAATCTTCTGCTAGAACGCATAGCTGTGCTGCGTGCTTCTCAATGATCTTAGCACCTTCATGAAGACCTCGTGCAAGACCACCATAAGCCAGAGATTTTCTCAGCACAAGCTGTAAAGCAGTCATGATGTCCATGGGCTCACCGGGAATGGAAGCAGGTGCCTCAGCTGCAACAGCTACTTCTTCACTGCATAGTAAAAGTATGCTAAGCAGTCAGGGGGAACTCACAAGAATCTTAAACTCAGAAACAGGAGTGGAGCAATGTACATAAAGAATAAGTACAAGTTTTACCAGCAGCATCTACAAAATTATTCCCATAATATGTAATACATTATACATTTTAGTTTTTCTCACTTTCTTAATTTCTAATTAATTACTACAGGGCGGCGCTGTCAGATTCAATTCTCTGCAGTCAAGTTAAATTGGTTAGCAGTGCTTCTACTAGCAGTCCTTACACATTTCTCTAATCCATTAAATTTTTCTAAAAAACTCCTATGATAAATGCAGCAACAAAAATACCCAAAATTATAATTGATCATTGTAAATACTTTATTGATTTTCAGCACAAAGAATCATGATAAGAATGAATCACAAAGTGGAAAATTGGTAATATTACATCAGACTTCATTATAAAAACCCAATTACAATTCACTGAAACAACAATATCTGATAAACCCATTTCAGTTTCAATGAGTTAAAATCGAAATTTGAAACCACAAAAATCGAACCCTAAGGCAAGACATAACAACGAATAGACATTGTAATTAGTATATATGTCCTCACTACCAAACTTTTCATTCTGAAGGAACCATTCTCCGGCCACAATAACATGATTTGGAATAGATCTTTCAACTAAATATTAATTAAAAAAAATCCGAGGGAATAAGTGTCCCATCCATAAAACAAATACGAGGATCACCAAGGAAAAAAATAATCATACCCTGACATCTTTTCTTGTTGAACTCAAAAGACACGCTTTGCTTCCTGCAAAAAACAAAAATAACCATACAAACCAGAGGTTGTGTAAGCACATCAATAGTCGTCGGAAATGAGTGTAAATAGGTGACGGAAAGAAACCTTGTTGAGGAGTAATCGGCGAAACCCCTAGCTCCCTGCTTCTGATACGAAAATCTCACAGAAAAATTGGAAATTTATATGAGAAACCATAAACCCTAGCAATTCAGCCTGAAAAGTCGGATTTGTCCTTTATTTTTTAATTTATCTTCTAAATAAAAACATGAAATTTTCCTTGTCTCTTGTGAGTTGTACTTTGGTAATATAATATTGGAAATGGACTTTTGGAAAAATAAGATTTTACTGTTTATGAATGTACAGTTAAATCAAGATTTATATTTTAAAATAATTTTATTGAAATAACGAAAATCCTATATGATGTGAATAAAATATGTTTAAATTAATCCTAAATAAATTTTATAATATGAAATGTTATGATCATGAGAACTTACAATAAAAAAAATCATTTAATAATCCATTCTATATATATATATATAATAATTATGAAAAAAATTATAAATTAATGTTTGTTGAGAAAAAATCTAAAAAAAAGTTTTCTTTTTTATGATGGATTATAAACAATTATAAGGTTAATTCTTTAAAATTGGCTTGTGAATTTGTGATTTTTTTCTTCATAAATGAAAAAAAAAAGATTTGAAATTAATAAATTTCTAATTTTTTAAATTATTATTTGAATTGACGAATTATTATTTATAGCTATAATTATATATAAAAAATTCTTTTCGTAACCATCTTTTAATATTATGAAAAATTAAAAATGTTATAATTTAAAGAAAAAATAATTATTATAATTTATATATTTAAAAAATAAAAAATATATATATAAAAAGAAAAAATTAAATAAAAATTAAATCTATTTAAAAAAATATAAGAGAAAATAAAATATAATTTTAAAAAATGATTTATAAAAAATGCATCCAAAATAAAAATAATATTTAAAAAAATATGACATAAACCTTTTTATTTCCTCAATAACTTTTTACCAATAGAATATAAATCTAAAAAAATGGTAAATCCAATTATTCAACTAATTTAAAGCAAATTATGTAGTCCATTTACTCATTCCTAGTTCTTAATAAATGTTAATATTTTTGTTTTTCTTAATTAAAGTTAAATGGGGTTTTATTTTATAATTGATAAAAGTTTTATAAATCAGGGTCTTTTAAAATAAAAATAACTTTTAAAAAATTCAATCATTTATTTCAAATTTTTTTAAAGTATAATTTAAAACATCATTAAAATCAAGATCTGTTCTGAATAACTTTTTAAATTTGTTTTAGTGATCATTATTATTATATATTTTCCGTGGGTAATTATGGTATATTTCATATTATCACTTCTGGGTTCAAGAATTTTCTTTTATTCTGATGTACGATATAAGAATTCTTTATTCTCATGTAAGATTAAAAAAAAAAAAAAACTTTTACAAATTAGTTTAAGCGTAAGTTAGTTTTAACTTATGAATAAACTCTCTTTTTCTAACTCTAATCCATTTTGAAAAATGTCTAAAATAACTATAATTATCAAATGAAATAATAAGCTCTGGTTAAAAATTCCAGCTTATAATAAAATAAAATATTTGACATATTTATTTCAATTGACAGAAAAAGGTTTGTATGAACACAAGGTAAAGGTTGAAGTTGATTGAGAAGAAATCCTGCATTAACCCCTTAATTTGAGTCAGCATTAACAAGAAGATCAGTGGCTAGCGTGCAAAAGTAAACGCTAAAATACTTTTTTTAACTGGGGTATCAATTGTGATCTTAGTTTTTCTTTTTCCAAATATTTTCCTCTCAAATTACCAAAACAAGTAATGCATTTTACAGTAACTCCGAAGTTATTAAGCTTACAATCTGGCAAAAAACTCAAATTTCTCACCATCATACTGTTTATTCATAGACCAGTAACGTGATTATTACAAGTAACTAAGCTCAAATGAGAGAACATATTTTCTTCCCCACCATAAACATATAAGGAATAGAAGTATACATCCTCCCAAAGTACCCCAAGTTGTAACCCAAAATTGGCGAGATTAACCATAAAGGAGATCCATGTAAACAATCCCACCACCACCATAACCGCATTAATTATCAAGTTCAGGGTGTCGAATACTATTGCTGCCTGCAGAAAATCCAATATTATGTAGTCCACTCTGTCATCCCCTTACTCAACTCAAGCAAATAACAAACACATATATCACTCGGTATTTCAGACAAGAAATTTAATTTTTAAATGCAGTCACAAATACATTAGTCAGGATAGAAGAGTTTAATAGATATTTACACTAGAAATCTTTGAAAGATTCCAGTTGTCTGCGCAAAATTTTCTTCTAGAAGCATCTCCAATTCCTCAACATCAAGTTTAGGACTAGAGAATATGTTGGGAGTCTCACATTGAATAGGATGAACTAAATGATATGATATTTAAGCCATATGAAACCCTCCCACCAAACGGACTAAATTTTGGGTTAGACTCTTGTCTTAAATCCTAACAATTGGTGCTTCCATTGAAAGATAGGCTACGAATCCAAATACTGCCAGATGAGTGAACCCACTCTTAATGGGGGTGACGATGTTAAGAATCGCACATTAAGTAGGATGAACTACTTGATGTGATACTTATTAAACCAGAAGACTCTCCCGCTTAATGGACTAGTCTTATGGGTTGACCTCTCCTCTTACAAGTCCTCAGATTATTTGTCATACTTTTCTGAATTTGATTCATCACCAAAGACAAAACCATTTTAAGCATGACTCTCGTGTAATTGCTAATATCAACTTCAGTCTTATTTGTCAAAATAAAGCTATTATTAAACAGACAAAAATGAATAGCTTTTACCTTTCATCAATATCTCCAACTTTGGAATTGTATCCGTCTTTTACTGAAATCTGGTCCAAAAATATACGAGCATTAAGCTTTTGAATCATGTACATTTCAGCCATGTACTTATGATCGACCAACAAATTTGCAGTTCATCTGCTATCTGTAAAACCAAGACTAGAATTAGTCCTTTTTTATTTTGCTTCTACGAGAACATAACTTAATTAAATAATTAATCAAATTATACCTAGGCATATACATATACTCCATCTTGGTGCAAAAATATGCACACACCGTAAACCCGAACTAAAGAATTCACAAATCTAATTATCTTGCTTCTTCTAAATTAAACAAACTTTCACAGACCAGCCTACTCTCCATAGCGGGGCATTTATGTGGCTAAGTACAATTAAGAACAAAACAGGGCAATGAAAAGAGAACACTTTCTCACAATTGCGTTTGCAAAATGCAATCCAAAACAATCAGCGTTTGCAGAAAGTTGCATGTATGTAGCCACAGTGAAACACAAAATGTTACAGACTCTATTAAGATTGATTGAACAACTTCAGAACATTCTAGAGTTACTACACGTTGGCATCCATGTAAGAGGAATGAAATGGTATGGTTAGTTGCTAATACTCAAATCCAATTTGCACAAGCGTGTTAGATTAATAGATACCGAATATTATAGAACCTTTGAAACACTGAAACATGCAGACCCCAAGCGACTGAAGTATAGTTTCTAGACTAGAGGTTTGTTTGTCTGTATGGTACTTTGAGAACACCTATCCAATTCATCAGTAGATTCTCCTCCCAACATCTTTGTCCCCAACTCTTTTCTTGGTTTAGGAGAAAGTCCTTTCGCTAACATCTCCTCGTCGTACTTCCTAGCCATATCTATCAGCCCCTTGTCCACAAGAGCATCTATCAAGGCATTGTAAGCTGCTGCATCAGGACTACACCCGAGTTGCTCCATTCTCTTCCACACCATAAAAACTGGGCGAAGAAACCCCCACCTACCAAACTTGTTCAGGAGCATGACATAAGTGTCCATGCTGGGCCTAACACCACTCTCTATCATGTCATCAAACATAGCAAGTATATGTTTAGGTTTCTCCATTGAGGCGAAAAAACAATGGTAAGAAATGGCAGTGGGGTGGCAACCATCACGAGCCATGGTTCGAAGCAAGGCAAGTGCCTCCTTGTGTCTGTAGCAATCACACAAAAGCCTAATCAAGGTGTTATAAGTGACAACAGTGGGGTTAATACCCAACTCCTTCATTTCACGAAAAACCCTAATTGAAAAATCAACCCCTTGAGATAGACCAATGGCTCGAATGAGAATGTTATAAACCACAACGTCTAATTGGAAACCCTTCCTCTTAACCTCCTTGAACAATTTGACAGTCTTCCAAGGCTTTCCTCCTTTGCACAGAATATCCATGTAAATTGAATAAGAGTGCAAGTCCTTGTGAACCCCTTTTCTATCCATCTCCTCCCAGAACTCGTTGCACTTGCTCCACCACCCCAATTTGAACCACCCACGGAGAACCATGTTGTGGATCTTGGTGTTCCCAATTGCGTCCACGGGCGTGTCTTTGGAGAAGACTAGGTCTTGGGCCTCGAGGACGTGCTTGTACTCGCAGAGGGCGTCTATGAGGTGGGAGAAGGAGGTATGGTCCTTGAGGTTGAACTCTCCGAGGCGGTGGAAGGTGTGGATGGCGTCTTCGACAAGGTGGGCGGAGACGTAGCGCTTGAAGATGACACGGAATGTGGCGTGGTTGGGGGGAGAGGAGGGGCGAGAGTGCATTCGGCGAATGAGGTTCCAACAGAGGTCGAACTCAAAGAACTTAGCGAGGATGTCGAGCATGAGGTTGAAGGTGTCGGTGGAGTGGTGGAAGTTGCAGTGGGAGTAAGATTCCTCCACCCAGTTGAAGAACTCCAGGGCGCGCTTCCAGTCGTTGTTGAAGGAGAGCAGCGTTTGGCGAACGGCGGCCTCATCGGGAGGAGGAGGATGAAGAGGCCTAACTATGGTGGTGGTTGTGGTGGCGGTGGTGGTGGTGATGGTAGTGGTGGTGCGTAGGGTTTGAAATTGACAAGGTGGAAGGAGAGTTGCACGTGATGAAATCAAAATCAAGCGACGCATTTTCCAGCTGCTCTTCCCTCTCAACGCGCATTTTTTGGTCTTTTTCAGAATAAATCACTTACATTCTCCTAAACATTGTTTTAAATTTCATAAAATTATTTACCTAAATTTTTAGGTACTAAATATTCATCAGTTTTGTTCCTAAAGTGATGTATTTCAAAAAAGTTAATTTGAATAACTTAAAAAAAATTACCAATATTGTAAATCCTTAGTGAAAAAAAAAAAAACATTTAATGAAAATTTTAAAACTTTATTTTCTCCTAAATGGTCGTCTTAAGGTAAAAATAACTACTTAAATAACTATGAAACTATTAGAAGTTGTGATAAAGTTTATTGTAACTATGGACACAAGATGAGTAAATAAAAAATAAAGCCCATTGGTCTAGCTCTGGAAGTAAAGAAAAGAATAAGAGCATTACTATTCTAACCCCCACTTTTGCTAAGTTTAGCATCAACCTTTCCAAATTGTTTTTGACAAAATTACATTTAACATAGAAGTATCTCTATTGTGTTTATAACAAGGAACTTCATAGTATATAGTATTAACAATTTTTATTTGTTAATTTTTTTTTCCTAACACTTTCTTTTAAGTTATTTTCGAAGATATTTTTCAATATGTGATCAAAGCCTTCTTGAGTTGAATTAAAGTAAAAAATATGAAAATTTGTCGATTTTTCACTTAGTTTTAATTTCCATTAACACTATGGCATTATTTACTTTTACCTGAACTTTATGAGAATTTAGTTATTGAAAAAACAAGATATCATAATAAATTATAATCTGTCCTTTTTTTCCTATCATGCGTTATGCACTTCTTAAAGTTGATGAATGATTATATTCAAAACGAAGTAGAATGATTACATAGCAACTGAAGATATAAAATTTTGGTTTAACAACACTTTTAGTTCTCAAATTTTAATTTGTTAATCCTCAATTATTGCCAATATATGATTTTAAAACTGCTGTAGTTTTAATTGCTTTCTTAGTTGAGTTTCTAACACTGTTAAGACTATGTTTAGGTTCAGATTCATCATCAACATTTATTCAACTGCATGACCAAGACATTTACTTACCTCTTCTCTCTCTTTCATCCTAAGCAATGAAACAGTTTGATTTACCATTGAAAGATAATGAGTAAAGTCCTCATAATATGAACATTTGGAGATGTATATGAAGTTGAAAAGATAAACAATATTATGTTGGAAGCAACCACCTGAATTCTGCATATTGGTAGAGTAGAGCATAAAGAAGATTGGAACTGCATTAAACAACCCATAGGATGTGATCTAATGATGTGTGATGCATATTTAGTTAGATAAAGTGTTGGGTATGAAGCTCGAATATGTGATATTTAAATTATTATGATAGAAAGAGTGCACTATCTTGGTAGAATCTTTCTCTAAAGACCAGAAACCAAATAAGCAATGCCACCTTTATTCTCCCTTCTCTTTATTGTGATTAGTGGAGAAACCTTGTATCAGTACACAGCCAGGGAAGGCTTATATATATTCAACAACCCATTAACTCTCATCTTTTTGTCTTTCTTTTCATAATTATTTATCTAATAACAAAATTAAAATAAAATACCCTACCAATAATAATAACTGCACTTAATCACATGCTCTCCACTTTCTGCACCCACATTGATTTGCCTCATCTTCTTTAATATATAGGAATCTTCCATTTCTTTTCCCAAATACAAAAGGATTCAATAACACCAAAAGCTTCACTTTGAATTTGAGTGACAAGAAAATATAATTGCAAGGTAATGAACGCCCTTCACCAAAACCATCTACTATTTGCAAATTCTACAAAGACTTTGACAGAGAATGCTTAAACAAAAATGGAAAACGTTCATTCTCTTCTGACTCATGAACTATACTTTTTTTTTTCAGGCTATCTTTCCACCAAGAGTTGAGTTAAAGAATATTTAATTAAGGAATTGATTTCTACTTCTGATCATACAAAACTCTTTCTAAAAAAGAGCATATTAACCTGGCCATATATTTAAAGTTTATATCTATCTGAAAATCGTATCACTCCTTAAACTATATGCGAAGGAAGCAACCAGATTTTGGTCATTGTTTTTGTTTCGATAATAAATTACAGACACTACTATTCAAACCAGCTAGCTGAATAATTCTTCAAAGGAATAATACTTATTGCATTGCTTGACCATAGGAACAATAGAATAAAATAAGCTCTCTACAAGAAATTAAGGAGCATATTTCCTGTTGCATACGTTAGTTTGGCTAATAACGATACGTATATCTTTGATTCTCAACATGGTTGGCAATGGTGATCTTCTCACACCTGGTTCCAAGCAAACAAATGTGAGGGGGAAACGTGGAGAAATCAAAGCCAATACTTTTTTTTCTCTCCTGTCCAAGTGAGTGAAAAGTAGTCTTTGCACACACTGTAAAACTCATGATTAATTAGTAGGGAATGACATTGAAATTTCCTTCAAGACCAAAAAACGGAGATAATAATGATTAAGTGCTGAAAACATGAAAGGTTTCTTTCCTAACATGAAAGGTTTCTTTCCTCCTTAACTTTATTAGCACTTCAAATATGTTGATGGAAGGCTCATTTTAAGGAATTGTGGTTATAATAACGAGCATATGCATTGCTGTGTCATGAAACTAGTCTCTTGTTAACTTATCTGCAGAATGTACAATTTTTTAATAGGTGTAGTTTTCCTACGTCTAAGGTATCTTGTTTTAGTCAAATCTGCTTTTTGATTCATCACATAATTAGCTAAAATTTATCTGCAGAATGTACAATTTTTTAATAGGTGTAGTTTTCCTACGTCTAAGGTATCTTGTTTTAGTCAAATCTGCTTTTTGATTCATCACATAATTAGCTAAAATTAAAGAGAGTACATTATTGAAGCCAATGACAGATGAAAAGAAGTAAAGGAACGGTGCACATTGAAACAACATGGTACATAGCGTGTGCAGGCAGAATTCTATATTTGCAGTAAGTTGACCATTTGATGTGGAGTGGATCAAGTGGAGGACAAAATGATACAAAATGCCAACTCATTTTGACCCTTCTTAATTTCATCTTTTGTTGGAGTCCCACCTTTCAACAATGCAATGTATGCACCTCTTCATATTTTAGGGTTTCTTATCTCACATATTCACATACTTTTAATGCAATCCCAGCCAAAATATTTTTCACACACAGTAAACTATGAAGTGAATACGTTACTATAGTGGAAGACATATACGGACAAAACTTTCATGTTCTCAGTATTTTTAATATTATTCTTTAGTTAGAGTTGAGATTTCATCTATCTAATCTATGACAGTTATCAAAATGAAATCTTAATCTAATTCAAAAACACCACTAAAAACACTCTAATCTAACCAGTAATTTTTTTTCAAATGTTAGTCAACTAGCTGCAGTTAAATTCTCTCATTTATCAATTTGACAAGTAAAACTATATTGGTATTTCAACTTTTGAGATAACAAATTTGAGTGATAATGTGAGTATGAATGAAGGGTATTTTCTGATAATAATTCATTCTGAACTAATAGTGGAAAAGGACATGAAAAGGGAAGAAAACCACACATGTTGGAATGAAAACAAGGAAAGAATTGGTGCCCCTACTCATATATACTTCCTTGGAGCAAGGACACTTTTAGGGTCTTCTTCTCTCCTTTATGATTTGATGTTTCGCATGACAGCATACAGTTTCAGACTTGAGACATAAATCTCATTAATCATTATTCTGATTTTTGAGCAGTAACACAACAATGATCGCCATGTTATCTTAGATAGCATGTTGCCCACAAGCTAGTTAGTGTTGGGTCGTAGTCATCAGTTTTGCAGATAACATTTCATAATTGCTGCTAGAAACATCTCTTCCTTCTCTACCTTCACCATTCAACAAGTATGCGTATGCCTTTGCTTTGATCTTAAGGTCACACTAACCAGAAGTAATTCAAATTAAAACTGGAATGACATGATATTTAACTATATTGTATATTTGGGTCATGATGATGAATGTAATAAGTGGAGTCAATATTAGAAAGAAGAAGCATATAAATTGGATGCTTAAGAGATAATTGAGTATATTAAAATAAATATATTTACATTTTTTTTGAATTAATCCTGAAACAAGTTTTCTTTTGTATGCTCGAATATGCATTTTTTTAGTGGAAGTTACAAATAAAATATAGTATCCTCTTGTAGTGAGACAACAATTAGAACATAGTCCCATTTATATGACTTGTTTGACTTTCTTTATTGGTTTGGTACATGTGACACCGAGAGGAAGAAATAACACATGCCCACTTGCAACACTTGACGCCAAGTGCAATGGCACCTCCCAACCTCCCCATTAAAATCTCCATGTCTCTGAACAAAAGCCACGACAAATGGTATGAATTTGTCCCAAAAACATAGAATACTTTGTTTGAGAAGAGAGGGAGATGGGGGAAGGAAAGAAAGAAAGTAGAGTATTGGAAAAGAATTCATGAGCATGTTATCTTTTATTTAAATTAAATAAATTAAATAATAAATTATTTTTATTATAATTTAAAATAAAAAATATTAAATTAATATTTTAATTTAAATAGTTATAGTTAAAATATTATTAATATTTGATATTTTATCCTAAATATATCTCTAAAATATATTTTATATATAAAAAATAAATTAAAAAAATTGGCAAGAAAAACATGTCTATGATTGAGTGACTGATGCCTAAAGTTAAAAGGGTGTTTTCCAAATTTAATTGAAGTATTCAAGACTACCCGCTCGCAATGTCCCACATCGATTTACTATAAATTCATCTCTCTCGTCTCATTTCGTACCTACCCTACCACTGCACTTGCATCCACCACTTCTTCTCTCCCTCCTTTTTCCCTCTTCATTCTCCACCCAAGTCTACCAACCACTTCACTCATCTGCTATATATACCTCTCGTCTCATCTCACCTCATCTCAAACAACTCACATAAACAAACAACACAAGCAATTACTACATATAACTCCCTCCAACCTCTATGGACAGTAACGAGGAAATCCCCTCCACACCTGCAACCCCAGGTACTCCTGGTGCACCTCTTTTTGGTGGTTTCAACAATGGCAGGAATAGGACTAATAGTAACAAGAAGTCCCTTCTCAAGAGTTGTAGGTGCTTCAGTGTGGAGGATTGGAGCATCGAAGATGGAGGCTTACCCGCCGTCTCTTGCTCATTGCCACCCCCTCCTCCAGTCCCTCTTGCCAGAAAGGTTGGTGCGGAGTTCATTGGGACTTTCATTCTCATGTTCGCTGCTACTGCTGCTGCCATTGTCAACCAAAAGACAAACGGCTCTGAGTCCCTCATAGGGTGCGCTGCCACCACTGGTCTCGCCGTTATGATCGTCATCCTCGCCACTGGCCACATCTCCGGTGCTCATCTCAACCCTGCTGTCACCCTCTCCTTTGCTGCATTAAAGCACTTCCCTTGGAAACATGTACCAAAAACTCTCGTCATCCTTACCTGCTATTCCTTATCTTAATTCGTTACTGCATGCTACGTAAAAACAGGTTCATCTTCACTGATACGTAATTATTAATTTTAGGTGCCTATGTATATTGGTGCACAAGTTTTGGCATCTATCTGTGCTGCATTTGCTCTGAAAGGGGTTTATCACCCTTTCATGAGTGGTGGAGTCACCGTCCCTTCCGGAGGATATGGCCAAGCTTTTGCTTTGGAGCTCATTATTGGCTTCAATCTCATGTTCGTTGTCACTGCTGTCGCCACCGACACCAGAGCCGTGAGTCTATCTCTCCCTCCCCTCTACACAAACATGATTTATTTTATGTTCCATGATGTCTGATTGATGACAGAGAAACAGTTTTGTTTTAGAAGGAGAGACAAAAACAAAGTACTTTTGGTGCTTCCATGTAAACTTCTGAACAATCCTATGCCACAAACTTTAACAAATTTAAAACGAAATTGAATTTTAATCCACAAAATTTTATGCATATTAATAATATTTCCTTTATATACGTTAAAATTTATGGATGTAAGATACCCCTTTATATTAATAGTATCCTAATATACCCCAAACTTTCAGTTTACTTTTTTTTTTCTTAAAATAATATGCCACCACTAACTTGCTTTCAATTATACATATTTCTACTTTAAATACTTTTTGACATTTACCATATATATTCTATTTATATTAGTCATCACATATTTCGTTAACTTTCTTTTTAAAATTTGACTTGAATTTAAATATGCAACTAAATGATTTAAAAAAGATGAAGAGCAGTGGATATAAATAGTTGTCATCTGCATCATGTAGGTCAAGTATAGTGAGAATCCTTTTATACTAAATGTTCTTTACTGTGATAGAGCAAATATAAAATTGAAAATAACATAACGAAAAGAAAGAGATGAAAAAGAAAGTAGTGAGTGAATGAGTTAAAGTGAGAAGAAAAATGAAGGCGAGGTGAGAGGGGCGGTGGCATATGAAGGACAAATCTAGAAATATTATTGATGCGAGAGTCAAACGAAGAGATATGTTGGCTGTTTTGAGCCACATGAGAGTTTGTATGTTCATATGTGAAGCTGTATATATATATATATATATATTTGCTTAATTTTCAGGACTTGGAATCTTGCTGCTTTGCACCACACAATAATCTTTTCTTACTTTCAACGTCAAAACACAAACATCACCACCATTATTTAACAATCTACCACAGATCTACAAACGTACTATCACCGGAAATAAATAAAACTTAATACGTACCAGTTCCCTGCACCAAAACAGAGCTGACACCAGTTTTATTTTAGCACATAAAGTAACTCATTTTAATATTATCTTATAATTATTTATTTTTCTGATTTGTTCAAGTTATAAGAATTGTATGTGTGAGAAAATGAAAGAAGGATGTGCATGTATTTGTATGTATAAGATGTATAGGAATATATATATATATATATATATATATATATATATATATATATATATATATATACGAATTGGATCCATCCATGTGCAGTGAAGAAGGAAAAGTCCGTGAATGGTGATTGATTGATGAATATGATGGGTATGCAATTGCAGGTGGGAGAACTCGCGGGAATCGCGGTGGGAGCCACTGTCATGCTCAATATACTCATAGCAGGGTATGTCACCACCATTTATGTCCCTACTAAACTAACTTACTCATGGCTACCTAAAATATAACAAAAAATATTACTAAACCAAAAACTAAGTTACCAAATTCTTGCCTTATTTACACATAGCTACAATCACTCCATATCATACATTATTTCAAAATTAGTGCTAAATTATTACATCAAATTGTCATTCATGCTGGTCATTTTCTTAATTTTATTAGTTGGTGAGATTAAAGTGCATTTTTCAGATATTAATTATACCTGAATTCTAGAGAAATAATAACTTGTTTTTAAGAATTCTATGAACAATCTAATAAAGACAAATAAATATATTTTTTTTATAATAAAATGAACCAAGCTTGCTATGTTATTAAATACATGCTTAAGCTTAAACTATTTAAAATATAATAGACTTGTCATACAAGATGTATGTTTCCCTCTTTTCTCTCTTCAAGTTTGAAGTATCTTTTCTTGCTCTTTCATATTTCCAGTGTAAATTTATCACGCCACTTCATTAAATCTTCACTTTACACTTGAGAAGCAAAAGTCATTTCAAATTATTCCTTTCTGAAGAAAATATATGACCTTATTATTTTCTGAAGATCCTCCCGGCTGCAAAATAAAGACGCGTGATCAGGGTTCATTCCATTGCATCCTGTTAGGACTTTTCCAATTTTCCCAGCTTCAGATTAAAAAGAAAATTCACTGCTTCAAAAACTAATTTTTCAACAAATTACAGAACAAAGTAGAGGTATCTAAAATTACCCCTAAAAAGAGTGGAGTTTGGTTAAATATGCTTAGCCTTGAATTGCAGGCCAGTAACAGGGGGCTCAATGAACCCAGTAAGAACACTAGGTCCTGCTATCGCCGCAAACAACTACAAAGCCATATGGGTTTATCTGGTAGCTCCCGTACTTGGAGCTTTAGCTGGGGCAGGTACCTACACTGCAGTGAAACTGCCCGAAGAAGACGATGACGCCAAGGCAAAGGCTTCAATCAGCTTCAGAAGGTGACTTGTCCCCATTGTCATCAGTTATCAGATCATCCAAGGATCCATCCTGGACACTGCAACATGATGGGATGCTAGTACTTTCGAATATAATAAAAATATTGTAGAAATCAAGCTAAAGTGAGAATAGATTGGTTGGTGTAAATGTTAGATGTATAAAATGTGAGCCGAAGTCGACTATGTATCTAATGTGTTCTGGCAAAAATGCTGTTTGGTGCGTAAAAATACAATGTTATTCCCTTTTTTGTCTCTCTTTCTTTGGTGATTAAAAGATAAAAAAGAAAAAACAACGACAATAATAAGATGATTAATGAGTAAATATGACCAAGTTCATATCCAAATAGATAAGCCTTTAACAATTTTATGCCAGAAAAGCATAGGGAGTGTGAAAAAAGAACTGTTTTAATCTAACTAAATGGCAACCATACACCTCTGATCGAAGAGTTCAGAAATTTCATATTCAATAGTTACAGTATTTGATCAATGTAGCTGGCTCCACCTAAGGCGAAGAGTTTGGGGTTGTTCAATAAAATTTTAACAGTGAAAAGGTTGCGTGAGATAACATAACAGGGATACAAGAGGGAAACATCATATAGAAGAGTAAAGGTATGGTTTGAGAAAACATGTTACTAAGCATCATAGAGTGTGGCATTGATAACCTAAAGTAAATGAAGGCAAACAAATATCGATTGAGTTGAGAAGTCAGAGAAAATAAATAAATAGAACGAGGAAAGAAGTGTTACTTGGTGTTTTGCAGGAAAGATAGAGGATGAGTGAATTCCACGGCGAATGAGAAATGAGATGGATCAAACAAGGGAAAGGGCGCGGGGGATGGGAGGCGGAGGGGATCGGAATGAGAATGGGAAAAGGGAAAGTGCGAAGGAAGCGATGCAGACGCCGAGGATGTCGGCGAGGGCGTCTTTGAGAGAAGCACCTGAAGAGCGGAAGTAGCCGAGGTGATCGGCGGCCTCTTTGGCGGCGCCGGCGAGAAGAGAGAGGAGAGATCCGATGGAAATGGCGTGGCGGCGGTAGGGAGTGAGAGAGGCGAAGGCGTAGAAGAAAAAAGTGAGGCAAAAACACATGAGAAGGTGATACGCCTTGTCCATTCCCAGCCACGGGTCTGATTCCATTCCTCCTTTCCCTTTCCCGTTCCTCTCCTCCTCACCCTCTCCCAACCATGTTATGTTATTCATTCCTTTTTCTCCTTTACCCTTTTTTTTTATTATTTAATCCCTATTAAATAATTAAACTCTTCCACTTTATGATGCACATCAAACAAAAGAAAAAGTGACAAAATTCATAATATTTATTTTTATAGGTTAAAATAAATAACGCTTTTTCATAAGAAAAATCTTATATTTGAATATAGTCTCATAAAAAACATTTTCTTTAATATCCTTTTACCTACAACTCCGAACTTGTGTTGTGTAGGATTTGCAAAGGAAATTCCAAAGCACAAACTTAGTAATGGATTGGTTATGTTATTCAACTCTACCATCCCATTCAATTTAAGTCAATAATAATTAGATTTAGCAAGATCAAACTCAATCCAATCTAATATAATTTTATTTTTTACAGAAAATCATAAGCTTGCATAATTTAAATTCAACTTAATTCAATATAATATAATATATAATATTAATATTAAAATATAAATATTTTTTAAATTAATTTTTTTAACAAAAATTATTATAATCATTACTATAATTTTAGATTTGTGAAAAAAAATGTTATATCATACAATAAGTTAAAATCAATCAATTATTTTGATTTGTATTGATTTTACATTTTTAATCTGAATTTTATATATTTTTTTATTAATATACTTGTTTTCATTTTTTTTATTTACAAGTTCAGATTATTTGTGTTTGATATTGTAAATTATTAAGCATGCAACCTACTTATTGTTTTCTTAAAATTCATATGATGTTATAATTTATTGTAAATCTATAGAAAGAAAACACCCTTATATTTTTCTTTTACAATTTAAGAGACTAAAAGCAAAATCACTCAAAAAATTTTAAATTAAAAATATATTTAAATTTTTTTATTGGAAAGTAGAAAAATTACTACAGTTTTATTTTTCATACCAAATTATAAAAAAAAAAAAATGGGGAAAAAGAGAAAGAAGAGTCCTTCACATTTAAGTTTAGTGAGCCAAAATTGTTCCAAATCAAGAAGAAGATGATGGCGGCTTCTCTGCAACTCCTCCAGTTCAAACCAGTGAGATCCTTTCACTCATTATCGTCACCAAGGTCAACTTATGTGAGGTGTTCCGCCGCACCCCCTCCTTCGAAGTCGCCGCGTTCCTACACTATCACTCTCCTTCCCGGCGATGGTATCGGCCCCGAAGTCATCTCCGTTGCCAAAGACGTTCTTCTCCTCGCCGGTTCTCTTGAAGGTACGGCACTCCCTCTCTTAGTTACCGCAACATTTTCAATTTCATCTGGGTAACTAATTGCTCTGTCATCAAAGCAGGGATCAAATACGAGTTCCGAGAGAGGCTTATGGGTGGAGCTGCGTTGGATGCCACGGGAGTCCCATTGCCAGATGAGACCCTTTCTGCCGCCAAGCAATCTGATGCTGTTCTGCTTGGTGCTGTCGGAGGGTACTTCACTTTCATTCTTTTCCTCTTTTTATTTTTGTTATTCTTTGTGCCTCCTCGTTAAGAAAAAAAAAATTACTTGAAGTTATAAATGGGATAACAACGAGAAACATCTCAAGCCAGAGACTGCCTTGCTTCGGCTTCGTGAAGAGCTTAAAGTCTTTGCAAATCTGAGACCGGCGTCTGTATTTCCTCAGGTAACAGCTTCTTCGTACCGCATTTTCTCATTCATGATGGTGAAACTGTGAAACTCAGATAAGGGTCGAGGCAAAGTTAATTGCCTTTTGTCTCTAGGAATAAAACTGCATGCATTGTGAGATGAATGGCAAATGAGGGAAATCTGAGGAATAAGGAGACTTTTTGATGTGATAACTATGTGAAAAGAGATTTTTTTTTCCTTGCTGTTTCGTAATAGTTTTGAACCCATCTCCAGTGTGGTTTAATTTGTGTTAATTCTTCTGTAGTTAGTGGATGCTTCAACTTTGAAAAGAGAGATTGCTGAAGGGGTCGATCTCATGGTTGTAAGGGAACTCACTGGAGGTCTGTGGTGTTATGCTTCTATAATATTTAAAATTTGGAATGTTAAATCTGCATACATTTTCTTTAACTGCGGATATGTGCAGCTAGTTTGCAGTGCTAAGCCTCGTTGCTGCTCTGTTTTTATTTAGGTATCTATTTTGGAAAACCCAGGGGATTTGGCACCAATGAAAATGGTGAAGAGATTGGTTTTAATACTGAGCTTTATTCTGCACCCGAGGTATCACATTATTATAAAACGATTCTATATATTTATAATGCATGCCTACCATTGAGCTATAAAAACATATGAATTAAAACAGATTAGAGGTTGCTGACCTTGGTTGGATATTTCTGTGAAAGAGAATTTAGGTGAAGGATTTGAATGGAGTTTCTTGTTGTGCAATCATTCCAACTGATTTGACATTTTAATTGATGGCCAGTTATGAAAATTGAAAGATAGCCCTAATTTGACTAAAACTTGTAGTAGCTGGAGCTGGGGTTTCCTCAAGGTTTATAGTTAAAACATGTAACATAGTGTTACGAGTTAGGGGAGATAAAGGGGAGTTCTCTGAGACAGTTAGGATATTACTCAGTCAGTCAGGGGGTGAGGTAAAAAAATATAGTAATGTAGAGAAAGGGGATTCATTCAGTCTTGTATCACTAGAGAATTGAGCTTTGCGCTTTGTGAAAGAAAACGTTCTATATGAAAGGAAATCTTTGGGAGAGTGGTCTCTTTCCTTTGTTCTGTCAATTCAATAAAATATTTTTCTTTTACACATTTCTAGTCTGGGAGGAGGTATAAGGACTTTTACCTCTCAATGGATTTTACGTGTAGATGTGTATTTCACTTTTTCCTTTCCCTCTTATGGACTTTTAATTTTCTTCTGGAGCTGTTTCTTTAACTAATTTCTGTACTACCTCGGATCTATGATTCTCTGATCAATAATAATTTCTAAACCAGATTGATCGTATAGCTCATGCTGCATTTAAGATTGCTCAGAAGCGTCGTAGGAAACTTTGCTCTGTTGACAAAGCCAATGTACTAGAGGTATGTATTACTGGATTATGCCATGAAACTTACTCAGGAATACTGTGAAGTTTTTGCCGTAGTATGATGCGTATCAGGCAAGAAAGACAGTTTATGGGAGATGCCTTCCAATTCAATATGGCCTTGTTTGATATTATGGGAATATCAGTGCTAATATACACTTACCTTCTCTAACTTAAGAATTTAGTTAAATGCCTCAAATTGCTTAAACTGGAAATTGAAAGATTAAATTATGCTGCAAATAAAATGCCTCTCAATTGTTTTTTGTTTAAGATTCTGTTTAGATTGATTACCATAACTTCGGTATAGAAACATGGTTACACTTTTCTGTTAATATTCGTTATATTTTCAAATAAATGCAAATTTATATTGATATATATTTGTAAATAGTTTAGAAGCACGGATATATTTGTATACACGTCTTGCTTGTACGTCAGAAATATTGTTGCTGATTAGGTTGAGATATGCAGTGATACGTTTTACTCGGTCCTGAGGTTACCTGCGCAAGGAAATCAAGAATTAAACTATCGAAACTGTATGGAGGATTTTGCAAATGCAACTAACTATATATTCGGAATTTCCACGTACACTGAATACTTAAAATTTGTGCACTTTTGGTATCTTGGGGAAATGAACAAGATAATTGTGACAGATTTAGGTCTAGTTCCTGCATACTAACTATATTTGAATTCTCCAGGCTTCAATGTTATGGAGGAAGAGAGTTTTGGCAATAGCACAAGAATATCCTGATGTTGAACTCTCAAACATGTATGTTGATAATGCCTCAATGCAACTAATTCGAGATCCAAAACAGGTTTGCTTATCGAATAAATTACTGAATTCATCTTTCACTTTATTTACGGCTATGCAAATTTATGTTCAAAAAGAAAATTTTGTTTGATGATAAAAATGCAAGTGTTGCAATATCTAACCCTGACTTTTGCAGTTTGACACCATTGTGACAAACAACATTTTTGGCGATATATTATCAGATGAGGCTTCAATGATCACTGGAAGTATTGGGATGCTTCCTTCTGCTAGCCTTGGGGCTCCGGCTTCGGTATAAAAAGCTATCCTTAACATAATCATTTATAATTTAGATCCTGGGCATGTTTCTCAAGTTTATCTAACAATGCTTTGTGCTACGTTATGAGGCATGTAACATTATCGATTTTCCTTTGAACATTGGAAATTATTGGATCAGGGACCTGGACTTTTTGAACCCATACATGGTTCAGCACCTGATATTGCTGGACAGGTTGGTTTCTTGTACTCACATTATTTTTAATTTGCTTCAAACGACATGCTTAACAAGAGCATGATTATTTGTATACAGGACAAGGCAAATCCATTTGCTACTGTTCTTAGTGCTGCTATGCTTTTGAGATATGGCCTAGGAGAAGAAAAGGCAGCTCAGAGAATAGAGAATGCAGTGCTGGACACTTTGAACAGGGGATTTCGAACTGGCGACATATATTCTGCTGGAACAGTAAGCATCTCTTTCATCAACATAAAATAAATGATGAACAAACTTGGGTCCCTTTTTTATCACACATTAGGTTATTTTGTGTTTGATTAATTATCACGGGAGGCTAGAGAAATATTTAGCTAAATTAGGTTGATGTTTGGATTGTGTGTTGATGCAGAAGCTCGTGGGATGCAAAGAGGTAGGTGAAGAGTTAATGAAGTCAGTGGAATCGAACGTTCCTGCTGGTGCTACAGTGTGATTCGAGAATTTATACGAAATTGGTGTAGCATCTTGGGTTCTGATGTTTGTTGGAGGTCACTATGAATGGGAAAGCTGAAAAAGTCTCCCTAGTTTGGAAGTTGTGGCTTCCTTCTGCATTATGTATTATGTATTTCGGATTGTATTTTCGAAATAAATTTTCTTGTACCCAGGATCATATTGCCTAATTTAACGCAGATTTAAAATTTTCACCCATTCTCTAACGTTTGAAACGGGCTCGGATGAACCAAAGTTTGAAACCTCCTCCAAACTATCTATAATAATTCTATTTGGAGAAACAAATCATTCTCTTTTGACACAAGTCATTTGAATTTTCTGATTCTAAACTGATTAACAATAAAACTCTGTTATCTAATTAAAATGAAAGATGAAATGCAGAGAAAAGAAAAAAGAGAGACCGCTTTGGTGATCATAATAAATATTATTTTTTCCATAAAAAACGAAATGTAACTAACTCCTTTTATGCTATTTACATTTGCATAAAAAAGTACCAGTCAATTAAATATTTTTCTTCTTACACTATAGTACTAATTAAAATTGTTTTTAGTGCCCAAATATCCCCATGCTTGATGCAAACCCTGGTTTTCGTCCCTCTTGAGGCAAGTCACGGTATGTAGGTAAATAGATAGTAGGAAGAAATCTGAAAATACATAAATAAGTCTTATATAATTTTAAATCTGATAAATTTTTTTGATTTTCGAAAGCTTATCTATTTCGTTTTCTCTGAATATGTAAATTAGAGTGAATAAAGTTTGGTAAAGTTAAAAATAAAATGAAAATGTTATAAAATTAATAATGAAGATTTAGGGATTAGATGAAGAAATTGAAAGTTTGGTTAAAAGTTCGAAAGATAAATAAAATTGGGTTAAGGAGAAAGAGTATTGTGTGTAGGCGGTTGTGTCCAGGTGGTGGTGCTGTAAAGCGATGTGGAGTTCAACTTCAACCACAGCGATTGCAGCGTCCTCTTCCGACGAGGATCCCAGCGAATCCTTCTCATCTTCCTTCTCCACCTCTCTCTTCAATTTCTCCTCTGGAAACCCTAGAATCGAGGAGACCCGTGGCCTCATGCATCTCTTCTCCAACGACACTCCTGCCACCCTTCCCGTATCCTTTTATTCCTCTTCTATTCCATCTCCTTTTCACATAATCAATCAATCCATTAATTTTCATTTTCGTCTTAGGTTGGACGGAAACCTCTCGTTTGCGTTGTCGGCGTCCCCAATCACATGACCTATGCGGATTTCTGTCAGTTCTCTGGTTCCTTCATTCAGCACATGCTAGAGATGCGCATTGTTAGGTATTCAATTATGCAACTATGCTATGCATCCTCACAATCACATGCATTCATGTCATGCTCGCAATCACATCAGAACAATCATCGCATTTACGTGTTCTTTGTTAATTTCTTCAGGATGGATGGTATGGAGGATCAGTACAGTGTCTTGATTCGCTTTGACGACCAAGACTCCACTGACAGCTTCTACAAGCACTACAATGGCCGCCGTTTCTCCTCTCTCGAGGTTTCTTCCTTTCTTTCTTCTTTTAATTCTCATCCATTCTTTTCAATTATTTACTCTTATGAAGGAATTGAATTTCCCTTGCTATTTATAGGTTGAGGTTTGCCGTGTTCTTTTCACGTTAGACGTGCAGTACACTGGTTCCATCGAACATGCACAACCCTCGAATGCTAGTTCAACCGAACAGCCGACGTGTCCTGTTTGCCTCGGTACATTTTACATTCTTTTGCTCTTCTTGCCTTGCCTACTACTACTCAATTTTCCTTCATCTAAACCTTTCATTTACATATTATTCGTCATCAATGCATGGACTAAGTGAACTAGTTATTGATGATTTATTGCAGAGCGTTTAGATCAGGACACCAGTGGAATTCTTACTACTATATGCAACCATTCTTTCCATTGTTCTTGTATTTCAAAATGGGCTGATTCTTCCTGTCCTGTACGTGGTTTAATTCAGTCTTTCTATGCAAGATCAAACAGTTCAAAATGAATTTTATGCTTTATAATTTATAAATTGCAATAATTATTCATTTCACCATTAATTTCTTAACTGTTAATTTTTTTATCAGCCTATTAATTGATTGCATGTTTACTAGTCTCCAACTTTTTGTTCCAGGTATGCCGCTATTGCCAACAGCAAGCTGAAAAATCCATATGTTTTATTTGTCAAACCACTGAGAACCTGTGGATATGTGTTATATGTGGATACGTTGGCTGCGGAAGGTGAGACCGATATTTTTCTCCACCAACCCTTGTTTTATTCTTATTCTTTTTTATTTGTATTTGATTACAACCATATGGATCTTCTGAAACTCAAAAGAAAATCTTGTTTCAGATACAAGGGAGGGCATGCTATAATACACTGGAAAGAGACACAGCATTGCTATTCACTTGAAGTGGAAACCAAACGTGTGTGGGATTATGTGGGAGACAACTATGTTCATAGACTTATTCAGTCCAAAACTGATGGGAAATTGGTTGAGCTGAACACTCACTGTGCACACACAGACAATGGATGTGGAAGTTGCAGCTGTGGAGATAATGCCATGAGTGAGGCTAAACTTAATAGTAAAGTTGAAGCTGTAATGTTTTAAGACTAATTAATAATTTGCTCAATTTTTAGATTTATGTACTTTTACAAGGAGACATTACATGAATATCTCTTCTTTTACAGATTGTCAACGAGTACAATGACTTGCTTGCTACTCAACTTGAAAACCAAAAAACAGTAAGTGGACTCCATTTGCCATTTGCAGTGAAGCTTCCAACATCTCGAAACTTGATTGATTAATCTTTTTCTGTGTTAAATTAAATGTAGTATTTTGAATCCTTACTACAAGAAGTACAAGAAGAATCTGAGAGAAAAATATCCAAAGCTGTTCAGAAGGCTATCAGTCTTAAACAACAGAAGATTCAGTCCAAGATTGACAGATGTAAGAAAGAGAAGAAGTTTCTGGATGATGTAAGTTGTAATCAACTCTTGGAAATTCTCTTTTGCACAATTCTTAGTATTATGCCAAGTTATGATTACGCTAAAAGATTCTCTATTGTCTCATAAACACGGACACAAATATGAAGCACTTGGTGGATTTGATGAAGACTTAGATATAATTTGATGAAGACATAAATTTAGTTTAGGTTGTGGGTGTGTAGATGATTAGGTTTTTAGCTTGAGCACTTAATCCCTTGATAGGCCATTATATGTTGTGATGAAGCGCCTTAATCTTCTGCATAGCATTGAAAATCATTTTCTGCATTAAAAGAACAAACTAAGTTTTTCAATCTGTTGAAAAAGATTTTCAATCGGTTAAAATCACTTAACAGAGTAAGTGGTTCTATATAATCGTATTTTCAATTGATTGATTCGCAGAATCAACAAGTTAAAATAACTTAGTAAATTTCTCAATATGAAAGTTTCGGAAAAAACAATCAATTGAAATACTTTTTAATCTGTTGAAAAAGAAAGATATTTTTCAATCTAAGAGTTTTCGGAAAAACAATCAGTTGAAACGTTTTTCAATCTGTTAAAATAAAGATATTTTTTAAGTCTAAATGTTTTTAGAAAATCAATCTGTTGAAATATTTTTCAATCTGTTGAAACAGAGAGACTATTTTTTAACTAAGTATTCGCAGAATTTAATCTGATGAAATGATTTTCAATCGATTGAAACAGAGTGCTGTCATTTTTCATTAAGTTGTTTTAATCCATTAAAACTCGAATCAATCGATTAAATGGAACTTTAAATGAAATCAATCGATTGAATCGATGTCTTAATCGATTAAAAGGAACTTTAAATGAAATCAATCGATTGAATCGATCTTTTAATCGATTGAAATAATACTCTAATCGATCATAGTTTTGTTCTAATCGATCATAACTCATTCTGATCGATCATAGTTTTATTCTGATCGATCATAACTCAGTCTAATCAATCATTCTTCTGTTTTAATCGATCAGATTCTCTTCTAAACCTGTTTTACTGCTAACCAGCTTATCTTTTGACTCTCTAAAACAGTTTTTAACAGATGAAACGTTCTGTTTTTCTGATTTACTCTATATATACAGATTTGATCCATCTTTTGAATATATACAACACACTACTTGTGAAAACGTGAGAAATCAATCTGTGAATCGTTCATCTACGTTTTTCTCTCTGCATTCAAGATTTTGTCATATCATAAGGTGCTTTGATCAACATTGTGGTCATTCACAGCGAGAGAGTGCTTTAGATTTGGTGCTGGGCAATTAGAATTCAAAGTCCAGGTTTCTTCTTTCCTTATTCTTTTGTATCGTGTGAATTGTGTAGATTGGATTGTAATCTGCACTTGGTACAGTAACTGGATTTGGTTACTAGGTGTTTTTCAAGATTCTATCTTATAGGTTGAAAAGATAGTTCTTGGTGTAGATTGGTGAGGATCTACGGGTTGTAATTGTCACTTGGTATTAGTGGAAACTTGACAGGTTTTGTCAAGAACTGGACGTAGCTCTGGATTAGAGTGAACCAGTATAAATTTGTGTGTTGATTTCTTTCTATCATCTCTTTTAAATTCTGAATATAATCTTGCTGTGTTTTAAATCAAATCATCTTTTCAAGAATTGAATAAAGATAACTCATTCTTCCAAAAGAAAGTAAAGTTTTGCAAAAAAGTTTTTAAGTTCAATTCACCCCCTCTTGAACTCAACCATTAATTCTTTCAATTGGCATCGAGCTGGTTCTTGTAAGTTACTCAAGTAATCGGTCCAATGGCCGAGGGAAAGATGAATTTTTCGAAGGAGCCTCCATAAACAGGCCTCCACTTTTTGCTGGTGTGAATTATTCTTTCCGGAAGGTTAGAATGAAAATCTTTATTGAATCCCTTGATAGAGGCATTTGGGAAACAATTGTTAATGGTCCTTTTAAACCAACTCATATAGTAGATGGTAAAACTGTTGAGAAAAGTTGGAGTGAGTTGACCGATGCAGTAAAATAGGAGAGTGCAATATGATTATACCGCAAAGAATATTATTACCTCTGCCTTAAATCTTGATGAGTTTTTCAGTGGTGTCTCAGTGTGCTTCGCCAAAGAGATGTGGGAAATTCTAGAGGTCACACATGAAGGAACATCTCGATGTGAAAAGGGCAAGAAAGCATGAGTTAATCAGGGACTATGAGTTGTTTAAAATGCAGCAAGGGGAGACAATTGCAGATGTGCGTAAAAGATTCACGCACATAGTTAATCATTTGATCGGGCTAGGGAAGACCTTTGACAAGGAGGAGTTGAATATCAAAATATCGAAGTGTTTGGACAGAACTTGGCAACCAAAGGTGACAAGCAATATCCGAATCAAGAGATTTGACCGAAATGACTACCGCCTCACTTTTTGGTAAGTTAAGGGAACACGAGTTGGAAATCAATCGGTTCAAAGAACAAGAGAATGCAGTAAAAGAAAAGTAGAAATATTGTTCTCAAGACGATTGAAGAAAACAGTGATTCTCAAGAAGATGAGTCCGAGAACCCGACTTTATTGGTTAAGAAATTCGGGAAATTTCTGAGAAGAAAGAACAAGACTGGCCAAGTAAAAAGGTACAATGATAGAAAGACTCGAATCTGTTCAAAATAATATTACTTGTTATTCTTGTGGTAAACAGTGGTCACATAAGGAGCGACCGTCCGTAAAAGACCAAGAATCGGAACAAGAAAGATTCAAGATACAAAGGGAAAAAGGCCTACATAGCTTGGCAAGACAATGAATCTTCTTCCAGTTCCGAATCCGAAGGTGAAGAGGTGAACTTGTGTTTGATGGTCGGTCGTGAATCCTCTTCATCACATGAACAAGCATCAAGAGTCTCTTTGGTACCTGGACAGACGGATGCTCAAGGCACATGACAGGTGACATTTCAAAATTCCGAAGTTGAAATTGAAGAATGGGGGTCATGTGACTTATGGAGACAACAACAAGGGAAGAATTCTTGGTTCTGGAGATATTGGAGATGGTGAATCTGTAACCATTCACAATGTTCTTTTTGTTGAAGGTCTCAAACACAATCTGATAAGTATAAGCCAGTTATGTGATCTTGGTCACAAAGTTGTTTTCAAACCGGAAAAATGTCTTATCTCGTGAGCCGAATCCGACACTGTAATGTTGGTAGGTAAGAGGTTAAATAACATATACATGTTAGATATTAAGCAGTCTATATCATCTCAAAGTTGTCTTCTTACTAAAAAGAAGAATCTTGGTTGTGGCATAGAAGGCTTGCTCATATACATCTTAACCATCTTGACAAACCGATTTCAAAAGAGTTAGTTTTTGGGCTGCCTAAGCTTCAAATCTTGAAAGACAAAATCTGTGAAGCTTGTTTGAAAGGCAAACAAACCAGAAAATCTTTTTCAAACAAAAACATTGTTTCAACTTCTAGACCTTTGGAACTGCTTCACATGGATTTGGTTGGTCCTTCAAGGAATAAAAGCCTAGGTGGTAATCTTTATATCATGGTGATTGTTGATGATTTTTCCAGATTTACCTGGACTGTCTTTCTTAAAGCTAAATCTGATTCCTACAAATCTTTCAAAAGGCTTGCCAAGGTTTTACATAATGAAAAGGGATATTTCATTACATCTATTCAAAGTGACAATGGTGGAGAATTTGTAAATGAGAAGTTTGAATCATTTTGTGAAAAATTTGGTATAAAACACAATTTCTCTCGCTCCAAGAACTCCTCAACAGAATGGTGTTGTGGAAAGAAAGAACAGATCAATTGTGGAGCTTGCCGTAACAATGTTGAGTGAAAATTCTTTACCAAAATACTTCGGGCTGATGCAGATCAACACTGCTTGTCATGTTTTGAATAGAGTCTTGATTAGACCCATGCTTAAGAAAACCCCATATGAACTGTACAAAGGAAGAAAACCCAACATAAACTATTTCAGGGTCTTTGGATGTACATGTTTTGTTTTAAACAATGGGAAAGAAAACATTGGCAAGTTTGATGAAAAATCTGACAAAGGAATTTTTCTTGGTTACTCAACTCACGGCCATGCATATAGAGTTTATAATTTGAGATTGAAATCAGTTGAAGAATCTGTACATGTTGTGTTTAATGAGTCTCCTCGAGTTGTGCGTAATAGATCAACAGTACTGCCGATGAAGAAGATTTAACCGATAATTCTTATCAGCTTGAAATGTCCCAATAGCACAGATCAAGCATACTGTTGAAGAGGGTGATCCATCTCGTGGACCCTGCAAAAGCTGATCCATCTACAATTATTGTAGAACAGAAGAAGATGTTCGGAAGAGCTTCCTAAAGAGTGGATTGTCCCAAGAAATCTCTCTCTAGACAATGTCATCGGGCAAATTAATAAGGGAGTATCTACTAGACATTCTCTTAATCAATTCCGTAATCATATGGCATTCATTTCACAAATAGAGCCTAAGACAGTTAAAGAAGCATTAAATGATGAATACTGGGTTAGTGCCATGCATGATGAACTCAATCAATTTGAAAGGAATAATGTATGGGAATTAGTTCCTAAAATCAATGATATCAATGTAATTGGTACTAAGTGGGTATTCAAAAACAAGCTAGATGAACATGGCATTATCACTAGGAATAAAGCTAGGTTGGTAGCCAAAGGGTATAACCAACAAGAGGGCATTGATTTTGATGAAACATTTGCACCTGTAGCTAGGCTTGAAGCCGTTAGATTATTATTAGCTTATGCCTGTTTAAGTGGTTTCAGATTACTACAGATGGATGTAAAGAGTGCCTTTCTTAATGGACTTATCAATGAAGAAGTGTATGTTTCTCAACCTCCTGGGTTTGAAGATCACAAGCATCCTGACCATGTCTACAAATTGAAAAAGGCTCTTTATGGCTTGAAGCAAGCACCTAGACAATGGTATGAGAGGTTAAGTAATTTTCTAATTGATCAAGGGTACAAGCGAGGTGAGGTTGATAAAACTCTGTTCATTAAGAAATCTGAACCGATATTATTCTAGTGCAGGTGTATGTAGATGATATCATTTTCGGTTCCACCAATAATGCCATGTGTAATAAGTTTGTAAAAGAAATGCAAAGTGAATTTGAAATGTCTATGATGGGAGAATTGAATTTCTTCCTTGGTCTACAGTGTTAAACAATTAACAAATGGCATTTTTCTTAGTCAATCTAAATACTGCAATGAACTGTTAAAGAAATTTGATATGCACAATTGCAAGGAATCCTCTACACCAATGTCTACTAACTCGCTGTTTAGATTTAGATGAAAAAGGGAAATCTGTTGATCAAACTAAATATAGAGGTTTGATTGGTTCTCTGCTTTATCTAACTCGCTAGTAGGCTCGACATTATGTTTAGTGTATGTCTCGTGTGCAAGATTTCAGGCAAATCCAAAGGAATCACATCTTATCACTGCTAAAAGGATTCTGAAGTACCTTAAGGGAACAGTTAATGTTGGACTATGGTATCCTGAAGGTGCGTCCCTTAAGCTTGTTGGATTTTCTCGATTCTGACTTTGCAGGATGTAGATTGGACAGAAAAAGTACCTCGGTACTTGTCATCTACTAGGGAGCAGCTCTTATATCGTGGCACAGCAAAAAGCAAGCGTGTGTTGCTCGTCAACTGCAGAAGCTGAATACATTGCAGTACTGGAGTCGTTGTGCTCAAAGCATTTATCTCAAGCAACAACTAACAGATTATGGAGTAACTCTAAACAAGGTACCTCCGGTTTGTGACAATACTAGTGCAATAAACTTAACTAAGAATCCTATTCAACACTCTAGAACTAAGCATATTGAAATTAGACATCACTTTATTAGAGAACACGTATCTAGGGGTGACTGTGAGATTTTATTCGTTGAATCTGAAAGACAGTTAGCTGATTTATTCACTAAACCACTTCCTAGAGATAGACTTAATATGCTTAGGACTGAATTAGGAATTCTAGATATATCTAGTATTGTATAACTGATTCTTTATAGTAATTGTATGTCTTTTAACAAGCTGATAACAAGTTCAATCGATTAATAATTGCATGAATAACTTGATATTATTTGTTTTAATCGATTGAAACTGCGAAATAATCTGTTGATTTTCTGATTCTTACTCTCGGTATTGATATGTTATTAGTTCAATCGATTAGATACGCTTTTAATCGATTTATTTCACTAACTCTGTAGCTCGCAAATTTTCTTCTATAAATCAATCGATTAAATCTTCGATTCAATCGATTGAATTCACTAATGGTACTTTGCTTAATTTTTCTTTGCAAAAACAATCGATTTATTCATCAATTCAATTGGTTTATTTCACTTATGAATTTCTCGAAGTGCGAAATCAATTGGTTACTGAAAAAATCAATTGATTAATTGAAATTAAATGAATTGGCTCTGCACACAAGTAATTTCTGCAGATTAGGTTGAACTCATTTACAATGAGATAAAATCTCAACCACTTCCTTTAATACTTGATTGACTCGATTGGATACATACTGCGAAGGTAATTAAGTGTTTACGTATCAAACTCTTCTCTCTCCACCTTTATCATCACTGTACAAGATCACAAAAAGACTAAAGACAAAATCCCGAAGTCAAACGATTTCGTATTCCTATTTCCTTAACTTGAACTCTTTCTTTCTGGTTCCTCTCTGCTTTGCTCATCAAGCATGTTCAAACGATCGAAGTCCGGAAGAAAGAAATCAAGCAGGGCGAGTCGTCTTCGTCTGGCAGAGAACAAAATGTTGAAGGAAGGATTGAGACTTGGTTCAACTGGGACCAAGAGCAAATGAATCTGTTTATCCATGAGTTGAGCGAAAAACAAGTCAACATACCAAAGTCGTTAAAGTTTTCCTGGTTTGATGTCGAAGGATTTAGAGGCATCGAAAGTCGCTGCAACATCAAAAGCTTCAAGTTTCGGAGTTGGACTGGTAGGATTTATCCCGACTTGATCAAAGTTTTCTTCACAAATTTGTCCTTTGAAGGTTCCACCTTGAAAACCCAAGTTAAAGGTGTGGACATTGAGATTACTCCTAACATCCGGAAGGAGGTTGTCTGGTTTAAAGGATTTAGGAGTGAAAGTCACCAAAGGGTGTACTTCGATGTGGAGGAATTTAATAAGGTTCAATATTTTCGGTCATGCATGAAGAATAGGCATGCCTCTGTCGACTCGTTCAATACTGGGAAACTAAAATTGGAAGAAAGGTTGCTTGCCCGCATTGTGTCTTGGCAGCTCACTCCGAGGGGGAGCAATCATGCGGTGCTAAATGAGGGAGATTTAGTACTAATGTATTGCATTCACCACAGGATTCGGGTGAACTCGGGTTTTTGTCATCAAAGACCACATGATCAAGGCAAAAAGACTCGGTGATTTCAGGTACCCATATGCTATACCGATTTCCAAATTTTTAACATATTTTGGTGTTGATCTTGAAGGAGAACTTGTCGAGACAGCTCGTTCAACAAACGAAATAAATAACTCTATGCTTCACAAAATGGGATTTATGAAAGTTGATGGTGAGTGGGTCTCCAAGGAGGATGCTGGAAGAGATGAAGAAAGTGATGAAAATGGACAAGAGGAAGAAAATATCAACACCGATATTCCTGGCACTTCGGAGCTCATCCATCCGATCCTATGGAAGAAGTGATCCCACTGGAGATGATTCCATATAATCCACCCCCGACCATGGCACACCTCTGTCACAGCTTGAAAGAACAATGCTGCAAACAAATTAATCAACTTCAAGCCGATCAAAGGAGGCATATGAATATGACTACAGACTATAAGGGCTCGACAACACTATTTGGATGAGAATTTTATTGCAAGGTTCCAAGCACATCGATAATCAACTTGAAGACATTTACAACAGAATTGTGGAAATACAATTCAACCCAGGTCCCGGAGATGATTGAAGTTTACTGATCAATGTCTCGCTGATAATTCTGTTTTTTTCTTTTCTTAGTTGGTTTTATATTCTCGCTTTTTATTTGGGGGTTCCCAAGTGGCCCCATTGGATCAGTATCCATGACAATCTATTTGATGCGATCAAATAGGGGAGAATTATTTTGATTAAAATCGCCACTACACACACACCACATCACAAAATATATGTCTCTCGGTATGCATGTCTCTGGTCCGATTTTATGCAGGTGCAGTGGTTATTTGTCTCCATCAAATAGGGGAGATTGAAGCACTTGGTGGATTTGATGAAGACTTAGATATAATTTGATGAAGACATAAATTTAGTTTAGGTTGTGGGTGTGTAGATGATTAGGTTTTTAGCTTGAGCACTTAATCCCTTGATAGGCCATTATATGTTGTGATGAAGCGCCTTAATCTTCCGCATAGCATTGAAAATCATTTTCTCGCATTAAAAGAACAAACTAAGTTTTTCAATCTGTTGAAAAAGATTTTCAATCGGTTAAAATCACTTAACGAGTAAGTGGTTCTATATAATCGTATTTTCAATTGATTGATTCGCAGTAATCAACAAGTTAAAATAACTTAGTAAATTTCTCAATATGAAAGTTTCTGAAAAACAATCAATTGAAATACTTTTTAATATGTTGAAAAAGAAAGATATTTTTCAATCTAAGAGTTTTCTGAAAAACAATCAGCTTGAAACGTTTTTCAATCTGTTAAAATAAAGATATTTTTTTAAGTCTAAATGTTTTTAGAAAATCAATCTGTTGAAATATTTTTCAATCTGTTGAAACGAGAGACTATTTTTTAACTAAGTATTCGCAGGAATTTAATCTGTTGAAATGATTTTCAATCGATTGAAACAGAGTGTCTGTCATTTTTCATTAAGTTGTTTTAATCCATTAAAACTCGAATCAATCGATTAAATGGAACTTTAAACGAAATCAATCGATTGAATCGATGTCTTAATCGATTAAAAGGAACTTTAAATGAAATCAATCAATTGAATCGATCTTTTAATCGATTGAAATAATACTCTAATCGATCATAGTTTTGTTCTAATCGATCATAACTCATTCTGATCGATCATAGTTTTATTTTGATCGATCATAACTCGGCCTAATCGATCATTCTTCTGTTTTAATCGATCAGATTCTCTTCTAAACCTGCTTTTACTGCTAACCAGACTTATCTTTTGACTCTCTAAAACAGCTTTTAACAGATGAAACGTTCTTTTTCTGATTTACTCTATATATACAGATTTGATCCATCTTTTGAATATATACAACACACTACTTGTGAAAACTTGAGAAATCAATCTGTGAATCGTTCATCTACGTTTTTCTCTCTGCATTCAAGATTTTGTCATATCATAAGGTGCTTTGATCAACATTGTGGTCATTCACAGCGAGAGAGTGCTTTAGATTTGGTGCTGGGCAATTAGAATTCAAAGTCCAGGTTTCTTCTTTCCTTATTCTTTTGTATCGTGTGAATTGTGTAGATTGGATTGTAATCTGCACTTGGTACAGTAACTGGATTTGGTTACTAGGTGTTTTTCAAGATTCTATCTTATAGGTTGAAAAGATAGTTCTTGGTGTAGATTGGTGAGGATCTACGGGTTGTAATTGTCACTTGGTATTAGTGGAAACTTGACAGGTTTTGTCAAGAACTGGACGTAGCTCTGGATTAGAGTGAACCAGTATAAATTTGTGTGTTGATTTCTTTCTATCATCTCTTTTAAATTCTGAATATAATCTTGCTGTGTTTTAAATCAAATCATCTTTTCAAGAATTGAATAAAGATAACTCATTCTTCCAAAAGAAAGTAAAGTTTTGCAAAAAAGTTTTTAAGTTCAATTCACCCCCCCTCTTGAACTCAACCATTAATTCTTTCAAAATAGTTTTCTCAAATGTTCTTATTGTCTCTGTATCTGCAGCTCAATGAGAATCTTGTGAAAAATGAGGACATTTGGAAAGCAAAGATACTTGAGATTGAAGAGAGGTATGCTTTTACCTTTCTTTATTTCTTATTCATGATGGTGTTTTTCTATAAATAGAGTATGGTATTAAGATGTATTGTCTCCAATAAAACCAAAGGTCTGCAGTTGCTATATTACTGGGCGCTTGGCATTTAAGTGATTCCTTTCACAGTTTTGCAATTGCTATGGATTTCCAATTTTGAACTCAAGTGATTACAATTGCAACGGTTTGTAAACTGACGTGTGATGTACTTTATTCCAGGGAGAAAAAAGCAAAGAGACTAATGGAAGATAGAGTAGCAACCCTGGAAAAGCAGGTGAAGGATACCGTTTTCCTTATTTCTCTTTTATCTTATTGAAATGTAATGTGCATTGAAAACTGATGTTTGGCACATTCGTAATCTGCGCAGCTTGGAGATCTCATGGTTTGTCTTGAGGGTGGGAAGACGGTAGAAGAGCTACCCGTTTCATAAGAGATTAAAGAAGGGACTGTCTACAAATCAAAAGAATCCTCCTCAGTTAGTGCTTCTCAGCTGGAAAAAAAAGAGACGCATGCATAACAGAAGAATGAGTTATTCCATTGCTCCGACTAACCTATACCCTGTTTATATTTTCACAAATTTATTGAAACTGCACGTGTGCGTCGATCCACGGTTAACATGTTTTCACTCCATTTATTTTTTCGGTTTTAGATTTGTGAATATTAAGATTTCCAATTATTAGTACAAATTAAGATCGATGATATCCGAATAAAAGCAAGTATTCAGCTGAAACAATAAATTCCGCGATGGGCGAACATTTGGATAAAACAAATAGCGTGTTTTGATGGATACTTTTTAGAAGGGCATTTGTTTTTATAGAAAATTTGTCTGATTCCTGGCAAAAGTATGTACTTTGGATACAAATTTTAGAGGGAATTAAACATTTATGAATTTATGATAATATTTTAATTATTTAAAATTGGAGAATTTTATATTTTGTCTATCTGAAAAAAAAATTGAAATTTCTTAGTGTATGTGCTCTCAAATTTATATTTCTAATCTTCATATTTTTTTCTTTATTATTGGCTCGAATTTAATGGGGAGTTGGGATGTGATCGAGTTAGTATGGATTTAATATATTTTTCGATTATATGATCATTTACGTGATTTAATTATTTTTCAATTGATATGTTAATCTATTTCTTAATAAAATTTAATGAAGTTTTTTTTAACTAACATTAAAAAAAAATGGTAAGTCCATTCATAGTTGTTTTTGCCTACACCAGTTAATCAATTTAAAATGAAAATAATTTAAATTAATATATTTAAGTTTTAAATATATTTTAAATATCATATATAATAATAAAGCTTAGCTTAAAAAATATTCAGTTTAAAATCAAATAAATTATTTTATTTATTTATCTGAATTGGTTAATCCTTTTTTGGATCAGCATTAATAAGAATGTCAGTACTTAGCGTGCAAAAGTAACCATGAAACGTTTAATGTAATAAATAATAAATAATATTTGTAAGTTGGGTGTCAATTGTTATCTTTTCCAATCAAATTACCTGAACAAACATAGACATAGCTTATTGCAAGTGATTTCTCCCCCTTTTATAACAGCAACTCTGAAGTTATTAAACTTATACTGCAGTAAAACACTCAATTTTTGACACTGTCATATGATTTATTAATGAATCAGTGAAGTGATTACAAGTAACTATAGGTTCTATTGAGAGAGAAAATATTTTTTATTCCACCACCATAAACAAACAAGGAATAGAAATATACATCCTCCCAATGTTCCCCAGTTGTAGTCCAAAATTGACGAGGGTGACCCTCAAAGAGAACAATTTTAATATTCATGCCAAACAATCCCACCACCGCAATACCCGCATTAACTATCATGTTTAGGGTGTTGAATATTACTGTTGCCTGCAGAAGCTCATTTTGCTTATCATCCAACATTATGTTCATATAGTCCTCCTTGTTATCCACGTATTTCATTCAACTTAATCAAATCCACCACATTCGACACTCAGTATCTCACAAGAAATTTATTTTTTAAATGCCATCACTGTTGTTTGATAAAAGAGCTCAGATACTTACACTAGACAATCTTTGCAAGATTCCATTTCTCTCCGCAAAATATGCTTCTAGAAGCATCTCCAATTCCTCAACATCAAGTGTCGGGCTTGTGAATTTCTCATACTTTTTTTCAATCTGATTCATCACTAAACATATAGCTACCATTGTGAGCACGACTCGTGTAATTAATTGCTAAGCTCAACTTCAGTCTTATTGGTCAAAATAAAGCTGTTAGTAAACAGACAAATGTTGATGGATTTTACCTTTCATCAATGTCTTCAACTTCGGAATTGTACCCTTCTTTTAATGATGTCTGATCAAATAAACGATCATTAAGCTTTTGGGTCAAGTACATGTCAGCCATGTCATTATTGTCGTCCAACAAATTTTCCAGTTCATCTGCTACCTGTAAACCTTCACATACCAGTCTACTCTCAATTTGTGTAGTGGAGCATTTGTGTGGCTATAAATTGAATTAAGAACTAAACAGGGCAATGAATGAAACTAGAACACTTTCTCACATTTGCGTTTGCAAAATACAGTCCAAAAAACCAGCATATGCAGAAAAGTTGCTCATAGCCACGGTGAAACACAATTTTAAAACTTAAAGACTCAGAGTTACTACATGTTGGCATTCATGTAAGAAGAATGAAATCAAATCCAATTTGCGTAAGTGTGCTAGATTAATGAATACAAACCATTATAGAACCTTTGCAAAATTGGCAAAAGGGATCCCCATGAATAAATGGTTTCCCCGTGAATTGTCCAACTCCGCATTCTGCATGGAATTTAGCAAAAGTATTCTTGTCGAAAGTAAGAAATAAGCTTTATTTAAGGAATTAACAGTTTATAGTTTTAATCAAAAGGGTCCAAAAGTTGTAAGAAAATAATAGCTCATTCTCTGTTTATGATAGAGTAGTAACATATAATCGTTACATAATGTCAATGGTAAATTCATACAAAAGAAGTCATTTTAACAAAATTAATGTCCTGTAATGTATAATAATTCACAATTTTTCATCTTCCAAGACGATAGCTATCAGGTGAGTACAATAAAAGATGATCATAAAGTGAGCTCGTTTTTAAAAATTTGTATGTATACAGGTTTACTGATCTTCGTGCATGGCGACAAATAAGGTGTTGAGTGTGAATATTATATACCTTCTAACCACGACCAGAAAGTGCAACCAAACGACTCTTGATCTGTCTTACATGTTCAAGTTTGAGTGCGCTAACTTGAGAGGTTAATTCGTCTAAAGCTGGGTAAGCCTCTAACTCCAATGTTACAGTCTAACATAGACACAAATCATAGAGATTCTAAGGATATATGTATAAAATGTATCCTTCCAGATAGTTTACCCTATTATTGGAATATTAAACCAACAACCTGATCTGATAGAGTAAATAAATGAACAAATACAGACATCAGATTCAAGGCACCTGCATGCAGATTCAATACACGCCTCAAGTACTCCAAATTCAAAAGGTAACTGCGTAGAAGTTGGTGAGCCTGTCACAATATTCTGTGGACTGATCTTAGGGCGATCAGGTTTTACATAAAATGATCAGCTGAATTGTCAGATAGGGAATCTTTAGCTAGAGGTTCTACTTGGCAACCACCATCCATGTCATTACTGATCTGTGTAACCGTGAACATAGATTAGCATGGCATGGGATGCATGATGAGGTACTGTGAAAGTCTAATATGATGATGTTAGTTACATACCGTGGAGGTTGTTTGGTGAGTAAGACGGGTGTGAAGATCTTGAAGGAAGGCAAGAAAGGAAGGGTTGGAGGAGTCGATGATGAGTATCTCAGAGGCAGTGATGATGACTTTGACGCGTTCCAAGTTGACAACAATGGCTCTTTCGCGACCTAGAATGGAAGAGGGGTAAGAGAGAAGTGGATCAAGAACCCTAAAGTCAGGTGTGGCCAACCCAGTGCATCATATCATGGAGTGCTTCCCAACATCTTCCACGCGTGCATGGCCACTCTGCGACACCACCATCCAACTCATCACTCCGCTCATTATTCCAACACCCTTTCTCCTCATTTTTTCCTGCTTCAATCAGACCTTCTCTATTCAAAACATTGTATCTTTCCCCAGTGCCTCTTAGGTAACTTACTTTCAAAACCTACCTTATATAATGCTACTTTGTTTTTTCTGAGTTATTTCTATATATATACAACTAAACTTTTAACATCCCCTTTGGAAGGATTGAAAATTGAAAAAACCTTTTCATCTTATTTTTCATTCAAGTTAATGTGATTTATCATCTTAAAAGAAAAAGTTGAAAAAAATGTACTTCTATTAGTTATAATTTATAGATTAAATTGATCTCTCATTGGTGATCTTCAGTAGTCCAAGACCAACATATATATCATAATACTCAAACATAATAATCTCATTGTGTTGAGTCAACATAAAACAAAACAAGCTATTCAATTAAAAGTAAAACGGGTTCATAACTTGTCATTCTCAAGTCCTTCAAACTAAAATCAGTGGACTTGTTAACATACTAGCTCGCATCATTGTGACACACATGACTTCATCATAACCACTCGTCTCAGTTCTTTCACTAGGTCCTGCACTACCATGTTGTATTTGTCACCCATCTGCAATGTACGTACAAACATATATAGTAATATCAAAATACACAAGTGTGAACAAGAAAGTAATTATAATTTGACAAAGGTTGTTATTTGATTACCTGAGCAATAATGGTGATGTCAAGGGTAATTCCAAGTGGCAAAACATTGCTGGTGGATATGAAGAGATGAAGACGTTCAAGCTGAGACATTATTTTGAGCAGAATTCCCTTTTGTTTGCCACAGTGAATTTTGATCAACACTTGCTTCCCTAAGACTCTGGCTTCAACTTCAGGAGGAACTGCTTCATTGGAGCCATTGCATTCATCACTGTTGGTGTCATCAATGCAGAGATGAGATCTTGATATGGTTATCGCTGATTCCACACCGTTCTTCTGGATATCTTCTTCTAGCACTTCCACACGTTCTTGAAGTTGTTTCACATAATTGATTGCTTCTCTTAGTACATGGGCCTTGTCCATCTACACATACATATCATCGTCACAAACCTACTTTATTCTTGAAGTACTTGTTAAAACCTATTATTATTCACGTAGTATTTATCTTACATCGAAAATATATACTCTAAATTAAAATTGAAAATGTACAATAAATCTTTAATTTGTTTTTATGGGTTGAAACTTAGTTAAAAATAATAATTTATACGCAACTTATTACGTGAGGCTTTTTTATGTTAAAATATTTAAATATTTTCGAAAATAAAAGAAAACAAGAGTTTTTAAAAGCAGTTTATAATAAGCAAGTTTTCTACAGATTACCTAGTAACTTGTTCTTAACCAAGTTTTTAAGTTGTTTAGGTTGATAAGGTGACTAGTTCTTATTTGAACTGGTTATTGTGATCCCATACAAATAAAATACAACTGGTCCACGCATTCCGCGAGCTACTCATCTCTGTGCACATGGTTTCACACATGCCATGCATTCTAATTATGCCCTTGACATGTCAACATTGTTGTGTTATGCCATGTCTCCATGAACAGGCTTCAGAAGTTTATCACCACTACATATTCTTCCCCTTTCCTCTCCAATGATCCTTAGTTATTAGTTCATTACTACTGTTAAACTCTAAAGTATAAATTGTGATATTATTACTTCTTTATAATTATTATCTATATAATGACTATAAGTTCTGTAAAATCAAATAATTTCTGCATAAGAATTTTGAGATAAACTCTCCAGCCCCTCAGATATACTTTTTCCTGCCAATGACTTGTTTTTTGGCTACTTTGCAATTGGATTGGTGTCTTGTCTAACTCACAGTAGATTTATATATTTTGTGGCTACTCCTCGTCCAAACCTTACTGTTTTTTGCAGTGTTGCGTTACTTCAATGCAAAGGTGCACCTTTTTCTGGTACCCTACCTTTCTAGTTTTAGAAATCTTTATTCAAATGTTAATTGAGATATACTTTTTGAAAGGAAAATGAATTAAACAGTATATTTTGGCCATTGAATCTTCTCTGGGAATTATTTTATATTCGGGTAACTCAAATTCACAGAAGTTCATTACTTCACATGTTAATTATCTTCAGATGAGACATTATCATAGAATATACACTCTCCTCCGTTATCGTTTGGTAGATTTTTATTCATTATAGACTCTCTGTGAGTGGTCGTGATCTGTGAACTCCACTTGTCTAGTTTTTCATCTCACTTTTACTTTAAAACTGACTGGCCCATATTCCATGAAAGACACAAAATCTTACTTTTTATTTACTGCTTTTTGGAAAGCAGGAATTTGTTCGCAGTGATACAAACGGTTGTATCACTTATCGGCTAAAAACAGTTGTACTGTATGGTATATGATGCATGAATAGTGTTTATTTTGACGAATAACTAACAAGGCACTTGTACATGATTTGAGTGAAAGAGAAACCGACCTTCTTTAAGCCAGGGATAGTGGAAGCAAGTGCTATGAATTTCCTGGTGAGATCCTGTCTCCTATTTCTCTCTGAAATGATGTGATCCATTGATTCAGAAGCGCTTCGAGTCTTCTTGGTTCCCTGGTTGGTCCTTGCCGTGGACAAGGGCAATTGGTCGTGGGAGACATCTTTCCAAGGATGAGGTTCAGCGGATTTGTCAAAAGACAGTACATAAGTGGTTGGGGATGACGTTGGCTTGTTCATGATGGATGAGTATGAGTTACTGTTCTTCATCATGAAGTTGCCACCACCTGGAAAGCTTGTCTCACCAAAGGTATTAAGATCTGGAGCAGCAACAAGGGCCTCTTGTGGCTGCTGCAGAATATCTCTTAGGAACTCCTCATCAAAGTGATTCGTGTGGCACAAACATTCATCCACCACCTCATCTTCCATTTCCTATGGACAATTTTGAGGAACAATAACTAATCAACCACACTTACATATGTACTAAAACCATTGAGATGTGCACATGTATAAAGCACTCAATCTGAACTATTAATATTGTAATATCATGCATGATAATCGTAATTAGTTATTACCATAAGGTAAGAAGGCTTCCCCCACGGGTTCTCCTCCATTATTTGGATATTGATGAAGGGTGAGCACTCACTGGCGGGGTGTGGTGGGGTACCTATATATGTGCCTTTTCTGGTGGAAGAAGAACGTGCTTGTCTTATATTTATAAGGAAAAAGTGCCTCTCATCATTAATCAATGATAACCAAGTTCATCAAAAGGAAACATAATCAATGGAGACAAGAAATTACTCCTTAAAAACTTAACCTGTTTTCCAGGATTCTACATACTTCTCAAGGTTAATACTAGAAACTACAATAAATAACTAAATATACTTTCACTCTCTCAAAAAAATATAAAGTTTGGTATATCCTAATTAGATAAAAGATGTTCAAATTGATGTGAGATGAGTTACTACAATAAATTTTAATATTACCCATGGATTTTCCGTCGGTAATAATAAAAATTCACAATAAATTTTAATATTATTGACGGATTTTCCGTCGGTAATAATAAAAATCCATCGATAATATTTATTTATCGACGAATTTTCGATGGTCAAAAATCCGTCGAAAATTCGGTTGTCGGTAAATATTACCGACGAATTTAATAGTCGTCGGTAATATTTTTATTATTTATTAAATATTTTACTTATATAGCTTATTTATTTTATAGAACTCATTTCCTTTATTTTTTTCTTATTTATTATTAATTATTTTCCCTTATTACATTTTTATAGCCTTCAATTATTATCAGATTAGCATAATTCAAACCCAATACCTTAGAGTTAGAGGTCGATACTCCAACCACTAAGCTACTAGAATTTTCCGATAATAATTTACAAATAAATTATATTTATATATTTATATATAATTAAATATTTATTTTTTAAAATTATTTAATTTAAGAAATTACTATAAATTAATCTAATTATGATTAAATTAAATTATTAAATAAAAATTATTTAATTTTTTAATTAGGTGAATATTTACTCATTATTAATTTACTGATCGAAAATATTCGTCGGTAATTTACAGATGAATTTATCGACAGATATATCCGATCGGTAAATAATTGTTAATTTATCGACGAATTTATCGATGGATATATCTATCGATAAATTTATCTATAAATTATCGACGGATTTATCGACAGTATATATCCGTCAGTAATTAATTATTATTTTACCGACGGATATATCCATCGGTAAAATTAAATTCTATAAATATTTTATATTTGTTGTAATTTTTGTCGGTAATAATTATTTTCTGATCATTACAAATTCTTCGGTAATATTTGTAGTGAGTGTGGAGTGAGGCAGCACATGATGTTGTACTTGAGTGGGTTGGTTAGAAGTGAAACCTCATACTTGAGGGTGAGCCTGACCCATATGAGAGCTGTTTTTTTGGCTTGCATTCAGAAATGTTAAATGACACAAAGATCGAAATGTTTGCAGATAATGACCCAAGCCAAAATCGGAACCCCAGGCCCCATCACATCTTTCACATGGTCTTGCATGGTGTTTCACATAACATATACATGTTGTGTGTGTAAAAACCAGTAAAAGAAGTTGTGTAAAGAAATTGTGCTTTCCAAGACTAGGACTCATGATCATGGATGGATGAGTGGTTGCTGTTGGTGCAGATTCTGTTTTCTCAGAACACAACACAACACAACAAAAGAGAACCTGTTGTTTTCAGAAAGACATGGAAAATGAAGAATCCAACTCAGGCTATTTTTTTTATCTTCTAACCTTTTTCAATTATTCTGTCTATCAATTTTTTTAAATAATTAGTCCATTTAATAACACTCTTTTGTTATGAACTAAACACAAAATAATAATTTTAGTTATTTATTTTTAATTATTAAAAAAAATCACATCTCACATTCTTTCTTACTATACTGATTTATTAATTTTTTGAGAAATATTAGAATGTGTATGATTATAAAAATATTTGATTGAAAAAATGAACATTTTTTAAGTTTTTTAAAAAAGAATATATTTGTGTAATTTTTTACCAGATACATAAATGATCAAGGTAATTTACGCTTTTATTTTCATTATATATTTTTTTCATCTACGTGTATTTATAAAATTTAATTTCGTCTTTTAACTCTAAAAAATCATATATTCATTACCAATGTAAAATAATCACTATAATTATTTATAATTTATTTATTTATATATTCATTACCATCATTTTCAAAACTGTCACTGAAATAGTTTTAGATTTTTACAATTTATAGAAGAACTGGTGTTTGCAACTATAATTTTTAATTTTTTAAGTACGATTTCAGTTTTATTATTTTATTGTAATAAAATTTTAAATTCAGTCTAAGTGAAATGGTAGCTTCATAATATTCCAGTTTTTTTATTTTTATTATTATTATTATTATTTTATAATTAATATTAACATTAAAACTATTAATATAATAAATTTGAAATGGTACTTCTATATAATTTAAATTTAATGATAATAACTTGAGATTGTTGTGTTTTTAATGATGATTTTAATTTAGTTTTTTTTTTGTAAAATAAATAAAATAGAAATATGTTTGTTAATATAATTTTTATAAAATACTTTTTTTTTATGTATGATTCTATTATTTTTGTCATTTTTTAAGTTTGATTAATTTTTTAAATAATACTACTTTTATAAAAGATAAAAAAAAACATTAAAATATGTTATTTTATTTTTTCCATTAACTTAACTTGGTGGAAGAATTGTACAAATTGTAAATAGAGAATACAAAGAAGAAACTATCCATGTTTGGTATTTAGCTTGGTTCAATTATTTGGATGTGGGCTTGGCCCATCACAAATTTGTTTCTTTCCAAAACTACATTTTTGTTGTCAATACTCACTGTCCTTCATTGCAATTATTTTTAAGATCAGTTTTAAGAAAATATAATATATATTATTTAGAAGAGAATAAATAAGAAAATAAGATTATATAATAATTTTAAAATAATTCTTTTATAGATTAAAATTATTTTTAATAAATTAACTTCTACAATTTATGAAAAATAATTTCTTTTAATATATATATATCTGTGTGTGTGTGTGTGTATATTGTGTGAATTATTCTTATTGGTTAGATTAATTTTTTTATCTGTTTGATTTTGAAATTTTAATAATTATGTATTAATATATCAACATGTTATTGCAAGTGCACAATAATTTTTAAAACAACATTAAAAGTGTGTTAGAGTTGTATTTGAATATACATACTATAAAATTATTTTATAATCTTTATATAATATGGGGTGATTTAGGATGACATGGTCACTCTAAAACATTTTATCTTCTTTTAAATATTATACATCAAAATATTTTATGATTCGCTGCTAAATAGTTTATTATATTATATATGTCTAAGAAATATGATTCATTTGTTTTAGTAGTAATAATAAAGTTATTAGATTTCACATTCAAAATATGATTCATTTGTCTAAGAAATATGAATATACATCAAAATAGTTTTATCTTCTTTATATTTATATTTATCGGTTTTGAGATATCCAACATGACATGTTGTTGGGAATAAATGATGTATCATAAATTAATGAAATATGTCTTCTAACAAATGGGAATCTCAGCCTTGATCGGGAAGGAAGTAATAACTGGTTGAAACATTAATATGATTATATGATGTTCCGCCGAGTCACTATTCATCGTTTTAATTCAAAATTTTATTTTTAAAGATGATTTTGGTTGAAAGAGAAAAATTATATATAAATTATTTTGATATCAACTTTTAAATTGAAAATTAATATCTCGAGTATATTGGGAGTTGAGAGGGGTCGTGACCCTCTCAAAATTTTTGTAACTCTCATGTAATTTATGATTTTGGCCTTCAAACTTAGGGATGACAAAACGGGCTAGGCCCAGCGAGGCCGGCCGCCATAATATGGCGGGGTGGGTTGGTGTTTTCAGCCCACTAGCCCGCTTTGGCCCGTCCCGCTAAGCTCGTCAACCGTCGGGCCAACCCGCGGGACGGGACGGAGCCGACTGCGGCCGCCTAATTAATAAAAAAATAATTTTTTATTGTAATAAAATTAATTATAAAGATAATATATAAAGTTAAAAATTTTAAAAAGAGAATTAAAAAAGTTTTATTCTCTCTTGTTCTCTTTGTTTATCCTAAGCACTGATTATTTTTATCCTTATTACTTGAATTAAAGGTGTAAGAATTACTCAACAAAGAATAACATGAAATTTTATCAAATAAAAAAGATATAGGTATTTAATTTTTTCAATATAAAAAATATAAATTTAATAAGTTTAACGTTATTTATATATATATATATATATATTTGTTATTATTTATTATTATGTAAATTTTATTATTGTTCTAAATTATAATTTCTTAAAATAATGTATTGATTTATATTATTAAATTGAAATAATATATATATATATATATATTGAATTATTGACAAACAAATAATAATTTTATTACTAAATTTATTTAAAAAAATTATTTAAAAAAAATATTTTTTCTAAATTATGGTGGGCTGACCTGCCAGCCTGCCAACCGCCCCTAGCGGGACGAGCCAAGGTCTACAGCTCGTCATGACTATATCGGGCCAGCCGACCCGCCGCTTTAGCGGGCCTTAGGCGGCAGGGTGACCCGTTTTGCCATCCCTATTCAAACTTAACGATCATTTAATATATTTACTTGTATATTTACAATTTTATCTTTTCATCACTTTTAATTCTCATATAATTTATGATTTTGTCTCATCAAACTTAAATATCATTTAATATATTTATTTATATATTTACAATTTTATTCTCTTATTCTTTCATCTTCATCCGCCATTTTATATTTATTTATTATTTTTTAATAATATATTATTTGTCCCCAAAATTAATAGTCAAAATTCATCGCTAATCATGGGAATGGAAGATAATCATAATATCCTTAAAATTTCTTAACTCCTTTATAATTTATGATTTTGATTCTCTTAAACTTAATAATAATCTTAATATATTTATTTATATATTTATAATTTTATTTTCTATTTTTTATTTTTTTTATTTTTATATTTATTTATTATTTATAAATAATATATTATTTAATACTCAATTATGAATATCATAAAAATGATGTGAACCGGTACATTTATGCAGATGGGCGAGGAGTACAACAGGAGATGAATTGGTGAAACTATATTGACACAGGCTCTTCTACAGTTAACTGACTTGCCCCAATGAACCATGCTAGTGTGTCAAAACATGGACTGGGTTGGAATATAAAGTCCAAATGTTGGAGAGTTTTTTCTGGTTGAGAAACTTTCAAAAACTCATAAATAGATTCGTAATGGCATGGCTAAATATGTATGAACACGTTCCCCATAGGTCTGTAGAAAGTAGGACCAGTTTCCATAATTTTGAATGTCCTATGTTGGCCATGTTTCCAAACACGTGTACTGATAATAATAGGAAATTTTTGTTGTAAGAAAAAAAAATTAGAAGATGATGTTGTCTTTGGTGACAAGAAGTGAGAAGAACAAAAGTGGAATAGGCTGGTTCACATGTGTTTGAAGAGTTCTTGGCCCAACTGTTTTCATTCTGGTTGCGCTCTGTCACGCTCCATTTTTCAGCAGAAAGAATGGATTACATTCCACATCCTCTCTCACTCCTTTCTTTCTTCTACGTTAATGTGACGAATAGGGAAGGGTTGAATTGCCGTGTATGGAGATTTTACTGTATAAAATATGGAGATTCATTTATGTAGAACAGTAACACGACACCAAACCAAACCGCTAGAGTAGGATGTTCACGTGATGCTGTTGACATGAGTTGGCAACTCCCACCTACAATATTTCTTGCGTTCACACACACAATCAATTATTCACCCAAACAAAACCTGCATGATAAACGAGTATATGCCTTTACTCTCTTCTCTTCTCTCCCCCACCGTCCACTATCTGCATCACTTTCCCTGGTCAAACGTTTCTAATCTATCAATTTTCTAAATAATGTGATTATTAAATATTATATGCGTGACATTGATTGAGCATTAGCTGTTGTTATATAAATGGGGTTTCCCTCGACAGACATTGAGCCACCTGGCCTGGACTCTTGGTCCTGCTGCGGAAGACCATAGTTGAACCCACTTCTCTTACTTTTTACTCTCTAATGGACCAAGCATGGCAGAACTGGTCTCTTCACATGGTACTAACTTAAATAGCTATATATCATCATCCTCATGTATACTATCTTAACGTGTGTGTTTGAAACTATTGTTTTGTTGTAGGAAATGGATGATGATGATGATGGGCATAGGGATCTGTGGTTAGAAGAGTGCCACACCCAAGAAGAGGAGTTCCTCAGGGACATCCTCAGTCAACCGGCTTTTTCTTCTGAAAGTGAAAGTCAACCTTTCGACCGCCACAACAATAACTTAACAACCCCCACAGATGGTAGCACTTTATCCTCCGATGAAACGGTAACAGCCAGAAGGCCTAACCCCTCAAATTCCTCTCCGAGGACATACATTTTGTCTTTCGATAGCTCTACCATTATACCAGCTACCCCTCAACCACAAACCTCCTCTAAATCCTCTACTTCATCTCTCTCCTCCAAAAAACGCCACCAAAATCTCAACCTAGAACAGCCAAAACCAAAGTCAACCACTCTTGCTGGAAAGAGGGGCAGAAACAGTTCCCAGTCTCTGGATCACATCATGGCCGAAAGAAAAAGGAGACAGGAACTCACCGAGAGGTTCATAGCACTTTCAGCCACTATCCCTGGCCTCAAGAAGGTAACTTTTCCCTTTCTCAACCCCACATTTATCTCTCTAACGTTGTTAAGAGGATAGTCAGTAAAACCAATGTCTACAAGTTCTCTCATCTTTCGCCTCGGTACTGGAAGAATAGTAGAATCCTATGCAGAGATTAGAGTACACCCTTATGGTTTTTTTTATAACTCTTTCATTCGTCGATTAGATTTTCAGAGATAACATTATTCGTTCCGTACTTGATATATTGTTGTTTGATGAAAACTGAATCTTGATCTTCACAAGCATCGACGCCCGTCGTGCTGTGCTGCAGTATGAAGATGGGGTCTTGACATTTCCGAGACAAAACACGTGATTCTGTTGAAAGTAAACTGTAGAATGAGCGAAAAAAGTATAAAAGCAATGATAGAATCACATTGTGACACATGCTAGAGATACCTGGCACATGGTGTAATATCAGCAAAGCCTTCATTTTAGATTCTGCATAAGACATATTAACTTTTAACTTTTTAATAATTTCCCATTAATGATTATTTATTAATTTCATATAGTATTTTCGTGCATAGCTTAAAATCATGATGAATGGCTCAAAGTACATAGGACATAATGTCCTAGCAGTGCCAAGGACTTTCTTTTTTGGATCTGGTTAAAGTTGATATGAATTAAAATGTTGTGTGAGAATATTGATGATGGAATTTGCAGACGGACAAGAGTTCAATACTTGGCGAAGCGATTAATTACGTGAAGGAACTTCAAGAGCGTGTGACGGAGCTTGAAGAGAGAAACAAGAGAGGGAAAGAATCAGTGATGATGATCCTGAAGAAGAGTGATGGGTGTGGAAACGAAGATAGTAGTAACTCAAGTGAAACAACAGATTCGAAGGATTGGTGTAGGATGCTCCCTGATGTTGAAGCAAGAGTGATGAAGAATGAGGTACTCATTGAGATCCATTGTGAGAAGGAAGAAGGGGTTGAGCTCAAACTACTGAACCACCTTGAAAATCTCCATCTCTCCGTCACCGCCACCAGCGTATTGCCCTTTGGGAATTCATCTCTCGGCATTACTATCATCGCTCAGGTACACTACCACCATTTCATAATCGATTACTGAGTTAACTGTTTCTACAGATTCGATTAATAATTATTGTTGGTTGATGTGTTGCAGATGAGTGACGCATACAAGATGACAGTGAACGATGTAGTGAAAAATCTAAGGAAAGTGCTCTTGAATCACATGAAGATCCATAGCGATCCGTACTAGTGTATCAAAAATTTGTCGTGTGTGGACATACTCAGTTTATCTTCTTCTTTTTCATGGTCCAATCCTCTATGAACTTTGAAATTTTAACGTTTGTAGTTTGTTGGGCTGGAAAATGGATCAAAGTAGTTCCTTTTTTTAAGGGGTGTCACGTATGGGCTCATCATCACGGGTGGAGATAAAAATAGACGAGTTTATCCTAATTTTCATTATTACGAGCTAGAAATTTTATAATCGGTCAAATTTACTATGGGTTTGTGGGTTGGTTTGTTAATCAATAATTTTTTTTTTTTAATAAGTACGTCTGAATAGCAATATTTAAACGTAATGATGTGGTGTTACAGTAAATTTTGTAATACAACTGAAATGTAATAAATAAATGTTGTGATATAATTAAAACATATAATTTATTCTATAATTTTATTCATATTATTTTTTATACCGATATTATAAATTTATAGTATTTTACTCCAATAAATCATGATTAAATAAATGAAATTCTGATTATACAATATTTTATCCCGTTATACAAATTTATAATTTAACTAATCAAATATTTTTATCTCAATATTTCTTCTCAAGTTGGTAAATGGATGTCATATATTCCTAATTTGTCTAATAATCTTCTAAAAATCTGACTTATCACATTTTTGGTAAGAATGTCCGTCAGTTGATCTTCAGATCGAATACTTGGCAATTCTATAATATTTTTATCAAGTTTTTTCTTGATGAAAAATCTATCATCCTCCACATGTTTCATCCGATCATGTTGGACAGAGTTGTGAGCAATGTCGCGCGCAGCTTTATTATCATAATATAACTGAATGTGACGTGTATGTGCATACCCTAAATCTTGGAGAAGTAGTCTGAGTCACAAACCTTCACAAAGTCCAAGAACTATTCCTCTAAGTTCAGTTGCACTGGATCTAGCTACAACTTTTTGCTTCTTGTTTTTCCATGTGACAAGATTACCTCCTACAAATGTTAAGTATCCAGAGGTTGATCTTCTATCATCAAGAGCACCTGCCCAATCTGCTTCAGTATAAACCATCACATTTTTGTAGTTGGAGTTCTTCTTGAACATAACTCATTTTTCAGGGGCATCTTTTTACGTACCTTAAAATCCGTATATCAACATCCATGTGTTTTTCACCTAGATTGTGCACGAAGTGGCTAACCACACTAAGAGCATAAGCTAAATCTGGTCTGGTGTGTGAGAGATATATCAATCTTCCTATAAGTCCTTATATCTTCCATTGCTAGTTGGAATTTGATCTTCTTCAATGCACAACTTCAATCCCCCTTCGATTGGAGAATTTGTTGGTTTGCATACTGTCATTCCAGTTTCTTTCAGTAAATACAATGTATACTTTGGTTGTGAGAGAAAAATACCTGACTTTGATCTTGAGACCTCAACTCCAAGAAAATACTTAAAAGGACCAAGATCCTTCATGTCAAATTCATTTGCAAAGTACTCTTTTAATGTCTTGCGTTCCTCTAGATTGTTTCCCGTAACTATCATGTCATCAACATAGACAATAAGAATTGTAATATTTCCTTCCTTTTTTTTAGAAACAAGGTATGATCTTGGTTGCTCTGTTGATATCCAAAAGCAAGCATTGACTTGGTGAATCTACCAAACCATGCTCATGGCGATTGTTTTAGTCCATACAATGACTTCTTCAACTTGCATACCTTCTTGCTATGTATATCCGGGATCCCACATCCTTTTGGTAGTTCCATATAAACTTCTTCAAACAATTCCCCATGTAAGAAGGCATTTTTTACGGCAAATTATTGTAAGGACCAATCAAGGTTTACAGCTAGATATAACAATACTCAAACTGTACTAATTTTGGTTACGGGAGCAAACGTTTCAGTGTAATTTATTCCATATGCTTATGTGTACCCCTTTGCGACTAATCTAGCTTTGAATCTCTCAATTGTGTCATCTGCATTAAATTTCACAATATACATCCATCGGCATCCTACTGGTTTCTTTCCAACTGGACAATCTACCAATTCTCATGTTTTATTTCTTTGCAAGGATCTCATCTCTTCATTCATAGCATCCTTCCACTTATAGTCAACTAAAGCTTCCTGCACACTGTTAGGAATAGATACAGTAGATAATTGACTTATAAATGCGATATTTGAGTTAGAAAAATTATGGTTACAAATATAATTGCTCATAGGGTATCTTGTCTTACTGGTGAAGTCAGGATCATAAGTAGGCTTAGGGATACCTCTAGTGACACGATCTGGAAAAATTCTTTTTTCTGTATTAGGTTCTTGAGGGGACGATTGGTGTAGTATATCATCAGCATCAACATTATGTGGTTGTTGATCATCACATTATTGCACACTTTCATCATCTCCTGATACAACTTTGTAACTTTCTTTCTCCAATCTGACCTCAATATCAATTTCTTGAGGAACAAAAGTCTGAACGTCATCATAATTCTCCCCCTGAATTTCAGACTCAGGGAAAAAATATATCAAGGTTTCATGAAAAACTATATCTATAGTAGTAAACATTTGCTTAATTTGTGGATTGTAGCACCGATATCCTTTCTGGTGATATGCATAGCCAAGGAACACACACCTTTCAGCTCTAAGAGACAACTTACTTCTATGATGCTTGTGTAAGTGAACATAAGCAACACAACCAAAAACTCTATGTGTTAGTTCAACAATTTTAGGACTTACTACTATATCTATAAGTGATTGAAGAGGTGTTTTATACTCAAGAGACCTGGACGGTGCTCGGTTGATAGTGTATATTGCATATGTGAGAACTTCTCCCCAATATATTGCTGGCATGTGAGCTTCAATCAGTGCAGCTTGGACCACCTCCAATAGATGATGATTCTTTCGTTCTGCCACCCCATTTTGTTGTGGACTATTTGGATAATATCTCTGATGAAAAATTCCTTTGGCTACTAAAAAATGTTGAAGTTCTGATTGCATATATTCTTCTCTGTTGTCACTGTGCAGTACCTGAACTTGTGTTTTGTTCTGTGTCTTAATCATTTTGTAGAATTTCTGAAATAATCCTCTAACTTTACTCTTAGACTTCATCAAATATAACCAAGTCATTCGAGTACAATCATTTACAAACCATGTTGAGTCACCCAACGTTGTAACCTTAGATGAACCCTATACATCAGAGTGAATGATTATAAAAGGAAGAGAACTTTTATTTGAAATTAAAGGAAAATATGTTTTGTGACTCTTTGCAAGCTCACAAACATCACAATAAAAATTTGAAGTGTCTACTTGGTCAAATACATTTGTAAATAATTTTTTTATGTAACAAAAAGATGCATGTCCTAGACGCTTATGTCATAACCAAATATCCTTACCTTTTCTTACTTCTTGAGACCCTTTTGTTGCTGGCACTTGACCAAGTCTCTTTGAATCTTTTTCTGTCAGGTTTAGGTAATACAACCTTCCTCGCCTAATACCATAACCAATCGTCTTCCTCGTTTGAATATCCTTAAAAACACAAGAGTCAGGCCCAAAAATTACAACACATAAAAGAGCTTTGGTTATTTGCGAGACTGACAATAGATTATATTTAAGAGAATGAACAACAAGGACAATATCAAAGTTCAAATTATTTGAAATAGATACAGTTCCTTCTCCAATGATAGTGGATTTACTACCATTGGCTATAGAAATACTTTTTTGTGAGGAAAGTTTAAGATTTTTAATTTGTTTAACATCAAAAGTCACATAATCAGAACATGTAAAGTCAATTATCCATGCATTATTCAGAACGATATATGTGCTTATTAAAGTTTTACCATTGGAATCATTACTACCTGTGATTATAGCAAGCATCATGCCTTTGTCATCTTCTTTGTCAATGGCAGTTACAGCAACAACAATTGGATTTCTTTTTGAATTCTGCTTCGATGTTCGACTGTGATCCCACCACTCGGGGTATCTATGATTTCATAGCATCGTTCCTTAGTGTGTCCGTCCTTATTACACTGAGTACACTTGTAGTTACTTTTTTTTAATATTTTGATTGCTTCGATTTGCTGTAATGATTAGGCTGCTTCTTTTTCATCATAGTTGTGGAATCAGAAATCATATCTTCTATTTTCAACGTTGTTCGCCAGACTGTCTCTCTCCGGATCAATGCATAACATTCTTCTAAATCAGGTGTCACTTCCTTGCGCAAGATTTCTCCACGAACTTACTCAAAATCATCATCCAGTCCAGCAAAGAATATATGCATCCTTAATCTTTCAATGAACTTCTGATATGACTTCACATCATCAGGGTCATTCATTACTACTTTGTCACGATGATCCAATTCCCTAAAAATCTCAACCAACTCCCCATAATATTCAGTTAAGGTTCTATTATTTTGTTTTGCAGTGAATGCCCTTTGATTCAGGGCAAACACCTATAGCTCATCACTTCTATCATAAAACGCCTTTGACAAAACATTCCAAATATCGAGGGCAGTGGGTAAGCGAAGATACTTTTTTATTATTTCTGGCTTCATGGACATCAGTAAACATCTTTTCACTTTTTGGTTTTCAACATATTATTTTTCATATCCTTCATCTTTCTCTGTTGGAGGCTTCACCTTCCCACGAATGTAGGACAATTTTGTACTTTCTGCAATGTGCATCTCTATTAGTTCTGACCAAACGTCATAATTGGATTCATTTAGGATGATGTCTGCATTGAAGACACCTTCAGATTGAACAACCAATAAAATTAGTTTTTCTCGTCATCTCTCCAATTAAGATCTCTAAGGATTTAGAAAGAAAAAAAAACAATTATAAACTCGATACCAAATTGAAAAACATAGAATTCATTATATAATTTTATTTATATTATTTTTGTACACATATACTATGATCTTATAATATTTTACTCCAACAAATCAGGACTAAATAAAGGAAGTTCTGATTATATAATATTTTGTACTGTTATACAAACCTATAATTTAGCTAATCAAATATCTTTATCCTAACATA